TGTAATAAGCATTGAGCCCTCTACCAAAATTGTGAAATTCATGGCCCCAGGGTCAGGGGTTCTGGCCCCAGGGTGGGGCTATATAGATCATATAGTGAAAGTGCATAAATTCTTTGAAAATCTTCTTCTCTGCTCCTGGGTATTAAATAAAGTTACTAAGTACATAGTTATGATGAGCAAGAGTGCCTCTTCCAAAATTGTGAAATTCATGGTCCCAGGGTCAGGGGTTCTGGTGTTAGGGCGGGGCTGTATTGATTATATAGTGAAAATGCATTAATTCTTTGAAAATCTTCTTCTCTGCTCCTGGGTATTAATAAAGGAACTAAGTACATAGTTATGATGAGCAAGAGTGCCTCTTCCAAAATTGTGAAATTCATGGCCCTAGGGTCAGGGGTTCTGGCCCCAGGGTGGGGCTATATAGATCATATAGTGAAAGTGCATAAATTCTTTGAAAATCTTCTTCTCTGCTCCTGGGTATTAAATAAAGGAACTAAGTACATAGTTATGATGAGCAAGAGTGCCTCTTCCAGAATTGTGAAATTCATGGCCCCAGGGTCAGGGGTTCTGGTGTTAGGGCGGGGCTGTATTGATTATATAGTGAAAATGCATTAATTCTTTGAAAATCTTCTTCTCTGCTCCTGGGTATTAAATAAAGGAACTAAGTACATAGTTATGATGAGCAAGAGTGCCTCTTCCAGAATTGTGAAATTCATGGCCCCAGGGTCAGGGGTTCTGGTGTTAGGGCGGGGCTGTATTGATTATATAGTGAAAATGCATTAATTCTTTGAAAATCTTCTTCTCTGCTCCTGGGTATTAAATAAAGGAACTAAGTACATAGTTATGATGAGCAAGAGTGCCTCTTCCAAAATTGTGAAATTCATGGCCCCAGGGTCAGGGGTTCTGGTGTTAGGGCGGGGCTGTATTGATTATATAGTGAAAATGCATTAATTCTTTGAAAATCTTCTTCTCTGCTCCTGGGTATTAAATAAAGTAACTAAGTACATAGTTATGATGAGCAAGAGTGCCTCTTCCAAAATTGTGAAATTCATGGCCCCAGGGTCAGGGGTTCTGGTGTTAGGGCGGGGCTCTATAAATTATATAGTGAAAAAGCATTAATTCTTTGAATATCTTCTTCTTTGCTCCTGGGTATTTAATAAAGTAACTAAGTACATAGTTATGATGAGGAGGTGGGCCTCTTCCAGAATTGTGAAAGCCATGGCCCCTGGGTCAGGGGTTCTGGTGTTAGGGCGGGGCTCTATTGATTATATAGTGAAAATGCTTTAATTTTTTGAAAATCTTCTTCTCTTCTCCTGGGTATTATTTAAACAAACTAAGTGCATGATTATGATGCATAAGGATGCCTTTTCAAAAATTGTGAATTTCATGGCCCCAGGGTCAGGGGTTCTGGTGTTAGGGTGGGGCTGTATTGATTATATAGTGAAAATGCATTAATTCTTTGAAAATCTTCTTCTCTGCTACTGGAGACTATTTAAACGCATAGGGATGCCTTTTCAAAAATTGTGAATTTCATGGCCCCAGGGTCAGGGGTTCTGGTGTTAGGGCGGGGCTCTATTGATTATATAGTGAAAATGCATTGATTCTTTGAAAAACTTCTTCTCTGCTACTGGAGATTATTTAAACAAACTAAGTGCATGATTATGATAGACAAGGATGCCTCTTCCAAAATTTTTGAATATATGGCCTCAGTTTTTGGGGTTCTTGAGGAGGGGGGGGGGGGCTAGGGCAACAATGCTTCATCTATCAGTGTATTTAACTTCTAAATTGTTGTATTATACTCAGGTGACCGTTAAGGCCCTTGGGCCTCTTGTTTATTTTAATTTAGGCCTACAGTATATGTCATTGTTTTAAACTTTCAAAAGAAATTGCTATATAGAGGAATGACCTACTAAATAAAAAAAAAAATCCAACAATTAAACACACAACTGTAATATGCACCCCCCTTTTTTACGTTATCTATACATGTATTCTTTGTAGAATGTTTTTTATTCGGGAGGTTATTCATATACTACAAGTTTAAGATTGTGTGTCTGTCAATTTATCTTCATGTATAATATACATTGTACATATTCTTGAGAGTCTAGTGGAATTTTAAAAGAATCTCTTTTAAAAAGATTAATAACACTTTACTCCTCCTTTTGTATTAAAAGTATGTTTCAAGCATCCAAGCCACATTGACTCTTCTCTAATGAATATTAATGAAATGTGCGCAATGAGGATGCGTTGCGTATTATGTCGATGTTGTATTCTCACTCATGCAGTTTTCGATTTTACGTTTGTGTAATTTTCTCACTATATCGTGTAAATATTTTGTTGATTGTGCAGTTTTTCTATAGTTTGTGTAAATTTCAATAACTTCGTGTACATTTTCCTCACTTTGTGTAAGTTTTTACTTACTCGTGTAATTTTTGTTTAAGGTCGTGCAGAAAATAATTTTGAAGCAATCGGCGTGCCATATCCGCTCGGCATAATTCTTATTCGCCCTATATCCTGTTCGCCATATATCTCGATCGCCCTATCATAAATAATCTATGTCAACAATATCGTTGAATTTTTAGACTTAAAAGATCTAATAAGCATATTTCATTTCTTTTTTCCGATTTTAATGTTTATCAATGACTTAATCGTAAACGTTTAATTGCTGTTAATTTAGTACTTACCATAAACATGATAAATTAGGGAACACTTTTTTCGTTTTTTTTAAAGGTTCGTATATCATATATGTTTAGAAAATAATAAATGAAAATGAGATTGATTGACTTTAATTATGTATACAGGTTATTTCAATTGGGGATAAGCAGCCTCTGAATTTTTTTTTCTTTTTACAAATCTTTTATTTTCAATTTAATATAACATTAGTTGTATAACATTGCTTATAAATCAACGAGTATCACATCGATTATTTAACAGATTTTTTTTATTTCATTATTATGTTTATCTATACTGAATGTTCAAATAAAATAAATTACACTTTAAACAAACATTCATAAAATCCAATAAAATCAAAGAAATTACGAAAAATTAACCGACTGAACATATTATGGGCGAACGGACTTCGGGCAAACGAGTTTTAGAGCGAACGGACTCTGGGCGAACGAGAGTGAGGGCGAACAGCATCAAGGGCGAACGCGTTTTAGGGCGAACTAACAATCATACAACCCTGTAACATAATACGTCCCGTGTTCAGACGGGCGTATAAAAAATATAATGAGTAATTAAATTTTCACTTTAAATGTATAAGCAAATTGTGAACACCTCTCACATCTAGAAAACATTAGTGATTTGGTACTTTCTCTGAAAAACCCAGCGAGGGGTATTTGTCCTTTTTGGACAGTTCTAGTTGATGTTGTAAACTTTATTTTTCGGAATTTATAATTCCGCGCTCTGAATAAAACACAAAGACAACTGACAAGTCTACAAATGTAAAGACTACATGATTGTCGAATTTTGATTATGAGAAACTATGGAGGGGCATTAGTGCAACATTTTTTCCCTTTTTTATTCTAACTTCTTTTTCCAATTGAAATAAATTATTTAGATTTTCCTTCTTTTTTTATTCTAACTTCCAATTTGATATTAATATTTTCATTTGAATTTATTTGATTTTAATTTGCTCTTTTTAACCCCACCCCCTTCCTTATGACAAAGACTACTTCTTTGGCTCTGTTATAAAAAGCAAACATATTTTAAATAATTTTTAATCCTTATGTGAATCAGTATGCATTAATTAAAAATCTGAGACGAAAAAATTACAAAAGTTCAACGCGCAAGTTCATAACATACAGTTCAACTTTTGCCATATTTTTAGAAATCCGTGTTCACCGCGAACACCCCTGTCACCGAGTGTCGCCAATATTTTTCCTACCTTGAAACGGATTTTTATGAAACTTGCTTTATTACATTGAATATTCGTTACAGATCGGGAAAGTAGCATTATACTTGCAAGCAAAAATTTTAAGTTTTATTGCAGGTGTCATAACAGTATTTCACTTGAGGTTCACGTCAAATCATGGCCGACGCAAAATAATTCCTGAATCTCCCCTTCCGATTCGGGCATTTTAACACGAGACTGGAGCTGAATTTTTTTTATGAGATGAAAAACAATATGTAAACTTCCTGTATTGACTAGATTCATTATAATTTAGGGCGTGTTGATTTTTCTATATACTGTATTTGAGTGGGGAGTGATTAGGTCCTGGACTTGATTTTCAAGCACCTGCTCGACTTCGACCAAAACAAACTTGCGTGCCTTGCTGGATGGCTATGTATTTTTTGGTACTATTAAAATCTTTATAAAGAATTGTTTTACAAGATCTGAAAAGGAAACTTCTCAAAAGTTTGTTTTCAATTAATACCACCTACTCAAAGTTGCACATTTTTGGTAAGAATATATAGCAAAATTTAATACTGTTGTGCAACCTGCAGTGATAAGCACGAGAAATAGTGCGTTTGTTTAAATTCATTATAATTAAATGTCTGCACTAATGTTTCTCTTTTAAGTTAGATATTTACTAAGTATATCTAGAACAATTAGTTTAATTTGAAATAATCCTTAGAATGTCATGTTTTTTTACGTTATGTCAAAAATCTTGACGTGAGCCCATCACAGAGGTGTCTGAGAGAGAAACGAACGACAACTCTGCAAGGGAGATTGTATCGACCTTTCTGATAAAAACAGATTTTGATCAAATTTTATTTTATGAAAATTAATAATCATTAAAAAAAAAAAATGTTTGAATAATCTTACTTAAAAAAACTTTTCAGTCGGCGCGATTTAATCAGGTCGGTCACATTAGGGGAAACAAAGGTATTTTTTATTTTGGCCCCAGGTTAAATTTTTTGAGCAGATCCATTTCCAACCTTAAAAAAAAAAAAAAAGAATCCTTCTGTTACATTGGTATGCTTTAGGTTTTTGTATTGTACAGAAGGACATACTAATAAATGAGAAAGGCATGTGATATTTTTGGGGGCTCTAATTACAGCTCAGGTGGAGGATATGCTGAAGTATGACCGGTTCCTGTCCCCCCACTACCGGTACTACACCCGGGAGATGAGGATCATCACCTACACACAACTCCTGGATTCCTACAGGAGCCTCACTCTGGATTACATGGCCAACGCTTTTGGGGTCACCACAGAGTTTATTGACCAGTAAGATTCATTTTAAAGAAAAAGAAATACTGGAGTAAAATTTATAATTCAAATATATATGACCATTTGTGTTGGAAGAAAGACAGTTGTACAGATCGAGTAATGTTGTGAACTGTAAACAGTACGTCTGGGAATTAGTCAAAGTTATGAAATATTTGGTGGAATCTAGTGCTGCTTACAAATTGAAAAGAACATATGGTATTTATGTTGAGAATTTATCAAAACTATTTCAAGTTTTCACCTTTTAATTGGAAGGTAGAGACAAATAAGATTGAGAGCTTTTAATGTAGTATAATAAATGTATTATTAATACTATGTACTGGTAATTATCATAAAGAGGTGTCTGTTTATGCAAGAGATACATTAATAGTTTTTTTTTTGGTTACAGGGAGCTGGCCAGATTTATTGCTGCTGGAAGACTCCATTGTAAAATAGATAAAGTAAAAGGCATTGTAGAAACTAATCGACCAGACAGTAAAAACTGGCAGTATCAGGTGGGTTACGTAGTCAACAGGGTAGATAATTGTTTCATTCTTGCTTTCACTTTTATTTCAAAGGAAAATATAGTTTCTGTATTTTATAATTAAAAAAGAATCTATGAAGGAAATGATTGTAGAAAACTGAATTCGGTACAAATTTAAACAAGGGAAAAATGTACATCAGCAGGAGAGGAGTCTAGCATTTAAATATTTAGAAATTTTAAACAGGTAAAGGCAGCCAGAATAATTGTTTTATAATTTTTGACTTTGTTTTCAGGCCACTATAAAACAAGGAGACGTTTTATTAAACAGAGTACAGAAACTGAGTAGAGTGATCAATATATAAATCTCTGTCGGCATTATGAGGGATGTCATAATACTATAGAAAGACTGTTTACTGGCGAGTTGAGATTTCTGGATGAATCTGTGTTAATTCCATTATTAACTGTTTCATACTGCCATAATTTGTGTTATATTCAATGTGTTGAAATGATGTACATGTACATGTAAGAGATCAAAGTAAAGAAAATCAACTGAAAAAAATTGTTTTGTTTCTCAAGAGTCTGCATTGGGTTAGTGGAAACGCAGTAGACAAAAATCAGAGATTTTGTATGTTCTCATTGAAGAACAAAACACTGTAAAACACACTTATACATGTAACAAAGTGCCAGGGACAGTCAATCATTACAAACATCATTCTTACATGCATTAAGTTCACAGTATATTTTAAAACCACAGTTAGGGAATGAAATCACTTCACTGTAAGCGTTGATTCATTATAAGTGTGTTCGCTATAGGGCTAGCGTGTTTTACTGTACATGAAATAGTGTCCAGTGTAATATATTTATGTAGACATCTACATGTACACTGTATTTGAACATGGGATACTGAAGAAAAGACCAGTTATTAGTAAACAATAACAGAATTCTCTGTGTTAGCAACAAGACAGTAATAGTTGTAGCTACTATTCATTCCCATTCATTAAATGTGAGCAATGGGGAGACAACTGCTCCTCTCTCAGTCAAAATATTTGGTAGATGTAGAGAATTCTAATATAAAATAAATTTTTATACAGTCATATTATAAGGATTGACGACTCAGGAGCATATATCTGTGCTAAAGGAATAGCTTATTCTTCCAATAAATACCAAAACAAATTACCAACAGTATATGCATATTTATTTAACTGGGCAAACTGGTACATGTAAATCTTAAAGGCCTAATGAACACAAGCAATGTATTGCACAAAATTATAAGACAATGGCATCAAATAACACAAATCAGTGTCAAAAGATTGCCTCCTCCCCTCACACCGATATAAATGACTATTAAAACAAATTTTACAAGAAATGCAGAGGGAGAAATATTAAACACAACAAACATCTGTGTGCATAAAGTGTAATGTCACATTTCTGTGATATTTCTTGGTCAAATACATGTATGGTCAAAGATGAGAGATTCCGTATGTACCGTGTTACAATCAAATCTTAGCTAGACCAAATGCTTATATATACATGTGTGTACATATATTAACAACATGTATATACTTGCTTATTTACATACATTGTACATCTGCAAATTACAGACTAAATATTTGCCTTTATAATACATTATCTTTTATTATGATCATATACAAGATTTAAAATTACCCCCACTATTCAAAGAGCAAAATTTTGAACAAATGTTAATAATCTTTTTTCTTCATAATTCTGGATGGAATACAGGTATGACACTTAAAATGCAATAATGAACTATCAAAGATACTCATCTGTTAAAAACATGAAAATTATTCACACAATCACACACACACCAAAATAATGTTCATATTACACCCATACAGGAATGATATCGTCCATAACACAGTATAAATTCACATAAACTAGCAGTCATATATTCAGCACTCTTTCTCCATCTTTCTTTTCACAACATGAAATAATCTGAACACATAAATTATGTCACAACTGAAGTCAAACTGCCAATCATGAATGAAACAAACACCCAATAACAAACTGTCCAATCAGATTAAGTTTTAGATGTTTGTCACCGCCTCCTGTTGGTTCTGACCCGCCTCCTCTCTGCTGCTGTTTTGATGTTTGACACCCGCCCTAGACTCAGGCTTGTCTGTCGTTTCTTGATCAATGAGTGTTTCTCTACAAGGTCTGCCAAATGTCCCTCCTTTGCCAGCATGGACAAAAATGTGCAGATAAACTGGTCATAATTATGGGTTCTTCTACAGTCATCGATCTACAGTTAATAAATGAATCAATTTAACTTCCAATCTAAATCTCAAAAAATACTAAGTAGCACCTTGCACAACATACATGTAAGCTTGTTTATTCTGCAAATGATGATTCCATTTGCCATATAAAAGTAACCCAATAAACTCAGATCAAATATATGGAAGACTTAGGAATCATCATTCCCTAACATAATTTCTGGCCTCTGCCCAAATATCTTATTTAATGCAGTAAAAATTGCATACTACCAAGTGCAAGCGGTAAACAATTTTGATTTGTTATAAACATAAATCGCCAAATCAAATTACATTTTTAATATTAGGGAATCACTTGAATTCATCATCATAATAGGCATGCTCACTGTAACCATGATTTAATATATATTTCAAGACAGTAACCATGTATTTTACATGTATATGTATTCAGCTATTTACAATAATCAAATTTGGTAAATTGTTACATATAATTCATTTGGCAACATAGCCAAATTAAGAAATTCATGTACCTTGGATTGGTAATCCCACAAAAGTCCAGGTTAATAGAAACACCATTATGTTTGTAGATACATCAATATTGAATTGCATTTTCGTTGTAAATGATGGTAGACAGTCCCTGATTAAGTCAACATGATGTTATTTAACGTGGGAGATGGTCCCTGATTAAGTCATCATGATGTTGTTATTTACTTTGGAAGACGGTCCCTACTTAAGTCATCACAATATTGTATTTACTGTGGGACCTGATTATTTCATCATGATGTAGTATTTACTGTGGGAGATGGTCCCTGCTTAAATCATCCTGATGTTTGTATTTATGTGGGAGATGGCCCCTGCTTAAGTCAACATGATGTTGTATTTAATGTGGAGACAGTCCCTGCTTAAGTATTTACTGTGGATGACAGTCCCTGATTAAGTCTACATGATGTTATATTTACAGTGGACATACCTGATATTTCCTCCTCTTTTCTATTTCATCCTTGAGATTCACTTCACACAGCTTGATTTCATTTTCCACATTTTTTAACAAAGCCAATAGATCCTACAATTAAATGAACCATGCAGAAACAAGAGGCCCATGGGCCACATCGCTCACCTGAGTAACTTTGGCCATGCTGTTCATTACCAGACTTCCCCCCTTGTAATACCTATTGTGGCCCCGCCCTACCCCCAGGGGCCAAAGAACAATTTAGAATCTACACTACCCCAGGATGCTTCCACATAAGTTTCAGTTTTTCTGGTCCAGTGGTTCTTGAGAAGATTTTTAAAGATTTTTCCTATATATTTCAATGTAAAACTTGGGAATCCCTATTGTGCCCCCCCCCCCCCCATCCCCGGGGTCATGATTTGAACATTTTAGAGTGTACACTACTTGATGCTTCCACATAAGTTTCAGCTTTTCTGGCTCAGTGGTTCTTGAAAAGAAGATTTTTCAAGATTTTTCCTATATATTTCAATGTAAAACTTGGGAATCCCTATTGTGGCCCCGCCCTACCCCCCGGGGGTCATGATTTGAACAATTTAGTATCTACAATACCCCAGGATGCTTCCACATAAGTTTCAGTTTTTCTGGCTCAGTGGTTCTTGAGAAGAAGATTTTTCAAGATTTTTCCTATATATTTCAATGTAAAACTTGGATTCCCTATTGTGGCCCCGCCCTACCCCAGGGGGTCATGATTTTAACAATTTAGAATCTACACTACCCCAGGATGCTTCCACATAAGTTTCAGCTTTTCTGGCTCAGTGGTTCTTGAGAAGAAGATTTTTAAAGATTTTTCCTATATATTTCAATGTAAAACTTGTATTCCCTACTGTGGCCCCGCCCTACCCCCAGGGGTCATGATTTTAACAATTTAAAATCTACATTACCCCAGGATGCTTCAACATAAGTTTCAGCTTTTCTGGCTCAGTGGTTCTTGAGAAGAAGATTTTTAAAGATTTTTCCTATATATTTCAATGTAAAACTTGTATTTCCTATTGTGGCCCCGCCCTACCCCCGGGGGTCATGATTTGAACAATTTAGAATCAACACTACCCCAGGATGCTTCCACATAAGTTTCAGCTTTTCTGGCTCAGTGGTTCTTGAGAAGAAGATTTTTCAAGATTTTTCCTATATATTTCAATGTAAAACTTGGATTCCCTATTGTGGCCCCGCCCTACCCCCGGGGGTCATGATTTTAACAATTTAGAATCTACACTATCCCAGGATGCTTCCATATAAGTTTCAGCTTTTCTGGCTCAGTGGTTCTTGAGAAGAAGATTTTTTTATGACCCCACCCTATTTTTGTCTTTTCTTGATTATCTCCCCTTGAAAGGGGACTTGGCCCTTTATTTTAACAATTTAAACTCCCCTTCCCCCAAGGATACTTTGTACCAAGTTTGGTTAAAATTGGCCCAGTGGTTCTTGAGAAGAAGTTGAAAATGTGAAAAGTTTACAGACGGACGGACGGACAGACGGACGGACGACGGACAACGGGTGATCAGAAAAGCTCACTTGAGCTTTCAGCTCAGGTGAGCTAATAAAACCAGAAGTCTCTGACAAGACTGTGGCTCTAATGGTTGTACTTACAAAGGAAGATAAAAATAGCACTTGGACTTGAAACTTTGCAACAGCAATAATAGAATAATGATCCTTAGTTTAGTCTCTTTTTGTGGCAAGATTTATTGCAATCAGACTAAAACTGTAGGAGGAGTAGCCTTTTGACAGAATTTTACAGAAATTTCGATTTAAGTAACCATGGCAACATCATTCAACAAAATCAAAAAAAAACAATAAGGACAATTATGTATCTTAGTGTAGTCTACTTGTGTGCCAAGTTATACTGAAATCAGATCAAAACTGTAGGAGGAGTAGCATTTTGAAAGTATCTCAAGGAAATTTCTATATTTAGTAACCATGGCAACACCATTCATCGAAATCAAAAACCATTAAATAGAATTATGTATCTTAGTGTAGTCTACTTGTGTGCCAAGTTATAATGAAATCAGATCAAAACTGTAGGAGGAGTAGCATTTTGAAAGTACCTCAAGGAAATTTCTATATTTAGTAACCATGGCAACACCATTCATCAAAATCGAAAAAAAAGCCGATGTACAGAATTATCTATCTTAGTGTAGTCTACTTGTGTGCTAAGTTATACTGAAATCAGACCAAAACTGTAGGAGGAGTAACATTTTGAAAGTATTACAGAGAAATTTCTATTTTTAGTAACCATGGCAACATCGTTCATCGAAATTAACAACCAATACACATAATTATGTATCTTAGTGTAGTTTACTTATATGCTAAGTTTTATTGAAATCAGAACAAAACTGTACGATGAGTAGCATTTTGAAAGTTTTTCAAGGAAATTTCTATTTTTAGTAACCATGGCAACACCGTTCATCAAAATCAAAAACCGATAAACAGAATTATGTATCATAATATAGTCTACTTGTTTGCAAAGTTTTATTGAAATCAGACCAAAACTGTAGGAGGAGTAGTGTTTTGAATGTATTTCCCAGAAATCTCTATTTTTAGTAACCATGGCAACACCGTTCATCAAAATTAAAAACCGATACACAGAATTATGTATCTTAGTGTAGTCTACTTATGTGCCAAGTTATATTGAAATCAGATCAAAACTGTAGGAGGAGTAGCGTTTTGAAAAATTGTTTACAGACAGACAGACAGACAGCTACATTGTAGACAGACGGATGGACGACGGACACCTTACTATCGCATAAGCTCTTCTGGTCTCTGACCAGTAGAGCTAAAAACCAAACAAAGAAAAAAATGATTATCAATTCAATCTCTCATCACTTTTTTCTTTTGTACAAAAAAGTCTTAATAGCTAACATAGTTAACAGGTCACTTTTTTAAAATCATTTCCCCCCCCCCCCTTTTCCTCCTCCCTCCTTCTTAAAATTATCAAGTCTCCTAACCTTTGGTGTAAATGGCTGGTTTCCACTGAACTTTCTCTTGTGTCTTGTGGGCTGTGACTGGCCATCTTTGTTTGCGGTCCCGTCTGAAAATATGGTAAATTTGTATGATCATTATCAATGGTGGTCATATTTACTTTTGAAAAGTTTTGATATTAAACATTTTCTAAAGCACTATGCCTCCTGAAATTATCATGTTTTTATGATGGTGATAAATTGGCAATTGCAGTATGCTGTTAAATGACTTATATTATTAATTTAGAGTCTTGAGTCCTGACTACACGTATAACACAATTTGTATAGATCTCTTAATGAAAACCTCTAGTACTGCTGAGTAGGAGGTTTATACATGTATATATCTGTACCATTGTCTGTCTGGGGACTATTCTGACAGGAATTGAAGCCACTGTTGGGGGAGCTAAAACAACTGCCCACTTCTGATGCTGTGTCTGTACTCTCACTCCCGGGGCCCGAGGATGTGGTGGATTCTGGGAATTTGGTCTCAATTGTCAAGGGCTTTGTAAGATCTGATGATGCTGAAGCTCCCTCTTCCATCATGGTAATCTTGCTTTTGTCAACAATGTCTGAATTACCCTCTGTTTTCTTGTCTTCCACTGGAGCTTTGCTTTCTGAATTCTGATCTTGTTCCTCACTTAGTTTCTCCTCTACATTTGAAAGCACCTCAAGCTTTTTATTTTCTTCAGTCATTTTACTTTCACTCTCCACTTTACTTTCACTTTCCACATTACTTTCACTTTCCACTTTAGTTTCATTTTCCTGTTTACTTGCAGTGTCACTGTCTGAATCATCAACACAAATGATTTCCTCTGCAGGCTCAGAATTTTGTGTAGGACATGTTGAGGCTGTTTCCTGTTTCTTTGTGTCTGTACTGGTCCTCTGAACTGGTTCCTGTCCATTCTTAAATGCTAGTTTTCCCTGTTGCTTCACTGCGGCCAGGTATTTATCTCTGTCCGCTGACGTCAGACCTGGATTTGTCACTTTGACCATCTGAAGTCAAACATAACGTAATAATATACATGTAGCTTAATATCTAATAAATGATATATATATTACATGTACATCTCAGTTTTCGAACATCACTGAAATTAGGGGCAACTTGATAGGCATACATTTGTTTTTCAAAAGTATTGCTAATAAATCATGATCATTTTTGATAAATTTCTATGCATATCATCTGTTTCTCATTTGTTTTAAACCTGAAGCCTTCTATTTTCCAAATATAAACAACCAGTAATTAATTAAGATTATTTTAACCAAGTTGCACTGATCTAGCATGTGGCATTTAGCAATAAAATCAAAGATAAAAAAAATTTCTCTCTGACAAAACAGTGATAAAACATCTCATCACATATAATATGGGTGGACAAAGAATTTTTTCCACAACAGTGGACATTTTCATCACAATTCTTTTTACTCTGGGTTGCAATTTCAGAGATTAAACCTTAACATAATCTTTTAAAATATATATATTAGATTTACCCAAAATTCTAAAATATGGAGAGAATTTATCAATGAAATAAAAAAAAAAGAAGTGAGAGAAAAAAAAAATTAAACTGCAGATTTTACACATGTTATAAGGAGATTTTTCAGGTAAAGTCAGATGTTAGACTAGAGCATGCTGTTAAATGGTCAAGACAAACATAAATTTTGAAGATATTTCTGCAACTCTCTCTGCATTTCTCCTTTTCCTAATTCCTGATCACTGTTTTTCAAGCTTACTTACTATTATATAGATATTCATGCAAAGACAACAATGCACACACACACAAACAACAACTACATGTACATCACACCACAGTTCATAGGTCAAGACACCACACCACACCACAGTTCATAGGTCAAGACATCACATCACAGTTCATAGGTCAAGATCTAATCATTCCATGCATAAAAATGCTACCATGGACAAAGAGGAAATCACTTCTAGTCATATTACAAAATATAAGGCACAAAATACAAACTAAAACTGTTTTCAAAGATCCTTAATATTTATCTTTTAAATTAATCAAAAAAAAAAAAAAAAAAAAAAAAAATTGAATAGAACAATCTTCCACATCAAGTGCAGCAAAAGAAATTAAAGTAGATATCAAGTGACTTAAAAAAAAAAAATAAATAAAAGAGAAAGAAAAGAGAGGTTTCCTGATTAAGATAGGCACAACATCCCTTCTGCGTATTTTGTATCTACCTTGTTTTCCAGAAGCTTGGGTATAAAAGGAAAACAAATTATAAAAAAAATGACTCAAAAGTCACAAAACATATTCAGCACACCTTTTCTCAACTTACATTGTAGATGAGAATAAACATCAAAGCTTTTTGTTCAAAGGATATATTTTCTATTCATGCATACAGCGAAGTACATCATACATAATCATACATAATTGTAAACTCCATACTTGCAGGTAGCAGAGAAATACATGTATCATGAGGATAAAGCTGCAGGACTTAAAAGATGATATTTAAAGATGAGAATGGAATAACATTATAAATATAAGATCAATCAAACACTTAAAAACACCATTAAGTATTGGTGCTTACTGTTATATATGAAAGAAAAAGTGAGCAAGCTCACATACCCCACGCTCCCCCAAAACTTGACAATGCAACATGTACTGTATTTATGAAATTATTTAAGGCAAAGCACCAATTTGAAGAGGGGGGGGGGGGGATGAGAACTATCCAAGATTTTGTGTGTGTGTGTGTCAAATCATTAATATTTTGATCTCAAAATCAATAGGGGTCTTTTAAGGTCATAAAATATTTCACATAAAATTTCATTACAAAGGCTGATTCCAGTGGATTTCCTTATTACCAAGCTGAAAAGTTTCTTCAATAATAGGCAAAACTCTTAGGGCAAAAATAAAGGAATCAGAATTTCCTAGTAATATGCACATCTACACACTGTTTACTAAATATCTGCAAAGTTTGACCAAATTCTGTGCAGTGGTTTAAGAGGAGTTGCGCTGTTCATCTGTTCATCTCTATATTCAAGATATGGCCAAAAATCTAAATTGAAAAGTGCCGAAATTCCCAGAAAAATAACGGAATCGGAATTTCCTGGTAATATGCACATCTACACACTGAGTCCTAAATATCTGCAAAGTTTGACCAAATTCTGTGCAGCGGTTTATGAGGAGTTGCGCTGACAAACTGTTCATCTCTATATTCAAAATATGGCCAAAAATCTAAGTTGAAAAGTGCCGAAATTCCCAGAAAAATACTGGAATCGAAATTTTCTGGTAATATGCACATCTACACATTGTGTCCTAAATATCTGCAAAGTTTGACCAAATTCTGTGCAGCGGTTTATGAGGAGTTGCGCTGACAAAAAAACAGGACTGACGGACGGACTGACGGGTCAAAAACATTATACCCCCCCGCAACTTGTTGCGTGGGGTATAATAAGATATTGTCAATGGTGCTTAGGACTTGAAAATTGTTATCTGTTTTCTCTGAAATAGTAAATACACAACCTCACTAACCCTAGCAATATATTGGTGGTAAAAAAAAAAGTAACCTGACCCATTGAAAAAAAAACTAATATTTAGTTATATATGCTACTGACAATCAGTAAAGTTTACAAAGGGAACTAGTTATAACCCCAACAGTTAGTAAACTGGTGCCCAGCTACAAACATACCAAGTCTGAGCCATCAGTGTTACTCATAACCTACAATATGTAAATTACATCTCAGAAAATCAGTCCTATTCCACAATACATCTCTTATTTATAGGCAGGGTAATTCCAGCTTAATTATTTGACTGTGTATCTATTTACTCTCATAAACCAACATTTGAAAATTAAGTACATGTATTTATTTCATAAGTAATGGAAAAGAAATGCAACATAATTAATTCTGGGTGACCATCAAAGTTAATCATAATGATTTAAAACAATGTACAGGTAATGATAAAACTTGGCCAGCAAGGCACCTAAGCAGTCAACCGACTGACTGATGTTGTAAAACATTATACTTAGGGCTATTCCAGGAAAAATTGTATGGGGGGGTTGGAAGGCACTTTTATTTTTACCCCACCACCCATACATTTTTAATTACCTTCTACCCCACCCCCCATCAATTTAAAATTGCTTTTGATACAACCACCCATCTAAATTTAAAAAAAAAAAAATGTGTCACACATATATATGCAATAAAATTTTATGTACTTTTTTCAGGTATTGTAATTTATCTGACTTCGAATGAGTGTTGGGTTTTGACATCTATCCAACGAGGGCCTGTTTTACAAAAGAACTTATGACCAAGATCAAAATGTTATTATGCAAATAAATTTCTTTTTTGCATTACTTTAAAAATGTTTTAAATCTTTTTGAAAAAAAATAAGATAGTTTTATGCGAACAATTTTTAACAGAAACATAAGTTTTGTAAGCTTTTATGAACAACTAAAGTTTTTACTCTTAGTAATAAGTTTTTTTGTAAAACAGTTCCCCATGTTCCTGCTACAGCTTAAAAAAAATATGTTCCTTTAGGCCTATGATACACACCACTGAAAGCCTTTATTATAGTGATTTGTATATCTGTTCTGATGCATGACTTTGTAATCTGTAAAGCTTAGGTAAAGCTTTTACAAGTATGTATACACATGTACTAGTAGAAATGACATTCCTACAATTAATTAAAATTAATATTGTAAATTATAGCCTAGCTATCCTTAACAATTGTTGTTCACCTTGTTCATAACAAAACGATTCCTGCTTTTTTTTTTTTTTTTTTTTTTTTTTTTGGGGGGGGGGGGGAGGGGTACTAAACTTCTGTAGGCAGTGTCTGTGAAGTGAAAACTTTGATTAAAAAAATATATTTAATGAATCCCATCTAACAACTTAGACCATTGGTGCATACAAATTCTACAAGTTAACACTTTACAGGTTAAGGACTGGCATGTTTTTGACATAATATATTTCATATTACTCTGTATGTGGTATAAAGTAAAATATTTGACTTGCAAACTCCGTAGTCATGCTCTAAAACGTTCATTATCAGATACGTTTTTTTTTCTACTTTCGGTTTAAAATAAAACGATCTTTCTGATTGTTTCTAATATCATTTAATTTACCAATGTAATCATGTTTGATTAAACTGGCGAAAAGAAACTAGACCAGGGAGTCCAAAGCACAACTAATCCGTTTTCCAATCCCCCACTGTCATTGCAGTTACAGTTGCACATGCTTTTATAGTTATCTGCCCTTGTTTCCGTTTTGTTCGATTCTACTTTCACTTTCAATGAAAACACACTTTACAACTGTTTAGGACGAAAATATCAGTATTTACCGATTTATACAAAATGAGAGGAAAGAAGTACTTTGCACTTGATTATTTGTGAGGGTAGATACAACCACCCAAGGCATCTAAAAATATATCGAGTGAGGACAACCACCCATACAGATTTAATTGCTCCAGACCCACTACCCATACAAAAATATATGAAGTGAAGTGCCGTCCAACCCTCCCGTACATTTTTTCCTGGAATAGCCCTTAGTAATTATAAATTGTAACTGAAAGCATTCCATAAATTAATGAAAAACAACTTTTGATTTTTGGTGGATATCAAATACTGAAAAAGCAAAAATATTTGTTGAGGATTAAATTTTGTTTATTTCATTGTTAACAATTAATTATCAAAGAATTAAATCCCAAATGAAATTTTTGTATGGTTATATACATGATATACATGTACTGAATATGGCTACTTTTGAAACAACAAAATTAAACCCCCATGTAACCATTTTCGATCATAAATCAACAAAATTTTATCCCATTGAAAATCTCTGCCTCTACAATACTTTCTACAGTTATTTGCTACATTAATTAAGAGCATAGTAAATATATTTTCATATATTCTCCAAAATTTTACATCCAATCATACTTTTGTTTTATGCTTCCACCTAGTAAACTCTAAACACCCCCCCCCCCCAACCCCATCGCAAAAATATCTTTTCAATGCAATGATTTCTGCAGATGATGTAAGTCGTGTGTAAAGGTTTCTATAACTGCAATATAATCAGTAAAAACACCATGCAAAGCTTCTAACACCACTGATGAGAGCCTACCTGTTGTAACGTCTCCAGAACTATCTGTCTATTAGTCTTCAGTGTGGCCAGTTTGTGTTCGTATAGAGACCGTTTGTCTGGGACCACGGCCATTAAGTTGTAACGTATGTCATGATAGGGCTCTCTGTAAAGATATATATCACACAGTGCTTGAAATATATAAAATATATATACTCTTGAATAAGCACAGTGTAAAACATAGGTAATCAGAGATTACAGAGCCCACCTCAACAAATGTTGTCTCTAAGTAAGGCAAAGTCCCACACTAAACTAATAATCTAGTGGTGTGCATCCCTAGATGCAACATTTATGCAATTTTGGTCTGATAGGGCTTGCAGTTACTTGGGAATGGACTTATCTAAAAACTTAAAACTAGTCACTCATCCAGAAAATGTAAGTCAACAGTGGCGTATATTCCTTTCTGCTAATGTGTAGGCTAATGTGAAGTCACATATTTCACCTGAAACAGGAATTGCTGGTAGGCAAGGAGGGAGTCGCTCACCCTCAGTGGAAGGTGGGGGTCGGAGAACCATGTAAAAGTTGAATAGGCATAAAAGTGTGGATTGCTAAAAATACTTTTATTGCATTTGATGAAAAAATATTCTAGTAAACTTATAAATAAATAAGATTTATGATCAACTTTCCCCCATTTTTCAACCAAATACATGTATAAATATAATATTTTTTACATCAAGAAAATGATGTGTAGGCTACAGCCTTTTTGCCTTATGGAATATACACCATTGGTCAAATCCAGCATCTGAAGCAAGTTTGAGAGTGTTCATCTCTTGATGCATCATCCATGCAAGTTTGAAGATGTATCATGCATGCAAGTTTGGTCAATATAGGGCTTATAGTTACTTGGAAATAAGATCTGCCCCAAAAACTTTAACCTGGTCACTCATCCAGAAAATATAGGTCAAATCCAGCATCTGAAGCAAGTCCAGTAGTGTGAATCCTTAGATGTATCATCCATGCAAGTTTGGTCAACATAGGAATTAAAGTTACTAGGAAATGAGATCTGCTCCAAAAACTTTAACCTGTTCACTCATCCAGAAAATATAGGTCAGATCCAGCATCTGAAGCAAGTCCAGTAGTGTGAATCCTTAGATGTATCATCCATGCAAGTTTGGTCAACATAGGAATTAAAGTTACTTGGAAATGAGATCTGCTCCAAAAACTTTAATCTGGTCACTCATCTGGAAAATATAGGTCAGATCCAGCATCTGAAGCAAGTCCAGTAGTGTGCATCCTTAGTTGTATCATCCATGCAAGTTTGGTCAACATAGGAATTAAAGTTACTAGGAAATGAAATCTGCTCCAAAAAACTTTAACCTGGTCACTCATCCACAAAATGTAGGTCAGATCCAGCATTCAAAGCAAGTTCAGTAGTGTGCATCCTTAGATGTATCATCCATGCAAGTTTGTTCAATATAGGGCCTATAGTTACTTGGAAATGAGACCTGCTCCTGACCAAAAATATTAACCTGGTCATTCTTTAGCTGAAATTGCAGCATCTGAAACCTTGACTGGTGCAATGAAACACACTAGAAGCATCCCCCATGCATCTCTGATTAATATAGGGCATAGAAGTATGTGTACTTGAAAAGAAAACTGCTCCAAAAACTCTAACCTGGGACGCCAACGCTGACGCCGATGGTATTACATAAGCTCCCCCAACTTTGCTGGGGTGAGCTAATAAAAATTACTAAATGTTTCATATCATATCAGTCAAATGAATCTCAGTTACATGTATACTGAATTGGTTTCCATTAGTACTGTGGATACTTAAAAAAATGGAAAACAAAAGTGGGGGGGGCTTTTAGATCTACAACTTCTCTCCACAGGTTGATTTGCATTAAAACTTTGGCATCAATTTCTTAGAACATGTCACAGGAGGGAACACTTATTCAGATTAAATATGACAGGGAGGGATGATTTAAGGGGCATGGATGCTTAATGGAGGGAAACCAATCACAGACAAGGTCACAGAATTATATACCCAGTCCATTTTACAGTAGTCAATGATTTCTCGTTGATTTGAAAAAGATTAACATGAAGGTATTTAACCAAAACAGCAGTAAATTACAAGCAGGGGGTAACAGAAGATCAGTAAGTCCAAATGTAACATGGCGAACAACAAAAGAAGGGACAGGGAAATGAATGCAGAGGATTTGGTGCAATACGGGTGGGAAAAACAGTAAGGAGGAATAAAGAAACTGTATAAAGGTTTGTTGATTGTTTTCACCCCAAGAACACTGGATTTCATACTAAACATACATGTATTCAGTAAATATGTGCACTAAATATATACACTCAAATCTCATTATCTGGAACTAGATGAGACTGAGAAAAAAGAGAGATATCCGAGGGTTCAAGATAATAAGGGTAAAACACTTAAAGAATAAGTGGATGGGACTTTCAAATCATGATCAACATATCCATGGTATCTGAGATACCAGTGCTCCAGAAAACAAAGTTTAACTGAGTGTTTGTAAGTAAATCGTATTTTACCCTCCCGTGGCCATGCCCAATCTCTCTGTGATAACTCTTCTGAACTTCTCTGTCCAGTATTCATCTCTCTCCCATGGACCTGGGAAATCAATATACAGATGTTGTAAGTATACAAAGTATTAAAAAAAAAATTCACCAAGTGTACGAAAAAATTCAGGAGAATTTTTTGCATAGTCTCCATCTTGTCTTTATTCTAAATGGCTGAATCTAAAGGTGGCTAAATTAACGCTGGCTACATTACTCCAAAGTATATGTATCAAAATGCTTTTCAGTAATTTTTGAAAATTGCCAAAATTATCATTTAAAATAGTTTTTGAAAAATAACATGAGATAATAATATGATCCATTCTCAAAATTAATTTAGTATAAGTAAAGATAACATTATGTTTAAATATCATTAGAAATCCATGTAGCTGTCTATATACCCAGTATGAGATTATACTGTATTGCTAGCCTAATGAAAACATCAAAATAATTCTCTTATTTAACATACCCAACTAAAAAAATCTATCAATGAAGATTACTTTGGAGAGAAATAATTATAGAATTGCTAAATGTTTCAGTATCATAACAAATCCAAACAATTACTAGTTTTATAGTAATTATCCGTCTATCAGTAATAAGAAAAACACAAGATCATTCATTAAGGCATACTACCGTGATCTATAGGGTAAGGCTTCAATCCATCCAGTTCAAATAACCGGCCATTAATGGGGACATAACTGACATAATGGAAGGCCTCCATAGTTCTCACCGTGGACAATCCCTGTTGCTTCTCTGGTGGGTGACGAGGCTCAGGTCTAAAGAAAATGTCCCAAGTTCTTTAACTCAGTGAAATACATGTACTGTATAGTATGCATTAGAAGTTGCAAACTCATTCAATCTTTTAATTTTAAAGGCTATATCTAATTACTGTAGATCACCAGATTTTTGCGACACCTTTATTTTAATGAGAAAGGTATTTGGTATTTATAAGCGAGACAAAGTTTTCAAGAATTCTCGTTATTGTTGTATTTAGGCTATAATTTTAATAAAAATTATGTGAGAATAATTTTTTGTTAGCAGACAGTCTCACCTAATTACATGAAAATAATTTTTTTGCGAATAAAAAGTAATTTACAGTACTGTAGATATGAAAACACTAAAAACCTTGCATGACTGTTGTGAGCTGAAGCTAAAGCTGGCATGTTTCCTATGGCTACACCTTTATCCTGTATAAACAAAAACAGTGTAGAAATTTGAGATTTGAAATGCACATACATGTAACTGTTGAAAATGCAATAATGATATTCTGACAGCTACACGTTTGGTAAATAAATGTACATGTACAAAAATACACAATTGTTAAAATTTATCACATTTGCACATACTCTGGTAAAAAATTCTAATCCAGATAAAATGTAAACACAATTATTGCTGAAAAGTTAAAAATCAATCTTGTATGGTAAATATATTTAATTTATAAAATATTTCTTTAAATATTTTGTTGCTATTTTTTTTTTTTTTGGACAGAGGCCTTCATATTTTGCTGACCTCTGGTCCCATTCCTCTGGAGAATTCCTTCAGTTTAGACAGAGCCTCCCCCAGCTTGACTCTCTCATCACAGTTCAGCAGCACACTCAGCAAGGCATGGGTGGCACAGGAGTTAGGTATCACCTACAGTAAAGTCAAGCATACAATGTCAGGAGTAAGGTATCACCTACAGTAAAATCCAACATACAACAATAGAACACAGAACTTAGGTATCACCTTCATGTAACAATGGTAATGTTAAACATACAATGTCATCACCTATGTGTCACAATGGTAAAGACAAACATACAATGTCATCACCTACATGTACCAAGTAACAACAGTAAAGTCAAACAGTCAGCTATCACCTAACAACAGTCTTGTCAAACATATTAAAAATGTGCTGGAATTAGATGTCACCTACCAACAGGAAAGTCACACATAGAATAATAGTATGTGGGAGTTAGATGTCACTTAACAACGGTCTCTTGAAATGTTCTCACAACTAAAACCTTATGATGTTATTTTAACAAAATAATTTAATAACCTGTTTGTACAACTTTTATCTAACATCTGTACATGTTGCAGAGTTTTAAAAATGTCGCTTTAAATGTTCTCACAACTCAAACCTTATAATGTTAATTATTATTTTGATAAACTAATAATTAATAAATAACCTGTTGTGCAAAGAAAATGTTGTTGACAACATTCTCATCCTGTACAAACGATTCTTCTTCCGTTGTTGTTTTACGTCGACTTCTTCTTTCCTCAATCCATCGGAACAGGAAAATGAACCCATACGCAGTCCTGAAAAGGTTATGATAAATAACATACATACTTAACATTTGAACATACAATTCATTTCAAACATATAACATGTATACAGGTGCAAGATAAGAGTTAATTAACATATATTTAAAAAAGTTCCAAGTTCAGTGCGCATATGTACATTAGCTTGCTTATTTTGTAAGAATGTATCTGAATACAGATGCTGAGTAAAACAAATTGAAAACAGATTTAAGGAGGTTGGATCCTGCCATCAAAAGTAATGAGAATTTTTTATCAAGTATATTTTTAGAATTTATACACATAGCTTTATTAAAAATCAAAACAAAAAATGGGGGTCAATGCGCTTCTTTTGGCGCTACAGAGCATTTAGTTTGACCTTTTTGCACTGTAAATACGTCTTACACATAAATCAATTTTTAAAGTTTTTCCTTCAATATTTTTTGTTCAAATAAATTATGGTGAACAAACACAGTCTTATTTCATCTTAAATAGACACATTAAAATTTGTAACAACGAAGAAATTTTTGAATTACTCCGCATGTTCAATTATTTGACCTTTTTGCACTCAAACATTTTCATTTTTCTGGTATTAAAATTTAACAAGCAAAAAAAATCATTTGAAAGTAATGACATTTTACTGAATTTAAGAAGAATGATTAAAAGTATCGTATATATTCAGAAAAGAAAATTAAAAGTGGGGGTCTGTGATGTTAATTTTTAGATATTACTAAAATAGTGCTAATTTTAAGCTGAAATTAGGGCTATTTTTTTCTTCATTTCCACAATATATTTGCTATATTTATCAAATATGATGATAGAATTCATGACAGTTTTTTTAATAGATAATTTAGGACCAGTATAAAACAGTTCACTGCACAAAAGAACTATGTGTGCAGACTACATGTAAAAATAGGAATCCAAACTTAACATACTTTTAATTCTTCGAAAGAGAAAAAATGATCATTTTCTTCTAAAAAACCTTCCGCCACAAAATATAGTTCCTCACTTAATGCTTTTGGTATGGAATTTAATCATGGAGTTTTAACTGAATATAGTTAAATTGGCATTGTAGAATCCAAATTTATTGTAAGAATTAAAACATTATGCAGAATTTTTGAAATATAGGTTAAGATAAGAATCTGCTCAAAAGCTCAGGAGCGAACCTCGTTAAAGAGATTCTTTCTTTGCTACGTTTGATATTGAAGACTTCACTAATACTTTTCTTTTATTTCTGTCCACAAACAGTCTAGTGAAATCAATATGTTCAACAAACCCTTCAATTGCCTTTTGAAGATCATAGATTTCTTCAACCTGGACATCTTTCACACCTGGAATTTGCAAAAACAAAATAGAACTTGTTGTTCTCAACAAAAAAACCCCCTAATAATAAAGCTTGAAATAGCTATACAGCTAACTTCAGTTATTCCAAACAATTTGATTATGCTGATTAAGTTTTATTTTAAATGTTTTTCCCCTTAAAAGTGCATTTTTTTTTAATGTGCAAAAAGTTGTAATTTGCTGACTTGATAGTTCTATACATTCTACTGTTTTTTAAATTAATACAATTCATGATAAAATGTGTCTCCTTCAAAGCATTTGCAAAAAAGATAAAGTTCTAAAAATTTTAAGGCTATAAAGAGAAATTGATTTGTGATCAAACAGGTCATCCTCACAATACCAGGGGTCCTGAGTCAAAACGTTGCCGTTGGACCCCTGGCATATTTCATTTGATATTTTAGGACTTGCTTCTCTCATTGAGAAGCACCAATCAAATTAAAGCTTTCATAAATAATTAGATAAGGATTCAGTTGACACCTCAAATGCACATATTACAAGCCTTTCTTATCATAGAATGGCTTAATGTGATTGGTTGAAAGATAAGGAAACAATCAAGATTTGTAATTTTTCCGAAAGACTTAATTCGCTTCAGCATGTTTAGTCAGCCCACAAAATATCTAATTAAATATGCCGGGGTCCAATGGCAACGTGTTGACTCAGGACCCCTGGCATTGCGAGGATGCAAACGGGTGCTTCTTGAATGACATTATAACAGAGGCCAATTCTGGTAAGCATGATAATTGATTGGTAATAATTCAGCACAATGTGACCCATGCGCAGGTGATATTCAAATACATAAACACAGGAAATACATCTTTAATTTGTTTTACAGTGTTCAAAAGTAGGATTGCTTGAACAGATAATGGTGCAGTGCAAACAGTGAAATGGACAAATTTCACATTTTTAAGAGTCATCTCCCATTGTAAGAGTCATTTTTCTCATTATGTCCTTTGTTAGTTATCTGTTAATATTTTCAACCTTCAAATGGTCTAGGATGATTTTGATCCTTTCCTGTATTGCCATAGTATGGGGCAACATAAAACTCATAATGAACATATTCATACAGATTTCAAATTTACATTTCTGCCCCATAAATTTGGCAATATGCTATAGAAGGAAACTAGTGCTAGCTGGTTGACCCCAGATTGACCCTTAAAAGGGAAATAACTTTTGTAAATGTGAAAGTCATCTCTATGATTCAGTTTTAAGTGAAACACGTGACTGAATATTAATTGCAAATTAAAAAAAGGCAATGAAATACCTTCTTCAAGCTTTTTTGCAAAGCTTACCAAAGCTATTTAGCTAAACCAAATTTAATAGCTTAATCAAGAGACCGAGCTAGACCTTGTCAATTAAAAATTACTCATAATCACGGATTTTTCATGTTGAGGGGAAAAAAGGATTTCTGTAACGTTACCCCATTAAAAACAGTTATGTTACTTACCCATATCTTCGATCAGCAAGGTAAACAAGCCTGCAAAATTTATATAATTCACAGGTATATTAGTTTATCAGATATAATCATATACAAACGAATTTACTTCAAAAACATGATCTGAAATGATCGAAATTTATTTGCTGAAATTAGGAAAAAGTGCATTATTGTTATTGCTCACCAGGATCGCTCTCCAGCTCCAGCCATCCTTTGTTCATATTTTAGCGAAATAAATCTGATTTTTCGATGAATATGTGTTAACACCGCAAAAGCCAAATGTACCAAAGATGTCTCCTTTTCTAGAAGAGTTCCACGGGAGGTGCTATTTATTAAAAATAATGATTAACTCATTTCTTTTTACTCCTTTATCTCAACAATGTTTATTGTACTAATAAATACAATATTTTATTCTTATAGGATTAAGTGTAAATCCATTTAAAATACATGATTAGTTATTAACATCCTGTTCAAAATACGAGTTAAATTACTTCTCCCTTATTGATTTTTCTACCTTAATTTTCTGAAGAGCAACGTTATGGGACACGCAACAGAAATATTAGTTTTCGCCGGTATAGTTATATTAAGCTTGATTGTTATGTGCTTGATCAATCAAGTTCAAGAAAATCCATATATGGATGAAATTTTTCATATTCGGCAAGTTAAACATTACTGTCATGGAAATTTTTCAGTGGTAAGTATGGAGAGTTGAAAACAAGTTATATTCTCTTAACATCTTTGCTACTGTGGCGGTCAGATGGATTCGAGATAGCTCAGTTGGTAGAGCAACTGACTGGAGATTCAGGGGGCCCGGGGTCGAACCATCACGTTTTTCTACTTTTCTGTTACATTTGGTCAGCCAGTAAGGGGGGGGGGGGGGGGGGGGACTTGCAAGGCCTGCCTTCTTCAGGTTATGTGAATTCTGCAAATTCTTAATTAAGAAGTACTGGCAGGTCGAAAACTTTTTAAGGAGGGAGGAATGTAGAAGCTTGGGCAATATGGACCATTGATTTCGGCCTTGGTAGTGGTAGAGCACCTGACTAGTGATGCAGGGGTCCCAAGTTCTATTCACAGTCCATCAGTATATTTTCGTGATTAATTCCTCCTTTCACTACATTTGGTGTCGTGCCATGCCCTGGAAGTGACAGCTGAAAAACCTGCCAGGGATGACCCTGTGTCGGTGTCATCAGAAGCTGAAGACCTTTAAGGAGGGAGAAATGTGGCGGTCAGATGGTTTTGATCACCAGTAGCCAGATAGCACAGTTGGTAGAGCATCTGACTGGAGACTCAGGGTCCTGGGTTCAAATCCCAGTCTGATCTGTCACATTTTTCTCCTTTCCTGTTACACATTACATTAAAATGACAAAATATTTAATGACAACCACAATCAGCACACAGAATACGTACAGAAAGAACAAATAATTTCTGCTGACTGTTACCAGGAGTTAAAAAATATGTGGGTACGAGATCTGGCACTTAGAGTTTATGGGGCAGACCAGCTAATAATTGCTCACCAATAGTCCATTGGACCAGTAGTATTGAGCAGAAAAAATATTTGAAAAGTACAAAAATAAAAAAAAAAATCCCACATATTTCAAAAGCGAGTATTATTTATCATTTCTTCTAATTAAAAGCACAACTTGAACACTAGTTTACTACACAGTACAATTAAGTCACATCAGCTAAATGTTTTAGTGTTATTTAAAATTAAAGCAGCATTCAGATTTTACAGTGCAATTCAAAAGAAAAAGTCACTAAATGAGATGATGAGTAAACACAGGGTCAACAAACATTGTTAGCTCACCTGAGCTGAAAGCTCAAGTGAGCTTTTCTGATCACATTTTGTCCGTAGTCTGTCTGTCCGTCCGTCCGTCCGTCTGTAAACTTTTCACATTTTCGACTTCTTCTCCAGAACCACTGGGCCAATTTCAACCAAACTTGCCACAAAGCATCCTTGGGTGAAGGGGGTTCAAGTTTGTTCAAATGAAGGGCCATGCCCTCTTCCAAGGGGAGATAATTAAGAATAAGTGAAAATTTGGTGTCTTCTTTTAAAAATCTTCTTCTCAAGAACCACAGGGCCAGAAAAGTTGAAACTTATGGGAAACCTTCGTTACATAGTGTAGATTCAAGTTTGTTCAAATCATGACCCCCGGGGGTAGGGTGGGGCCACTATGGGGGATCAAAGTTTTACATAGGAATACATAGGAAAATTCTTTAAAAATCTTCTTCTCAAGAACAACAAAGCCACAATTAGTCATATTGATATGAAATCATCCTCAGGTAATGTAGATTCAAGTTTGTCCAAATCATGACCCCCGGGGGTAGGGTGGGGCCACAATGGGGGATCAAAGTTTTACATAGGAATATATAGGAAAATTCTTTAAAAATCTTCTTCTCAAGAACAACAAAGTCACAATTAGTCATATTGATATGAAATCATCCTCAGAGTAGTGTAGATTTAAGTTTGTTCAAATCATGACCCCCGGGGGTAGGGTGGGTCCACAATTCCGTTTCAAGAATAGCAAAACCATGATTAGTTATATGAATATAGAAGCATCCTCAGAAAGTTTAGATTCAATTTCATTCAAAACATGGCAACTGGGGATAGGTTATGCCTAGAACAGTTGATCAAAGCTTTACGTATGAATATATAGAAGAAGAAATCTGCTGACAAAGAACAGCAGGGCCATATTGACTCAGGTGAGCGTTGTGGCCCATGGGCCTCTTGTTTCAGATTTGTTTTAATTCATTTGTCAAGTGAATTAACATTATAGACTAGTGAATTTCAGTTCAGTAGTCCAGTAATTTCAAGCTCAGTAGTCTTAGGTCATATGAATGTTTATGGAAATTTTAAACCCCTGTGTTACCCCCACTTTATATTTTGATGTGGGGGAAAGAGTCAGAAGAGGCCCCATTTGAAAATAAACCTTGAATTCCATGCAGCCGACTGGTGTTGCAACATTCCTTACTTTTGCTTCCTAACTTGAAACGTTTGTCCACTGCTAAAAATTTTAGTAGGCTTCCCAGTCCAGTTGACTAAGTCTAAGAGAAACTCATGACATCATCTTTTACATTACTTATTATGACATACTGTATGTGTACTTAAAAAAGTGGGCTTCATATTTTAGTTACTTTGGCACAGACAACAATATGTTAATCCATGAATACTGGTAAGAAATCATTTATATATACAATATAAGGCATGGACATGTGTAGCGCTAATTCATGATTACACCAACAACTCCATACTAAGTGATTGTGCTAAATTTTGAAAACACCAATTCATGTACATGTACAGTAACTCATTAACTCATATGTCATTAAATATGAAAAAGTCACTGCTTCTGAGTGATGAAGAACATGCATGACTGTAAAGATAAATATTTAAGTCAATACAAGTAGAACTGTCATGACACCAGTATCAGGAAAACCATTATCAATATTTTGAAATTTTTGCTTTCTCCAATGAAATTTCTTCATGTAAATTTACATAATTTTCTTTCAGTGGGATCCAATGATAACAACCCTCCCTGGTTTATATTTAGTAACAGTTGGAATCTTGAAGCCCATAATTCTCCTTCTGGGTGCTGAATCGGTGTGTTCTGTAATGGGTCTCCGATTCATAAATGTTTTGTTCCAGGCCGGAACCTTCTACGTACTGAAAGAGATCTATAAAACAATCCACTCACCACCGACAGGGGAGAAGGTAATATAAATGTTAAAAATTATTAATTCATCATTCATTATTATGAGTGTATGCTGTATACCAACTTATTCACGTGCGAGGAATATCCATGAGTTTTGCGACACACTTTAACTCGCAAATACCATTTATTTTGCATTGTAATTGAAGAGAATGTTTCCTCAATCGCAAAAATTAATCGTCGCAGATTGATTTCAAACTGACGAACCGTGAATAATAGTTGGTTTACAGTACATGGTATAGGGTGCAGAAATTTCAACAATGGGGATCACTTTTGGCAGTACAGATAAGGAACTCATGATAGATGGCAGACGTGATACTAAGCCACATAAAATTAATTTTTTGATTCTCATCTTAGCCTGTTCTTCTCATATCTGTGTAGGCATCAATGATATGTAAACATATATCACACATAAATATATTATTATTCAGAATTACCTATAAATGCCTTATTCTTAGTAAAATACATTTTTTATTGCAGGATGTCATTAGGATGGCCCTGATTACTGCTGTGACCTTGACCTTGTTCCCTTTGCTCTACTTTTTCACCTTTTTGTACTACACTGACCCAGGATCCACATTCTTTGTGCTTCTGATGTATCTGTTTCATCTTCGTGGAAATAAATCCTTGGCAGCTTTTATGGGAGGAGAATCCATTTTGTTTCGTCAGTCGAATGTTATCTGGGTCGTCTTCATGGCAGGTTTAACAGCAGCAGACATCGTTCAGGAATGGATGAAAAGCCAAACTCATGTGAAGAAAAAAGACAAGACATCAACTCCTACCTCAGAAGGACAAGTCATCTTTAATTTCTTAAAACTTCTGTTCACAAACTTTAAATCAACACCACAGAATATCCTAAAACTAGTATGCCATATACTTATGGGGTCTTTTTATTACATTAGTGTTATAGGCCTTTTCGGGTTATTTGTACACTATAATGGGGGGATCGTTGTGGGGGATAAATCTCAACATGAGGCCTGTTTAAACTATCCCCAAGTCTTCTATTTTGTTTCCTTTACTGTGTTGTTTTTAAGTCCATACACGATCAGTCCCTCACGAATCGCCAACTTCATCCTGTTCTGTGTAAATCACATTCCATTTACTGTAGCGTTCTTGTCAGTGTCATATGCCCTAGTCAATAAATATACCTATGTTCATCTATACTTAATATCAGACAACAGGCATTATACATTCTATGTTTGGAATAAAATCTATGAGTCAAGAATACCATACATTAGATATGCCTTGATCCCAGCTTATTATTATGGAATCTTCTCCCTATTTCAAACAATGAAACACAAAAATGTCTTTTGGAAAATAGTTTTCTCAGTATGTTTGTTGGCAGCTACGATACCTCAGAAACTGTTAGAATTTCGTTACTTTATTTTGCCTTACCTAATATACAGAGTAAATGTTAAGGATGTTTCTTGGATGAACTTGCTGTTAGAAGTCATAATTTATGTGTTAGTGAATGTCTTTACGATATATATGTTTATTGCCAGACCTTTTAAATGGGGAGACAATGTTGAATTACAACGATTTATGTGGTAAATTATTTGTGTTAAAAAATTTGTGTACAGTAAAACTCCTTTGAAAGAAGATGTTGTAGTCTTTAATGATGAAGCGGCCCTCACGCTTTGGTGGTCATTTGATGGAATGAAATATTTTGAAATATTTTGAAAGCGAAAATTCAAAATTACAGTTTGATCAAGTGAAAGATGATAAGTGATAGGGCCTTTTAAGCTCACCTGGATAAATTTCATTCAAACTTGGCACAAAGCATCCTTGGGTAATGGATATTCAATTTTATCTTTTGAAGGGCCAAGTCCATGTCAAGAGTATGTAACTTAAGGAAATAGCAAAAATAGGATGGCGTTGTTTTAAAATCTTCCCAAGAACCACTGGGTCAGAAAAAAAAATTTCTATTAAAGCTATAGAACGGAACTCTAAAAATCTTCTCAATATAAGAACACTGCATCAATAAGTCAAATTGATATGCTTGCATCCCTATGTAGTGCAGATTCAAATTTGCTCAAAATCACCCCAGGGCTAGGGAGGGGCACACTAAGAGGTCGGTCTGATATAGGAGAGTTTAATAGAAGAATCCTTATAAATCTTTCAAGAACAGAAGGGATGCAATTGTTCATACATAACAAGTACTTTGCATTTATTTAAAATGTACATAAGTATTCATATAAGTACCTTGTACATTTATTTAATCAATATACACATTACCAGGTATAGTGAATATTCAAGTTTGTTCAAATCATGGCCTCTGGGGCTAGAGTTAAAATTTTGAAATTCTTTAAAAATCTGAAGAACAACAGGAATCACAATTTTATATTGATATTAACAATGATTGACTTAAGTTTGTATAAGTCAGTGTCCCTGGGGCAAGTATGCAGCCAAAGTAGAGAATTAAAGTTTGACATGGGAATAAACAGGAAAAGTTCTTTAAAATCTTCTATTAAAGCATAGTAAGCTTTACAGTTCACACAGGTGAGCATTGTGGCCTATGGGTCTTTGTTCCAGATTCTGTGACTCAGCACATTAAAACAACTAGGAAAGATAACCCAAGTAAATGCCATGGGGAAAAAATAGGAAAGTTGTAGATAAAAATGTTGAATTGCAGAAGTATGCTTTATCATGTTACAGTTCCATGACTGACTTCCATTAGTTTAAGGTAGTATGGGATACCTCTACGTTATGACGTATTTCCGTTTGAAGTATTGTTTTGATTTGCATGAGTGCTTATTATCGGGTCAAAATTTGTAGATACACCGTTGAAAAGAACACTCTGAAGCCTATTTCAATGCAACTTCTCACAAGTCGGCATTTTAAGTAAAAACAGACAAAAAAATCGCAAGTATATAAATTTATTATAATTGTACAATGGACATTTAAAAAAGCAAACCCCTGTAAAAGGTAGTTTCAGCGTTGCTGCTTTTGAACACTTTTAAGCAAAAGCTGTATTTCAATTGTTTGAGTAACTGTACAGCACCTTGTGTGCAGTGAGACATGGATAAGTGCGATTACTTCACATTGTGCTGAATTATCACCAATCAATTATCACGTTTACCAGAGCTGGACTTTTTTGTTATTTAATTCAAGAAGTAACTGTTTGGTCACAAATCAGCTAGCTGTTGTATATAGTCCCAAAACGTTCAGATGAATGCAATTGCTCTGAACAAGACACGTCCTGGAAAGCGATTGTCCATGCATTGTTTTCAAAACCGCTCAAAGTTGAAAACTACAAAGTGCGATTTTTTTATGGTTGGGAAAAAATGCTCATCATTTCTAAAACAGCACCCAGGTTTTTTCAACCCTTGGAAAATAAAGAAGGATAACTCTTCTGTTCGGATCTTTTAATTCAAAAAAATTTAAATGCATTTTATATTTTCCATTTATATATATATTTTCAATTTGTTTATTTCACTTTGCTAACATATTAAGATACATTCTTATTGTAGACTTCCATGAAATGTTATCCGTCTGTTTTCAAGAAATAAAGTTTTCCCAGTTTTTTACGCTTATTTTTTGTTGAAAATTAAAAAAAATACTAAGACATATTTCTTGTCATTTTTGTTTTTATAAACACTTTATATTAGCAAACGCCTGCCTATAATATTAAGCTTATGAAAAAAGAATTATGCAAGAAAAAAAATCGTTTTTGTATTTCTCATTAAAATAATAAAAAAATTATTAAAATTACACTTTAATATACTGAAAGGTGGGGGTATTTCAAATCCTTCTAATTTGGGTACATAAATATGTAGGAGAAGTTTCGTTTGGTATCCCATAACACCTTAAGTATATGCCTCTCAGAGAAAACACTAGTTATACTGGTTTATTGCCACTTATTACCATCTAGAGCTATGCAGACCTATTAGTAAAATGGGTTAAGGGAACTAATTTTGCGTTTATTTTTAAAACAGAAAACTTAAATGATTCCTCCTGTATCCTTGTGCAAACACTCCTTTTCTGACCACGGAAATTTTTAAATATCTAATTGAACAAAATGTACTAGGATTTAAGCTTTTCATCTAGCCTGACTTACTTCAACTTTCAACTTTCTGTCACAATGAGACATGCAATATCCAATGGCTCCTTTGACATCTGAACCACTGACCTCTTGAACATGTTGAAATTAGGGCTTTATATTTAACACAAAATAGTCATCTGCTACACGTCTTCCAGACTTTGCAAATTGCACATCTAATATACAAGTACATATCTTTTAAATCCATGATCAGATGGTGACAATGACACATCTGTTTGGGATGTGTAAATACAATACGTACATGTAAAAACTTTCAATGAGCTGTGTCATATCCTGGATACCCAATCACTCAATTTTAGCATATTAGATTACTTCTAAATAAAATCATGCTTCCACTCCTTAGTCCTTGGAAACACCTGTCATAAATGTTCTCAAATACATAAATATTAAATGTACATTTCTTATTTATTGATCAATTCATTATAGATTTACAGTAATGCTCAAAATTATACTCAATATAAATTGAATTGTGTACTTGTACACATACATGTATAAGGATATCCTATTGCAGTTGTGGGAAAAAGGAGTAACTTTGCATACAGTCATGTTTTATAGAAAAAAAAAAGAACATTTATTTAATAAAATGGTCATCATTGATGCACAATGTACATTTTTCACAGAGATCTCCTGTAGGTAGAACAAAGAAACTTTTAAAACTATGCATGTTGTTATGATGCAAATAATATTAAAATTGACACTTCTCAATAGAGTACTTTGACAGAAGTGGACACTGTAGCTATAACAAAAATAATAATTTTTTGAAAGTGTTTGATTTCCCTTGTTCGAGATAATATTGAGGCCTTAGAGATATAACACTGATCATCTACACAGAAAAACAAAAACACATGAAGCAGGTAACTCTAAATCTCAAATCCATCCACAGAATAAAAACCAAGATTATTTTTAAATATTTCATTTAAATAACAAGAGCGTAAAACTGATAACAAAAAAAAATTAACGTTTAACAGACTCTGAAATGTACCTGTATCTAAGTACAAAGATCTGAGGATTCATTATTTCGAATGATCCAACTTTATCCAACAATTTTCATAGCTTCAGAATTTTTTCAATTGACAGTGAAAAAAACAATTTAATCATCAAAATGGTCTACAGTTTGTAAACATACAAGTTGTGAACGACATGAGACCTGAACTTGATGAAACATTTCACGAACACAGCAAGACCTCACTTGTACAAAAATATTCTGAAACCCTGTCTTCTACAAATCTGAGAACTACAGACAATTATATTATATCATCTAATTTTTTTTTTTTAAATGTTTCACATAAAGTCAACTTTTCTTTAAAATTACAGTACTGTACAATTTAACAAAAAAGTGTCTAAAATTTCTAATGCTTCACTGAAATACCAACACGTACAAGACCACAGAATCCACATAATCTATAGAGTATAAAAATAATTTTAAATTCAGCTTCAGTTAATTAAAATATCTATTAGTCCAGAGAGACTTTCTCAAACTACTAAAATTGTTTGCGCTAGTTGATATGTAAGCACTTTCTAAATTGCATGCCTTAAAGATTTTGTTTTATTCAATTCCATAAAAAAAACATGGCTTAAAAAATCTCTATCAAAAAATGGGTAAATTTTACTTAACCAACATGTATATAAGCAGCAAATCACAACATTTGTTAACCTCTTGGCAGATAATTTAGATTTTTTTCTTATTTGAGCATGGCAAAGGAGAGGAGCATATCACATTCCTATCATAACAGAGAAAAAAAGAAAATCTTGTAAAATTCTGATTCAAATCACAAATAAATTAACGCAACTTCCATGGACCTGTCCTGGATCTGTGGGAGTCATTTAACCTAACATTCGAGTATTGTCATGACAACTTCCAATCAGATGCCTTTTAACATAGTCACATTCACTCACATACACACCTCAAATTCATACTGCTCAGTGATTGGTCATTTCATCTTCACTCCCAAGAAACGTCTATGTGGTCCATGAATGAAAATTGTGTGCTAAATGAAACCATTTTTTTTTCGCATGTTCTTTCATGAAGATAAACAATTTTTACAGAGAAGAAGTTATTCCTATTAGCAACCACATCCACTGTCCTGCTTTTTTGTATCGTTTGTAAGTTTAATCTGGTCTGGAAACTCGTTATACAACTCGACTTCTGTTTCTTGAGCCAGGGCATTCTTAGCAACTGTTTGGAAAGCTTGTTCTACATTAATGGCTTCTTTTGCACTCGTCTCAAAGTAAGGAATCTCCCCTTTACTATTGCACCAACTCTGTGCTCTCTTTGCAGTTACCTGTTTTATTCAAACATTCACAATTAAAATAATTTTCTAAGTATAAAGTACAAAAAAATTTTGTTACTTCAACTGAGACCATGGTGAACATTAAAATGTACGATGAAAAGGCTACATGTACAAGAATATAATATTTCTTTTTCAGTATATCCAACTATCATTATGTAATATCCCATCTAAAATATGGATCTCTTCTTTTTTTATATATAAATACTTCTAATCCACTGTAAATACATGTGTCATGAAATATATCAATGAGAAATCTTACCGCCCTATTTTCCAAGTCAATTTTATTTCCTATGACAACGAATGGGAAATTTTCGGGGTCTCTTGGGCTAGCCTGGATGAGGAATTCATCCCTCCAACTGTCCAGGGATTTGAATGTGTTTGGCATGGTGACATCAAAAACAAGAACACAACAGTCTGCCCCTCTGTAAAAAGCCACACCCAGTGATTGAAATCTCTCTTGTCCCGCTGTATCCCAAATCTGTTGATGAAAAAATATAAAATCAACAAAAGCTAGTCATTATGCTTAATAATTTATAATTATTGCTAGTATTTCATATCTGAGTCACTTTTGCCTGCAAATAAGCTTTTATTTCATGGGGATCATGTAAGTTCTTTATCAATATGGCACTTAAATTTACTGATTCAAAGCTTTGGTTCAAAAACATAGATAATCAAAGATTATTAAGCTAATCTCAAGGAATGTTATCTATAAGTAAGGCATATCTTACATCATATTATTTTTTCTAGTTAAGACTGCGTAACATTAACCGGCAAAATTGGAAATATGCAGCTTACGTCATTTCCATCTGTTAAGTCAAAACATTTAATGATAGACAATGGAATGGGCGGGTGCAATTCAACACGGACGTCCATGAAAACATTGGATTGAAATTCTAGTTTGAAATTCATTTTCAATCCACCTGAGCTGTTTTCAAATGCAAAGTGTGAATGTATGATTCAAAAGACACATGATTTCAATTCCAAAATACATGTTGTTTGAAATTCACATTTATTTGAGTTTTTTAGCCTATAATTTTAAGGACATGTCAAAGTCATAGAAGTCAGAGATGATTTTTTTTCAGGGGACGGCTATTTGATTCTAGAAGGGGGGGGGGGGGGTTTGGCAAAAATGGTCGAGTCAGATCAGGCCTTCACATGATAAAATATATTTATTTCTAGGGATGACAAGATCGAGCTATTTTCTTTAGTTTTGTTTTCACTGAAAAAAAGTTGAAGAATCAAAAACAGGGAGGGGTTGTCCAAACTAAAAAAAAAAACTTTCTTTTTTTATTTCCAAGATCGTTCAGCCCCCCTCCCCCCCCAAAAAAAAACATGCATGCACAAACCTAACAGAAATCAAATATTCTCCCTTTATATTTCTTTTAAAACACTGGACAGAAATTCTGATTTAAATAAATTTCAAACTATTCCGAAATTGAAATTATTTGTTCTTTGCGTCAATCAGTAACACCATGATTCTAGCGTAGCTGCGGTGGATTGAAAATGAATTTCAAACTAGAATTTCAATCCAATGTTTTCATGGACGTCCATGCCAAATTGCACCCGCCCATTCCCTTGTCTATCATTAAAAGTTTTGACTGTAACAGATGGAAATGACATAAGCTACATATTTCCAATTTTGCCAGTTAATGTTCCACGGTCTTAGTGTGCATCCAAAATCAATATCCATGCAAGTTGGTTTGAGTAAGACCTGTAGAATTTTGGAAATGGACCTGCTCCAAAAACTTTAACCTGTTCACTAATCAAGAAAATGTCTGTCAGTTCCAACATCCAAAGCAAGTCTGGAAGTGTCCATCCCTAGATGCATCATCCATGCAAGTTTAATCACAACAGGCCAAAAAACTATAGAGCTACTCCAAAAACAATACCGTGCTCACTCATCTGGAAAATATAGGTCAAATTCAGCATCCAAAGCTCGTCTGGAAGTGTCCATCCCTAGACACATCATCCATGCAAGTTTGGTCCAGGTAGGGCTTATAGTTACTTGGGAATAGACTTGCTCCTAAAACATTAACTGGGACACCAATGCCGGGGGTAAAGCATAAGCTCAGCTCGACTTTGTCGAGGTGAGCTAAAAATATACACACACTGCATAATCATGGACTATTAAATTTCAGATGTTCCTATTACTACAGACAGTTGGACACTAAATTTGATCAAGTCAATGATGCATAATACCCCAATTAGATTTCTTCAATTTTCACATATTTTATGTTGTGTAAGGTTTCAACATATCTTTGGTCCAGAGTGATCTCTGCTGTCTTACAGGACTCAAGAGTTACAAAATTTAATTTCAGAATGTTTTATAACTGCCAGGTGTGTACGGAGTTTTACCTGCATTGTCACTAATCTGTCCTCTACCATCACTTCTTTGGTCAGGAAATCAGCTCCAATGGTAGCTTTATACTGGTTACTGAACTTTTTGTTTACATACTGGTTCATAAGAGATGTCTTTCCAACACTGAATTGAAAAAACGGAAAAAAAGATCTTGTCACGTTACTCTGAACAAAGAAATCAGCATTTTGTTTTAGTTTGCATGATTCAAAATTTCTAAATGTTTAAGTTCCATTCATATATCAGCATAATAACAGACCAAATACATACATACCAGGAATTCCATATGGTTTTGAAATGATATTTTAACATTAATGTACCCTGTAACCTTGAACACATACACATGGTGCATTCATGATGCTTTTAAAATTTAAAATCATACATTTAATTTTGAATTGTATCTCCTTGCAGCTAAATCCTACGTAAAAGGACTTAAATTTCCTAGATTTTGAAGAAAATTTGAAGCATGAATTCATGATGAAAAAGTCAATTGGAAAACTGCTTCTTTTATCATGTTTATGTATAAAAGTATGAACATTGGAAGAACTAAGTCAAGGTTAAACTACCTGACATGTTTTCTTTGACAATACACCTTGATCTAAAGTAAGTACTAAAATACCTATTTGCCCAATAACAACATTTTAAAAGTGAAACTACATAATTTAGGTTTGTTTTCAAAATTGGAGGGGAAAAAGTATTTTGTTTGACACTGCTTAGTGAAACAGAAAAAAATATGATGAAATGATAAAAGTCAAAAGCAATATTTTTACTTTCCTTTCGGTTGCAAAAGAGAAAATAAAAAAAACATTCAATTTATTTTGTCTTTAAAGGATAGCCAAAAAAAAAAAAAAAAATGAAGATGGATATTGCAAATTATATCCATTACAAAGATATTAATTATGACATTTTTTCTCTGTATTTTAAGAGTAACTTACCCACTGTCCCCTAGTATAATGACTTTTAGCAACACCTTCTTCCTTGAAGCCATAATACTGTCCTGAAAATATCCAAAAAATCTCAGTTATATTTTTTTTTCATTACTGTACAGTACTATTTATATATCTCCTTAAATTTTTAATATGTGTTCACCTGCATTGATTTTTTTCTCTCCTAAGATGACCATCTCCATAAACTTTAAAACCCATGAAGTTCATGAAGGTGTATTATACAAAATTAACACCCATAATAATATTTTACTACTGAAAAAAAATCATACCCTTGTTATTGTTATGTCTATAATCAAGCTCCATGTTCATTCTATACATTCAAACTAAAAACTCGGGTCTAACTCAAAACAGCCTTTGTTGCCAAATTTTAAACAAGGCAAAAATGAAATAACATGCATTGTGAAAATTTTCCATACACTGTAAACGAGCTTCACCTATCAAGTGTCAACAGTCTCATTGTACCAGGGCATCACATACACCATGTGTACTCATGCTTTTTAATTTTTCTTTCACATAGATAAAGTAAATCAAATGTTTCCCCCATGAGATGATGGTTTAAACACCAAGCTTACAAAACAAAGCATGCCCTAAGTTATCTTTGAATAAAAGACTTCCTCTGTTTATTTTCTTCCTTAGATCAGATGTAACAGACCTCTATTATACGACACAAATCTTCACAATCAAAACGAAACTTGCTGGTGTAAAGAATAACCTCAGGTATCAAAATCTAAATTTTAACTTACCACTTTGGTGATCGCCCAAATTTGAATACATTTTTTTTTCAATAATTATACATAGAAAAGCACACAATGAAAGAAGTTTCTATTTATAAACATAGTCAGCTGATCACCACTTGATGTTATCAACGGCCAAGAATCAAAGCGTTAGGAAACTTAATAAAATATCATTAAATGTTTTCTCCTAAACAAAAACTCATCAATACATTTAAAAAACATTGACATGTCAAATATCCAGTACTTTTTTCACGTAAAGAAGAAATAAGAAAAATTACACATGAATCCTTGACTAAACCAAAGATTTCACCAATAATTTCCTTCAATACTGAAGCTTTTATAATAAATGATTTCTACACAAGTCATAGAGAGCATTAAGCTTTGCTAAAACCGTACCTGTTTAACACAATAACGATCAACAATGAGTTTCTTTGTGAGTGATGAATATAGAAAATTATTTCATCTACGAATGACACCTCCAATATGGCTCCTACAGTCTCGTGACCTGTGACGTCATTCAAACTTCCGACCTCATTTTCGATCCATTATGTCAGCCTCCAGTGAATCTAAACGTGACTTTGTGTCATCTGAACTTGGGACTAAGGACTAGTAATGTCATTATGGACACCTGTTACAATTTATTATGTTGATACTAGAATATTGCTTTTTTAAGTTGTGATTCAAGGTCCTTGTTATTTCAAGGAAAATTATTCACAGTTGCTAGTTGACATGCATGTGCAGAATAAACATGGTAAAATTTATCTTTCAGTTGGGATGAAACTTATGACAGAGAAATCAAATCTTTCAATGACTTCGGAGATGTTGGTGAAATATGGTAACTTTTCACTTAATAATCTTATAAATATTTTTTATAAATTTATTTTATTCATGTGGTTATGCAGGCCGGAATTAAAATAAATGCCTTTTTTAACAACTGAATAAACATCATATTGTGCATTGCATTTTATCAAAAAATAATAGGAAAGGAGGTGTGCATACTAACTGATTAACACATATGAGAATTATGAGATGCACACAATTTACAATGCATAATTAAATTGAAACTGAAATGTATCTCAGATGATATCCATTTAGGAGTTAATTTTCCAGGCTTTTTCAAATCAATCACTGCTACAAGTTAACACACACTTTCATAGCAATGACTTAAAGAAATTCACCCAGTAGTGTAATATGATGAAAGAAAGCGAATTTTCATATTTTTTTCATACACCGTGTTCACAGTGTATGTTGCATAAAATTACACTATAATGAATGGTTAAAATCAAGTTTATCTGTGTATGCAGGATTTGTATGATGTTATTCTCAATTTATTATGATGAAATGCAAACTGAGAGAACCTCTCCATTCAGTTGTATTGAGTTGTATTGTATTTAAGGTCTTTAATAGATGAAGTGTGTGTCCAACCAAGTGATACATTTCATTGTTTTTTATTGCAGCTTAGGCAAATATGAAATATCTTTATATGGAAATCATATATTATTTTGCAAAGAAAGATTTGATATGATTGGCAGGTTTGGTGAGGACAGTCAGGAGAGGGTGCTGGATTGGCTGGAAGACTGTGACTTGGTGACAACAGATGACTCAGTGCTAGATCTTGGTTGTGGCAATGGAATGATGCTTATAGAAATGGTATTTGAATTCTGTATTTGTTCATTGAAATCATTGGATTGATAATTTAACATTGTAGCATATGAATTAGTTACATAACTTTTGACATATAATGATAATGCACTGGGAGATTTAACAGGCAAAAAAATTAAAGGAAAAAATAAAGAAAGTGAATATCAAAATATTTCTACATTCGGGTGTTTAGAATTATGTTCATATGTTTGATCTAAGTAATAAAGTTTGTGACAGTCATGAATTAAAACTACCTTTATTTTGTAATACTAATGATGTTAATGTAATTGATTTAGAGGTATCACTTTTTAGCACTTGTTCAAGTACACCCTAATATATGATTGATTAAAACAAAAAAATAAAAAAATCTTGGCTCTAAATACGCTAATTTATGATTACATTAAATACACTGTACATGATGAGGAAGATTACGCCAGATTTTGAGTGCTCTAATTAATGTACATTTATAGTAGCCATGGAATGATACTATGACATCAATAATGCATCAATTTTAACTTCGAGTGGCTGAGTCTCAGTAGAGCCACTTGTTATCGCAGTGACTAGCATGACAAAGTTCTTGATATATATATATATATATATATACACAATCCCATTTCTATGTATACACATTTCTGTGAACTCTTGATTAGGGACTGGAGACATCTACTATGCAAAATCTTATATTTACCGGTAATAAATCGCAATCTTATTTAGTTAAATACCAGGAATAAAAAAATGTTGATTCAGCAAGTCGTAATCAAGAGACCCAAATTTCTATTGTTGATTCAGGCAAGAAGAGGATACACCAGTTTGACTGGGGTCGACTACTCACAGGGAGCAATAGAGCTTGCCAAAGCCATAGCAGAGAAAGAGGAGATAACCTGTATAAACTACCAGGTCAGACATCAAAGTTGTCTACCCTTTAATCCTTTACAGGTTGCTGACCTATATTGCTGTTGACTGTATTTTTACAGGTTGCTGATTGTTGCATTTTTACAGGTTGCTGACCTAATTGCTGTTGACCATTTTTACAAATTGCTGACTTTGTGTAGCATTTTTACAGGTTGCTGACCTAATTGCTGCTGACTGTACGCAGAAGTATACATGCTTAACCAGACAGTATAAGATCGTCATTGACAAGGGAACATACGATGCTATTAGTCTTATTCCTGACAGTGAGGTAGAGGCTCGGCAAGTGTACCTTAAAACAGTGAAACACCTTGTTGCTGAGAATGGGATGTTTGTCATAACATCATGTAACTGGACCAAGGAACAATTGCTTCACTTTTGGAAAACTGGTAAGAAAAGTCTACAATTGTCAAACTTTTTATATTATGTTTGTGGCTGCACTAAATAATTTTTACAGAGTAATTATTCTAAATATATTAATAGATGAACATCGTTGATAAATCATTTATAGCTGAAATCCTTGTTACTCATGTCATGGACTTCTAGGGGTTTTAATAAAAATTGGAAGAGTACAGCTGTAAATTGAGGCATGTCATTGACTTTATAAACACATATTCCATGCTGGAACTTCAGATTGATCCAGAGAAAGACTTTTTTTTTCTTTTCTAGATTTTGAACTTTTTGAGAAGATACCGACTCCCAGTTTCCAGTTCGGAGGACAGAGTGGAAACACTGTGACTTCGTTGGTTTTAAAACCCAAACCCTGATATACTGTGCTGATAATTAAAGAAAATAACACTTTCTTCCCCTGGGAAAAATGTTTTTATAGCTCAGTTTTGTGAGATATTAAATCTGTGATACATCTTCTGAGATTTTTGTGTAAACATTTTGTAATGGTATGCTGAGATTGTTGAATCATGGTCATGAGGTGAAGGGTTCAGGCACAAGGGTGGATTTACTTACTGGAAATGCATTATTCATGATATTAATGATAAATTAGCCATTTAAATTCATAAGTTCTGGGTGGGGCTAATTCATATAACGCACATGCATAATATTTTTGAACATTTTTACCACTGGACATCATGCATACAAACTGCATGAAATTTTCTATCAAAATTTTTGAGATTCATATTCCCTGAGTTCAGACCCATGATGGGGCGAAGTTGGTCATGTAATGAGAATGCATTGATTATTCCTTTAAACTAGAAATATGTCCACAGGACATGAATGTCCTGCCCAAGGTAACTGGTATTGCAACATGAAAAAAATGTACCTTCCCTCTTTGGTCAATCTTCAAAAAGTGAAGGTCGAGGTCAAATGAAAAACAAAGTCATAGGGTTAATGTCAAAAACTTACAACTTAGATTGTTTTTACCATTATGTAACGTTGTAAAAAAGTAATAAAATTATCTTTAAAAATGAAGTCAAGGTGTCATAGGGAGGGTCAAGGTCAGAAAATTATTACACAGTTGAATAGTTCTCAGGGATTTGTATTGGTGTATAAAGTTTGGTGAAAAAATTTGAGAGCAGTCTCTTCTTTACTATGCTAAATGCAAAACAATCAATAGTGAGGTCAAGGTCATATGGAAGGTCAAAGTCGAAAAGCTCTCATCAATTTATATTTATCTATGAAATGAAAATATCTTGAACACTTTCTTTGAAACATAAATTCAAAATGAGGAATAGTGGTGTCAAGGCCACAGGGAAGGTCAAGGTCAGAAAATTATGACATAGTTGAAAAGCTCAGACTAATATGTATTGGTGTAAGAGTTTTGAATATCTTCAATAATCGCTTTGAAACTGAGCTAAACACGAAATAGGGTATAGAGAGGTCATGGTCACAAAATAAGGTCAAGGTGAGAAAGTATTGTAACAATTGAATGGCTCCCACAAATGATTGTATCAATGTAAGAGTTTTGATAAAAAATATCTTCAAAAGCTGCGTTGGAACTGAGCTCATTACAAAAAGAAGGCAATAGTAAAGCTTAGGTCACAGGGAAGACCAAGATCAGCAAGTTATGCCACAGTTGAATAGCTCTCACCAATATGTGTATCAGTATATGAATTTTGGTTACAAGTCTTGAACATTTTGTTTTGAAACTGAGCTAAACACAAAGTGTGACAGACCGACAGATAGAAAGACAGAAAGCCAGACATGATAAACACTATATGCCCTGTCCATTTTCATGGTCATTGGTGGGACCAAAAAAAAATCTAAAAGGACATCTAGTCCTTCAAGGGAACCAATGAACAAAGTTTGGTGTCAGTCAAGCAAAGGGTTCTCAGGATATTGAGCTGTCAATATCTTAAAGTGACGCCATGACATACAAACAGGATATTGACAAAATAGAATTTTTGCATGAAACGTGCAAATGCTCAGTTCTTGAAAAGTATTAGGTTTCAGGAAATTACAAGTTCCAGTACCTAAAACATCTGCTTTTATGGAGAAAATTTTTTTTGTCTGCCACAAGATGAAAATATTGCTTCAATGTCCCTTTCTTCAGGGGGAGGGGGGGGGATAGAAAATTGAACCCCCATGAAAATACCCTGTATATTTTTTAAAATTTTGGCCAAAGATACTCAGGTGAGTGTTGTGGCCCATGGGCCTTTTGCAAATTTTACTGTTATATTGACCTCATCCACAAGTCACATCACATTATGTAGCTCTTTTAGACTCAACTTTCATTAAGGCAACAACATTCAATCCATGTCACATCAACCCATCATACAATGATGTATGCAGTAAATTTTGCATTTTATAACATCAGCTTTTGGAATTGGGCAAATATTGTAAATGTCCAGGTTTAACCGATGCTTAAAAATATCCCATAGATGTTTCCATGATCTACTCCCAGATAGACAGACAGTCAAAGTTATTCCCTCCCAGATAGACAAAGTTATTCCCATGTTCCTGCTGTGCTTTGCAGGCAGCACAAAAATAAAGCACACATTAAATCCACAAAAACAACATTTATTCAAAAACACTTGACAGTCCATTCAAATGTCATAATGTCTGGGCTAACCTCAACCATCTCAGGCCATTCTTGTCTTGTTGTATAGAAGTTTAATCCTAACAAATAACTTGTTTGCAAAGAGCCAAAAAATTAACCAATACCTCTCTCAATCTTATTTTGACTTAGCTTGCAATTCATTTACTTGATACCATGAAGGCCTTAAATCCTAAAAACTCAAAAATAATCTGTCATTCTCACCTATAGTAAATTATTATATGTATCTCTATCTAAGCAAGGAGTAGTACACAATATAGAATATATGAAGAGAATTTGTCAAACTTGGCAAAGTTACCAAATACACGAAGTATACAGAGTTAAGTCTACAAGCAAGAGTTATGTCTGGGTGTGGTGTCCTCCTAAAAAATTGTTTTTTTTTCTATCATATTTCAAAATACCACACAGCACAACTTTTGCTTGCTAGAAATTATAACTACAGGATAAGTGCTTACATATAAATATACCATTCTTCCAAATACTGGATAAATTGTATTATGATGCCAAAGACGGAGCAAAAAGAAAAAAAAATCTACCAAGAGGAACATAAATTGTTTCATGCACATTTCATGCAATGTTCAAACATGTCCTTCTTTAGAAAGAAAAAAAGTTTTTTATAAGAATTCCCTTATCCAAAGATATCTAAAAATAGGCCATGCTTCAGAAAACAAATTTCAACTATACACCGTTATAAAAAAGAACTCATTTACAATTTTGCTAAACATTTTAAAAACAGCGTGAAACAAAAAGCAATGCCATGATTTGTTGGTACGTGTATATGCAATTGTTCCTGTAGCATTATTACTGACATAATTGTCTTTACTCTTACCAATCAACGCAATGGCTTTGAATCAGTTTTCTTCTACATTTTAAAAGTTGTACTTCAACAAAATCATGGCAAAAAAGAGTGTGAAAAATTATCAAAAACATAATATTTAAATACAAATCAATGACAAAACCCAATTTTTGGAATATTCTGTACAAAGCAATCCACATATGTTGTTAAACTACTTTCCATTCCAAAACTTTACTTTATTGAAGAACAAGAGAGAAAAAAAAAATGTGATAAGCAAATATTCAAATTTACAACATAATCATCTTGTAGTGAGGGAAGGAGAATTCATCATATTTTTACAACATGCTTTTATTTTTTGTGTTCCTGGAAGCTTTCCAAGAACCGTTATTTTTTTCTCTGTTTGAAAGCAAGCATAATGCTACCACTTTATGAAACACACAAGACTGCATGATAAATAGAGTAATACAAAAGACGAAGCCAGTAATTCAGAGATTTTCCTTCTAAGAAATTTACAAGACCACAACCAACCCCCAACCCCCCACATTTATTTTATGTAAGATTCTACATTATAATTTTTATGAAATTTCCCCCAAATTACTGACTTCTTGACATTTTAATTCCAGTCATTAATCAATACGTAAGCATATTTAACATTTGTAATAACTACAAAACCTTAGCTATTTGATATCAATCAAATCAGCTTTACATTAAAATATTATACATAATACAAAATGAAAGAAAAAAAAAATTAAAATAGTTAATGTACAATAGGGACCAGGAGATATCCATCATTTAATTTGAAAAAAAAATTCACTCCTCTTTTTCAATGTCCCATTAAATCTCCCTTTCCAGCCGGATACAGGGATTTTTCAATCAAAATGAAAATAAGCATGGATACTTCAGCATGCTTGAATCTTTTTTTGGTTACTTTTTTGTTGCAAAAGTAAACTTTTCCTTATAGTTGTTCTGCTTGTTTTAAAAAAGAAGAAACCATTTCTAAGGAAGCTGTTGCTGGTTCATTTTCTAATACATTTCTACACTTCTTATCTCATTTTACATTTCCAATGAGATATAGATTCCACAGAGGAAATTTTTCACTGTGGAAAAAATGAGTGCATTTTAAATAAAGAACAATTCTGATATAGTTTAGATCCTTATTTGAATTAATTTCTTCTTAAATTCATCTCTATTTTCACAAAGTCTTGTTTCTTATCCAGTCCAAGTTGCCATGGCAACAGCTTAAAGGACACATCAAAAATGTCAAAGGTCAGTTTAAAATCTTTCATCTAAAGTATCTTTTCACCACAGACACCAAAGAATTTCTCGAAATCATCTTCTGTGGATTGAATTTTGCTCTCCTGAACGTGTATAACACATTTTGAAATTCACATAGAAAATATTCCTAACCAAGTACATGTATTAAATTCCACTCCTTGCTATAACAATCAATATGCCTACCCTATTTCATCTTTTTTTTTCAACAGAGACTCATTTGAAACTCATTTTGAAACTCTTATTTAGAGTAAAACCAACTTTCTTTGTCAATTCCAGAATGGTTTATACATCCTAGTTGACTGGTAATATTGCGTCAAAGTGTGCACACTTAAAAACCCTGACACAGATTTCCGCCCAAACCCTAAACAAACCTTATCACAACTTATTACATTATTTTTGTTTTTTTTTAATCCAATTTCTTTTAACCCTTGTCCATATCATATTCTAGACAGTGAAAGCTCAATGATAAAACAAGTTAAGTTTCTTTTTTGTTGAGAGAGAAAATAGATACAGGAAAACTGAAAACCAAATGAAAGTCAAGAAAATACTGATTTACATGAAAGAAACATAAAAATATGAAATAAACAAGTATATCACAGATGTCGAAGAATGTTGAACCCATACAGGCTTCTAAAGAACAAACTGAAACTTCCACTTGGTTTACAGTTTTAAAGATTAAGGTCCTGCATGAAAAGATAAAGAATTTTTTCAGTGTTGTCTAGAACATCAGATGGGTGGCTTAATGAAAAATATTGAGGCCCAAAATCCCTTCCTTGGACAAAGCACACACAAATTCACATGACAAATACTGATCTTTTTTTCAAACAATTTGTTTTGCTAATAAAAATTAATATAGAAACATACAAAAATAATGTAGAGGTCTTCTGTATAAAATTCAAAAAAACAATATGGGCCATTTGAACACTTGTGCATGCATCCGCTTACTTACATTACCAATGTCAACTATAAGGCCTCAACTGTGATTCAGCAAGACAGCCCATTAACATTTACAACATCAATTTTCCAAAATACATCAGATTAATTATTTCTCATACTGTTTGCCAGTATCCCAAAAAGATGAAAATATTTTAATTAGTTTAAAAAAAAAAATGCTTGGTGAATTTAAAGTTGAATCTTCAAAGATTTAACCAAATTTACATAAAATTTGAAAAGAGAGAAGATACATTTTTTCATTTTTCTGCAAGAAAAAGTGCTATTTTTGACAGCTGAATTTTCATAACTTTATCTTGAAAGAAAAGATTCACAAGGGCTGTCCTACCAGCTCACATCCTCATTTTGAACTCTAGCATTCCAGTCGAGTGTGTTTGACTTTGGCATCCGACCATTTTTGTGGACTGGAAGTCAAAAGACCACCATTGGAAAATATAAATGCAACAATAGAGGCCACCTTACAATAGTAAGGGCCTTGTTCAACAAACATGATGTGAATAAAATGTCTCCCTGAAAATTCTTCCAACTCCTCTCTCTCTTGAGCAACCCCACTGCTTCATCAAAAAAATATCAGTCAGCATTCTTGTTAAACATAAAGGCTGCAGAAAAAAATTTGGCAGTTTGCAGCCTTTTTTTCTCAACACGTTCAACTAATATCACGACAAAAAATACCACTTACTGAGGACGTTGTTCATTTCTGATTTCACATTTTATACACCTCAATAAGATTTTACATTTCCTAGTTCATGAGACATCTGGCATCAAAATTGGACACGTTTTGTTCATACCAGGTCCCCTGAAACTTGGAAATATAGGCCCCATTCAAAAAGCAAAGACACCAACACTGGCTTTGAGGAAATCTAACATCTGGGGGAAAATAAGGTATAAAACTAAAGAAAATTCTGTAATCGCCAGTCTTTGCTTGTTGAACAGTTCCATATTTTTGGGTGACATGATGAGGAGAATAATCGTGTGATTCTTGTCCACATCACATCACAGAATACAGTGACCAGTCCACCATACAAAAAATAGGAAGAAAAAAATATAACGAAAACAATAGAAATCTGGGGAAAAAATAAACAGGACTGGCTATCACTGTACCCACCTTGTCTGTGTGTATGTGTGTGTGTAAATATTAAACTGCATAACACTGTTGTCACTGTAATGATAAACATTTTCACACACACATGAACTTTGCAGAAGAAAATGATGATTAGGATGAGTTGACTGTCTATGCATTGATGTCTGTTGCAGACTTGTCACCATGGATACCACTATCTGGACTCTGGATTCCTTCGTGGATTCGGCCTTTACCAATTGGAGTTGTCAGATTTTCGTCAGCATCGGCGTCTTCATATGCATCGTCTGAGTGGCCATTCACTTGGGAAATTGCCACCGATTCTCTGTAAAGAACATGATGATATTGACAATGGAGAAGGAATAAAGGTTATGAAAATCAACCAACTCCCAAATACAAATATATGTAAATATACACATACATGTATGTAAAAATTTTTGCCTCAGTACCATATCCTTAACAAATATGAATCTTCACTATTGTTAATTGATAACTTGAACATTACTCTTTGCAACACATATTTTCCCCCATTTCTTGGTAATATCTCAAAGTGATTTTAATCTGGACTTCCCATACTAAGAGAATTTATTCTCTATAAACCTTTGTACATGTAATAATGTATGCATTCTCTATCTTGTACAGTCTTATTTTGGTCCCTTTTGGCCAGAAATAATTTACTGAGTCTATTGCTTTGGTAAAGTAATACATACAAACTAAATCAGCAAATACTTTTGTTGATACATGGACTTGGAATCCCTCCTATTAATTCTACAATACCTTTAAGACTTGCAATATTCTCATTTTTCACAAGGCCTACTTTATAAAATAGGCAAAGCATTCTGATGGAACTTACTCTATAATTTCAATGGTGATTCCACGTCCTTTGCCGTTTGGTTTGGGCTTGGCAGTTGGTTTGAATTTTCCGGGCCTTGGTCTAACTTTGACCTGTGGTCGACGAACACCTCTGACAACTCCACGCCCCCTGAAGGGATATCCTCGGTCCTGTTTAGACAAGTTAAAGCAGTGATAAAACATACTACAAAACTGTGAAATGTACATGTACATGTACTCTACAGGCAAGAACATCTCGAGAGATTTTTTATGCCTCCTTAATTGGAGATTCATGAGCATATAGTTTTAGTCTGTCTGTTTGTCTACAAAAATTTTTACATTGGACATAACATTTGAACCGTTGGTACTAAAGCTACTACAGACACTGACATACTCAGTAACAAAGGGCTAATGTTCTCACCATGGGCATCCTCATAGCTCCCCTGCCATACCCATACATGGGCTGTCCCATGCGTCCTCTGATTGGTCGGTTCATTCCTCGGAACATCATTGGTCCACCTCCCATACCCATGCCTCCTCCTCCTCTCATCGGGGGCATTCCTCCACGCATTGGGTTCATCCCTCCTCTGTAATTTATGTTGAGAGCAATCTTTAAGTTATACTTTACATTTGCCCAAATTTTCTGAAGTTAAACTTTATTAACTTCATAAATATACTAACACTCATGCTATACAGGATCATAGACAGGTATATAGATTAAGATATAAAATAAGATCCTCAGTCAGAAAGAATTACCTATTTGGGTAGCCATTTCCACCATTTTCTCCCCTGCCCACAGACATTACTCTGGGACTCAGTCCTGAGTTACGTCCCCTGCCCGCGGAAGGAATATTGGGTCCCCAGCTTCCTACTACAACCCCCGCAATTTCCAGCTGTCCACCACGGGCATCCACTGGAGAGCGGCCTGAAGTACAAGCATAACTTTACCGAAATACATGTATTTAATTACAAGAAAATCTATGTTGTCTATTAATAAACAGAACAGATACCCATTATTCCATTACATATACAGTGTATTTCCCCTCCCTTATTTTTTATTTTGCAGCAATAAAATCTTTATGCAAGTTTAAAAGAATAAAAACATGTATGGATACACATGTAAGAGTTAACTAGTAAACTCTCATTTCAGATTTTGCTAAATTTTAACTTCTCTTCCCAGATCAAACACATTTAAGCAAACTGAACAGTAAAATATGCAATTTTACTTGTCCTTAGGCCAAATAAAAAAATATGTGTGGTTCCGGTTACCCGACCTTCCCTATTTTATACCCCCGACCCTAAACTTTTTTTTGGCAATTTTCATATTTTTTCCAGAATTTCCCCCAATTTCCATCAATGGCTCCAGTTTAAGTTTTAGTTTCAGCAATGACGGCCTCCTTGCAAAACATAGTGCAAGTGTTTAATAGTGTTAAATCCAAAGGAAGCTAGCATGTAGGTGTCCCCTACCAATATTGACTAGTATATTATCACACCACATCTAAATGCCATTTGCAAAGCAGTGATAGGTATTATTTAGAAAAAATTAAGAAAATCATTTTGTTAAAAAAAAAAAAAAAAAAAAAAAAAAAAAAAAAAAAAAAAAAATCCCTACCTACCTACCCTAATTTTTTTGGAAGTGTAACTGGAACCACACACATTTTTTTGTTTGGCCTTAAAACTTTCTTACCCAGAATTCCCCTGCCCCTTCCTGGAGTCTTGGGCTGATTCTGTTGTGGTCCCATTCCTGCAGGCATTCCACCTGGCCGGCCCATTCTATTGTTGGGTGGCCCCATTCCTGCTGGGCGGAAGTTCATGGGGTTGTTTGGGTTTGGGAATGGCGGGTATCCATAGGGATAGTTAGTGTAGAGGGAAGGGGTGGGAAGCATTGGCTTGGCAAACTCAAACTGTAGTCCCTCCATGATGGCTTGTCTCATTCTCTCCACCTGCAGGACTTGATCCACCTAGGATAGAAAAAATTGTTTTTAAGTTTCAATGCAACTTGCATTTGATTTCAACATCAAATGAGAGGTAAAACAAAATTTCTATACATACATGTTATAAATTTGTATAAACAGTAAAACTTGTCTAATATGGACATTGTGTATTCCAAAAATCTTGCATAATATGTGAACTTTTAGTCCAAATCAGTAAATTCAATTGTTTAAAATGTTGTCTAATCTGGAATTCGTCTAATCCAGACATTTTTATGAAACCAATGGTGTGTCCAGATAAGACAAATTTTACTGTACAAACTAATGAATGGTCTCAATTCTTACCTGTCCATCACACATGTCAATCAGTGGAGTGTTGTTGGTAGCCTTCAGTAATTTGAAGTGAAATAGCTTGCCATCAAAGAACTGCCAGGGAAGGCACATGTTCCAGGGTATTGGGGCACCACACACATCATTAGCAAACACTGCTGTCTCCACACCAGACATCAGTAAGGAAGCCAAGTGGATTCCTCGTGGCAAAACATTAGGTAACTGTAAAACAAACATGTGTACAAGAGGTCAAATTTCCAATTTCAAGTTGAGAAAGTGAACATTCCTCATAAAAGTTCTAAAAAAATTTCAATATACTGTGCATGTATCTTGAACTATATATCAAGAATCATGCTCAGTCCACAGATTTTTCCTTTTTTTATAAACCATTTGGAAAACAACTGACCCAATCAGGCAGGTTTTCACTTATAGCAGACATTGTAATTAATGTATATGGGATAAATCCACTATTGTAGTAGAGGGTTCAATACCTTAAGATCCTGCATGGTTTGTACATCATGTAGAAGTGGAGACACACTCATAGCAAGGAAAGCATCTAACTCCAGACGCTGAAGGATGCGACCAAACCTTAGCATGTACCTATAGGAAAAGGGACACAACTTACTAAATAGATGGCCTAATGGATGGGAAAATGCAAAAAAATCTTTATATTGCAATTATACATGCAACAACGGATATGACAAAATAAGAAATTAAGGTCACACATACACTGTACAAGTAGTATTAGATGAAACTAGTCATCTAAAACATTTAACAAACAAGTAGACATATGTTTATTCATTAACTCACTGTATGTACTGGTCATCTTACACGTTATGTGATCATCAAACAAGTTGAGTATTCACTTCCTTAACAGAACCTCACCTTAGTACACAGCAGAGAATGAGGAGTTGTTGAGGCACATATTGTGTGTTCAGCATCAGCGGTGTGTCACTTTCCATACAAGTCAGGAACGCCCTCAGGCGCCGAGTTTTGTCGTCCACCTGCTGACCTAGCCACATTCGTTCAATGGACGGGGTCTTCCATTCCACTGGACGAGCAATGACCATGTCAAAGGAAGGACGAGCATTGTTCCTCCTGACTGACCATTCCTTTACTGGTATGTCAAAAGACTTGGGGGAAGAGGGTGGAGCATCACCTGTCAAATACAAGTTTATACACCTCAAATTATGTCATCTAAAAAAATAGCAAAGTGTTATACATGTAATAAATGAATGCATATGGTAATTTTATAACCACTGACTGGAAAATTTAGCAAAACTTATAATAGCATTCACAGATTCTCAATAATTGTAAATTCTGTAAATGTACATAGTTAAAACTGTTCCTGCTTCAAAAGCCTTAACCTGCCAATCATCCCTAACATATTTATGTAGGGCAGATGCATTTGATGAATATTTAGGAAAGGCTAACATTTCTTTAAGAGTGAAAATTTAACTGACCAACTCATCCAGAAAATACGGGTCAGAATGCAGCGTCTGCAGCAGGAATGGTTGTTTGAATCCCTAGGTAGGGCTACTAGAGAAATAGAGCTGCTCCTAAAACTTTAATCAGGGATATCAACATCGTCACAAATGATGGGGATATATATTGCATACTTAGCTGTTCTCAACTATGAGATGAGATGCATGTAAAACCAGCTGTATCAATGATGTACATATAATTCCAAAATATCAAGACTTGGCTTCAGCCACTTTTTAAAGGTTTCTGTTCTCCCTCATCAAACTATCAGATTTACTACATTCAACTTGCTTCCACAGTGTTAATCTTTGACCTGAAGTAACTGCAATGACTAACCTTTCTCTTTGACCTGATTTTCGTGGATAATCTTGAGTTTGTTGAGGTTGAAGAGTACAGAGTATACTGTCTGTCGGATTGGTTTATATAGCTCTGCTGCTGTTGGCAGCTCCCTGCTGGCTTCATCCTCCAAACTCACAGGGATCTTCATCTCTCCCTATTGACACAGAACAGAACATTAGCATCAATGACACAAAAATTCCATTAAATTCCGTGCAGTCATTTAATTAAGTCTATTTAGACATATTGATGATGTTTTATCAATTAACAATAGTCATTTTCAATCCTTGATTTTATATATCCCTTTGAACTCTAAATAAATGACACCATAGAGTCTGATACATCTATTTCATATTTTGATATTCTAAAAAAAATTTTTTAATGGTAATCTAACAAAAAAATTTTAAGATAAACGTGATGACTTAAACTTTTCTATCAACTTCCTTTATTAATGTAGGAATATACCATTATTACCTGTATATATGGAGTTTATGTCTCCCAGTTAATTCAATATGCAAGAGTATGCTCTATGTATGATCGATTACTAAAATGAGGCAAGCTATTGATATACAAGTTGATGAAAAAAGAACATCAACAGTCTTGTTTAAAGTCAAATTTTCGCAAATTCTATGGACAATACAGGGTTGTCCCTAAGACCCGTGGGCTGGAGAATTTTCCCACCTATAATGATGTAATCCCCCAGTTATTTTCGTATTCCTCCTAAACTCCCCATTAGGGAAGGAACCCCAGTTCCCCATCTACTTTTTAAATGTCCTCTTCTTTTTCAATTCTTAGGGACAACCCTGACGATACTATGACCTTGCCAGCACATACAGTCCATCAATAAGTCAAATGTTGACTGACATTTTTCATACAAATTGTTAGGCCTTTTTTTTTTTTTTTTTTTTAACATTGAATAGCCTATGGATTTTTCTGTTTGCCCAGGGGTGTGTGAGCAGTCAACAGGGGATGCTTACTCCTCCATGGCACCTGATCCCACCTCTAATGTTTTTAGAGGTCCATGTTTGCTTCGCTCCAAATTTGTATTGTTTCAACAGACTTTTGAGCTTGAATACTGTTTGTTATCTTCATACATGTATTTCATGTACATATACTACGGTCACTCACTGAAGGCCACATCAACACATTTATGACAATGAGACAAGTTTCACCTGTGACAGCAGCTGATAAATCCAAGGGTGCATCAATCCCTTCTGGTGCCTCTCACTGGCGATTCTCATGATTTCAGGGGATACCTGTGGGATTTTAGAGTCTCCTGAGGTTGACTTGTTCTGTTGTTTGCTGTGCATTTGCTGAAACAGAAACATTCCAGCATTTAAACAAAGGAATAAGTGACAAATTAGTCAATATTTCACTGAAATCTCTAAGACAAACTGTATGATAAATAATAGATATCTGTTACGAAATGATTATGGTATAATAATGCAAACTTATTGTCTAGATTTTGTGGGAGAAGGTATAAAAAATGTACAAAGTCATTGCCTGGATTTTGAGGCCGGGGAATATTAATACAAACTTACTGCCTGGATTTTGAGGCAGGAGGTATTATAATACATGACTGAACAGACTTACTGCCTGGATTTTGAGGGACTGGGACCAGTTGGCCTCTGGGCTGTTTCTGTTGGGACTAGAACCACTGCTGCTGGATGAGGAGGAGGATACAGCGGCTAACATATCTTGACGAATTCCTACAAAACACACCAAACTTACTGTGATTTCCTACAAAACACACCAAACTTACAGTGAATTCCTACAAAACACACCAAACTTACTGTGATTTGCATACATATCATGATATTTTTCACTGGTCCAGTGATTGGGAAGGCCATAAAGGTCAATGGGACTATGGCGCAACTGTCAAAGTTTTTGAAAGTGAATGGGCCATCTTTATATTCTGATGGGCCATTTCAAGAAGAAAAAAAATGACTTGTAAACAAAATGTGAAATAAGAAAGGAAACATGTTTCTTTATTAACCAAATCTTATTTTTCACGTATGTTTATGGAGTGTTGCACATTTAATGGAACACGCAAACAATATAATTTTCTCATATTTTGGATCAATAACGTCAAAATTGGGAAATGAGTGAGGTAATGTACCTTTGATGTCCTAAATAAAGCGCTTCATGTAACAGGAAACAGTTTTTGCCGGGTTTTAACCAATGAGATTTGTTGTATTAAAATGACTGCATTTAAAACGAAAGTAAAACAAGCAAGAAAGTCGTACGCAATATATTTCCAACTAACATAGCTTAAATTTGAATGCCCACCTTGGCACCACCAATGGTTGATTTAATGCGCCAATTATCACTTCAATGTGACTATGGCGCATGGCGCAAGCCCTTCCCAATCACTGCTGGTCAAGAAATTTTCATTGTATTGAATAAACAATATTACATTTCTTCACAAATACATGCAAGAATATATGTACATGTACATAGTTTATGAATCTATATATCTGTTGTAAAACAAAATTATTTTTAAAAAGTGCTGTTTAGTAATTATTACATATTTCTGATTTATATTTAAAATATTTGTTAAACATCTTAAACAGTCAGGGGTGAGACTGAAATCCGTCATTTCTGAAAAATGATGGATAATCGTCATATTTACTAACTACGTATTTTCGTCATTTTTGTCAATATGACTTACTATCGTCATATTTCTTTTTCAACTTAATTCTTCTATCCTGGTTACATAAAAGCGAAATTTGAATTCACCACTGAAAGAAGAGTGTTTACGCAAGTTTCATTTCATCCGGGTCACTAATTACTGCCAACCACGTGTATTAGACCATCAACATGGAAGGTGAACGTTATTATTTTGCGGTAAAATGTCGAATTTTGGTAGAACTAATTCGCCATTTTTACATGGCTTTTAGCCCTATAAAAACATATAGTACACCGTCTGGAAGAATACGTACTTGTAGAGAAAAGTCTCGACAAAAAGTTAAAGCCATAAAAAAGTAGTGCGCCACGTAAAACAAGCGAGATATTTCAGTGAGCCCAGACCCTCCATTTTGAAAAAAGACGGAATATCGTCATTTTCGTCTTCTTTCCTATTTAATGCAAATAAATTGACAAATAACTCTTCCACTCTTATTTTTGCTTGGGAAATTTGTACTGTCAACATAACCAGTATTGTAGTCAACTGTATTAGAGAAATGAAGTTTGTTTACGATGTTTTTTGTCCTTTTTTCGGTGTTTATGACTGTTTTTCGTCATTTTCTTAAAAATGACGAGTTTAAGTCATAATAAAAATTTTATTTTATGACTAAAAATCGTCATTTTAAAAATGACGGATTTCAGTCTCAACCCTGACTGTTTAACCTAAAACATTAAAAGTAAAACAGAGACTGAAAAAATATATATTGTAAGTCTGAAAATTTGTTTTTCTGTGTCAATATTTCTACACACGTATCGAAACATGTATTATCATCACACAAAGTCCATATTATCGATAATTTGATATATCATCCCAGTCCTAATTTGTACTAAGTTTTTTCAAACCAAAAATATAGGGGAATTTTACATAAATCTGTGTTTAAAATGTCCATGGTGACACAGTTCACCAAATCAAAAACAGATACAAGAAAATTGGGGTGCACCAAGGTTTCATGTATCTGTTTTACTGAAACTTAACTGGATGAAATCTGTACTTTTGAAAAATCTGCGAATGAATCATTTCTAAATAAGCACACTACCGCTGTTTCTTTAATAAAACAAAACCTACCTGGTGGGATATGGTTAAAGTTGGCATTTCCACCCGTCGGGGGATCAACCACCACCTGAGGCACATGATCGCCAGAAAATCCAGTGTTATCCTAAATGTAAGTTACAAAACTGTCTCAATCTACTCGAAACTTATCTGAGGCCAGAGTTATTATATCTTTCGGTTTACGGATCCGACGACCCAATTTTTTCAGGTTTTTGAAAATAAAAATTATGGATTTTATCACCCCTGTCGTTAATTTTCCGGAAAATTCATGTCTGATCATCAGGGTTTAAGTATTTATAATGCGTCTGGGTCCAATACATGCATTAAAAACAGCTCGCTGTTTCAAACATTTCGGTGATCATAAACAGAAACGTGTAAACATGGCGGCAAGCATGTCTTTATTTTAAAGTAAAGTAATCAAAAGCCTGAAAGGCTTCAATGACGTCGAAGAAGAAAAACAATTTCAAAAGATCATTTTGAATTTGAAGATAGCAATAAGTCAAGTGAGTGACTCAGGAGAAATAATAAAAAAAAAATAGTTTTAAACAAAATATCACAATTACAGTTTGGGGCCTTATGTCATGGTCCGAATGAAGCAGGGTTCGAATTGACCAGACACCGTCGAACATGTTCATGTTAAATTCTTTTCAGTCAGTTGAAGAACTATGAAGGATTTCATGAATTTATATAATATTTTTTCTAATTGCCAATGTCAAAGCGTTGTATTAGTGATTGCATCTAAACTACAACCAAGACTGTTCTGTTACAATTACGATCGAGTTACGATCGGGCGTGGTATACGGTATACTGGGAAATGGAGGAAATAGAGAAATACAGTAATACTGGTCAAAATCATCGGTTTTTAGGATAGAGTTGGTTAGAAGATTGTATAAGTAAAGCTAAGATTTAGAAATTCAATCTTTTTAGTCTTGTAGTATTCGTGTTTATGTAATTTTTAATTATTTTACCTCCTGTTGTGTTGTTTATGTTACACGGTTATCGTTCCGAAATGTTATTCATGTCATTTAACGCACCCTTTCTGTAGAAATTCATCCGCAACAACCATCACGTTTTTCTTGTGTGAGAATAAAACATAATATTGTTGTTTTGCAATAGAATTAATTGCAGATATAATTGATGCAATTTTATTTTCAAGCTATTATTCATTTTGAGCGTTTTCAAAGAAATTGGTTTATAGCTATTGCTATTTTCTATTGCGGATGCATCGACTGACACATTCGGTCGCGTACATATCCGGTCGCGATTTCATACTGGGCGCTTGCTAGATGACGTTCGAGCTCCGAGAGCTCGACGTCATAAAAATGTTTTGGAGATGGCACGTTGTCCCGAAACTTTTTTTTTGAGGATGAAAGGGTAGCAAACTATAGGGGATGCCATATTTCCCTATCCCCCAAGAGTCGTGTTAAAAACATGTAATCACTCAGCTATGTTAAGGAAGGCCCGAGTTCACATCTGTGATGCACCGTATGTGAAGTTTCATTGTGACGTCATTGAAAATTTAACAAGCGACAAAAACCTATTTAACCACATGATAATGCGTAAATAACATCTTGCATTCATTTATTTTATCAATTATTTATAAAAGCAAGTAGAATCACAACATCTGATAACTATACTGCCGAGTTTTTAGAAGCAAATCTTGCTTCATGAATGATGTCACTAGCCTTGACTTGACACAGTACAAGTGATCTAGGGGCGTGGATCCATTGGTTTAATAATTACAAAAATGCGTAAATAAATATTAAACCATTGCTAATGTTTAAATCTAATTAATAAAATTAAAAGGAAATGATTTATCTAAAACACAGGGATAGACATTAACTTTTAGATTCACTTGCCCTTCGGGCAAGTGATCTCAAACTTTGACTTGTCCGAATGCAAAACTTGGTTGCCCAAAATTAGGATGGAACTTAAGACGAAAATTATTAATTACTGCAAACATTATGAAAAGAAAAAATGTGACGATATACACTACTGTCAATTTGGCAAGTTGAGCTACCGGGTACCTGAAAAAATTTCGATCCTGTATTTGTACATAAATGTATACCGCTGTACTTGTAAATTTAACCTGTTAACTCACACTGCCATTCAGCAATAACCCTCCGTTTCCTTTTTTAAAAATTCATATTTTTGAAAATTATTTGCGGTAGGATCATTTTGTGATTCATGATTTTCAGCGATAACTGTGAAGCAACGCTTAAGGAAGATAGTTGCTACGGAACATACATCTTACCTGTACTTATATTCTGTGCGTGATTAATCTAATTTCCTAAAAAGAAGTTTAACAAAATGTTGTTACTCGTAGAGCGTATTTCCTATGAAAGAAAACAACGAACTCGATTTTTAAATGAACGGTATAATCCAGAAATGCTACCAAGGAATTTCGAATGCAAAACATTGTCAGTCAGGTGCGTTGCAGAAATCAAGTTCTCAATTTATTGTTTTATCTATAAATTAATGTAAACTAAATAAATATGTACATTTGTGTGAGAAAAATTCACTTGCCCGATCGGACAAGTATGTCGATGATTTCACTTGCCCGAACTGAGAATTTACTTGTCCCGGGCAATCGGACAACCGTTAATGTCGATCCCTGAAACAATTATGTAGATTATTAATATATCCAGGTGCTATGGAGCTGCACAAAGACAAAGTATGTCAAGAATATCGCTAACACGATGAGTGTATACCTGATTAAGCTCAAAAGTGCAAGGGCATAGACTAGACTGATTGAGCTGAAATATGGAATATCAATTGCTTATTTCATGTATATTTTGAAAAGTGCTGGGAGCTGATTCTGGTCGGCATAACATTATTTTTATTCATGACAGAATTTAAGCGAAGTGGAAATTCTGGGCTATTAAACGCATTTTCGGCAAAATTACGAGTATTTCCGAAACAGCTCAAACTAGCTCCCAGCACTTTCCGGGAAGCTGATGTTAATCTTTTTTAATATGTATCAATTTTTTTTTCTAAAAACATGGATATGCCCTTGCACTAGCCCCATTTTCTACATTCAACTGAACAATTCTATTTTATACAAGTCACGTGACACACAGCTGATACTTGTACATGCGATGTAACTGGTACTGAGTAAGCCACAAACCTATCCATTATGGATATCTTTATTACCTGTCCTACATTTTTACAGTTACTTTGTTACAAAGATTTTAAAAATAATACATATTAAGTATGTACGTAAGATCGCATTTTCTATTTCCTTCCTTAACATAGCTGAGCAGTGAATTTTATGGGCCAAAATGCCACCGATATTCAGCTGTTTCCCCTCACAAAAAATAGCTATTTTTTCCTAATGATAATATTTTTTTCCAGTTTCAAAAGTAATGATTAATATGCTAAAATTGGACAAAAATTACAGGAATTGCAGACAAAGACTAAGTACGTTTTTTACTTTAGTCTTCAATTTTATTTCTCCAAACCCATGAACATGCAAAATCTTTTATAATGAATGTGTGAAACAATGGAGATATCGATATAAGCAGTTTAATACATAGCTTGTTATAGGTCCCAGGTACATGTGTTGTTGACATTTTAGTTTGACCGCCATTGGTAGATATAAGGTCAGGATAATAACATGAAATAGACAACATTGTAGGGTATGACCTTTCACTAAAATTAGTTAAGATGTTCTGTAACTTTATAATTAATAGAAGGCAGTTTAGTAGATTATGAAACCTAATACTGGTAATTAGTTTTTTTAAATAAAATTATGAGTTATTTCAAGAGAGTAAATTATAGTTATACAAGGTTTGACTAATATATGTTTAATGTTAAAAGAAGAAGATTTATTTAATGATTTTAAATAAGATCTGAAGTAAACCTTAAACAAAATCTTTTGTAGTTCTTTATTTCTGATTCTCATTTACTACAAATGATTTTTCCCAGTTCGAGGAAAATGTTTCTAATTTTTCCCAATTCAAAAGGAGGGTGGTAGTTTAAAAAAAATCAGCAATGTTCAGTTTGAAAGAAGTTTCAATTTATTTTTATTTTGTCACCACCCAATGGATATTTTGGTTGAAAAAAATTCGTAAACCTAAAGAACTTTGGCCTGAGTAAATATATTTTTAGCCTAACACTGTTGAATTAAGTACAGAAAAGTACTGGTGTAATTTTTTGGTTTTTTGTTTTGTTTTGGTTTTTTTGTTTGTTTGTTTTTTTTTCTTCTCAAAATTGCCAGAGAAATGTTTCCATCTTTGAAGAAATATCTACAAGTCCTGTAGTACACATTTACATGTAAATGAATTATCATCTGAAAACTATACTTACAATATTTCTCTGTGACATTGCGTAATTTCCTTGTCTTGGAGTAGCACCAACTGAAAATAAACATGTTTGCGTTCCCTTATTTGATATTCAATTTCGATGATTTTTATGATTTTTTAATAATTTCCATGCTAATTAACTATGAACAGTTGTCAACAATTAACATTGTGCTTGTAGTAATGATAAAGACTGTCTTTCTTATGATGGTACACTCACATTGTCCAAGCCGAGGTCTGTACTTAAGAAATCCATCGTTTGTGCCATTTAAATAATACTGTACACATTGTTTGAACTTTGACACCAGCTCAGTTTTGTTCCCTTTGGAGTTCCTGTTTTGAAAGATAATTTTTGTCAATAATGTCTCCATAAAATTTGAATATACATGTATGTACTGTGAGTGAACCCCCAAGTTCAACCACAATCAATTTACTATATCCATACTTTCGTTCATGTATATCCTGCTATTATCTCACCATTTCAATTTTACAACTTCTAAAAATTTCAAGTGAGCAAGTACAGTTGAACTTCAATATCTTGAACACTGATATCTCAAATACCATGGATATGTCGAAGTGAGTTGGAAGTCCCCAACCTCTTATTCTTTAAGTACAGGGATTTATCAAGGCTGTTTTTACTACTGGTAAACGGTACCTTTCCCCTCTTAAGAAAGGTGCAAAAATTCCCCTTTTTCAGATAGAAAATTTGCCGATTAAACAGAGAATATTTAAAACATCGTTTGTAAATTTCCCGTTTTTGTCTGATTGAATTCTAACTGCCCCCGGACCCCCCTACATGTAGCATATTCGCGCCTCTGGCGCTCAGCTCGAGCCTGCGGCTCTCATTTTCCCCCTTAACATATAAAAATGGTAGTAAAACAAAATAGCTAGATAAATCCCTGAAGTATTTTACCTCTGGTATCTTGAATCCTCGGATATCTCGAAGTTTTTTCTTGGTCCCATTGAGTTCGAGATAATGAGGTTTGACTGTACAAGTACTTACAAAAGCCATGTGCATAATAATCATGTGCTACTGCAATAAAAAAAATTGTGTCAAGATTTACCTGAATATGATTTCTCCAACTTCATCCAGATTTTCAACACTAGGTAGATTCCTGACAAAATCCACAGCTGCCTGGATAGCATTTTCTGGAGTCAACTGAAAAAGGTTAAAGTTCAAATTCAATAACACAAATCATCAAACTTCAAAATGCTGGAGAATTAACTGATATTATATCTATGTGATCATAATATTCTCTTGCTATAACTTAAGAAAAATATTCACTCAAAAAAGTTTACGAGATAATGGAGATCACAGTATAAACTTTAGGGGCAACTTCAACATAATCACAAAGTTTGTACTAATTGATTTTAGTCCTGGCTGACTAGTTCCACAACAAATTGAAACTGTTTATGTCAACTTGTAACAAACAGGTGGAAGTCCAGCAGTGACCAGGACTCGTTACGAGCTTAGTTTTTGAGGTGAAAAGTAATATATAAAAATTATACATTGATATATATACCAAAATAGCAGTAAAGTGCCTGTGGACTTACAATAAAATTAACCCTATGTCTGCCCTAAATAAACCATATACATGTGTAACTGTTACAAAGATTAAGTTAATATTGCACCAAGTGAATTACAAACAACATGCATAAACAGTCAGGGGTGAGACTGAAATCCGTCATTTCTGAAAAATGATGGATAATCGTCATATTTACTAACTACGTATTTTCGTCATTTTTGTCAATATGATTTACTATCGTCATATTTTCTTTTTCAACTTAATTCTTCTATCCTGGTTACATAAAAGCGAAATTTGAATTCACCACTGAAAGAAGAGTGTTTACGCAAGTTTCATTTCATCCGGGTCACTAATTACTGCCGACCACATGCGTTAGAACATCAACATGGAAGGTGAAAGTTATTATTTAGCGGTAAAATGTCGAATTTTGGTAGAACTAATTCGCCATTTTTACATGGCTTTTAGCCCTATAAAAACATATAGTACACCGTCTGGAAGAATACGTACTTGTAGAGAAAAGTCTCGACAAAAAGTTAAAGCCATAAAAAAGTAGTGCGCCCCGTAAAACAAGCGAGATATTTCAGTGAGCCCAGACCCTCCATTTTGAAAAAAGACGGCATATCGTCTTCTTTCCTATTTAATGCAAATAAATTGACAAATAATAACTCTTCCACTCTTATTTTTGCTTGGGAAATTTGTACTGTCGACATAACCAGTATTGTAGTCAACTGTATTAGAGAAATGAAGTTTGTTTACGATGTTTTTTTGTCCTTTTTTCGGTTGGTGGATCTAACATTTTTCAAAGAGAGGTAACTCGGTATTCTAGAAACACTCTAAATTTTTATGACTGTTTTTCGTCATTTTCTTAAAAATGATGAGTTTAAGTCATAATAAAAATTTTATTTTATGACTAAAAATCGTCATTTTAAAAATGACGGATTTCAGTATCACCCCTGACTGATAAAAGTTTCATTGCATAAAACACAGGAGAATCACACTATGATGAATGACGAGTAACCGATATTATATACCCAAACTCCTCATTCACTTCAAGACAATAGATCAGAGTCTTCAAAATTGATTTATCTAACAATGCAGCAGATAAAAAGAAAACACTCCTTGTACTTTTTTTTTAAAAATTTTTAAAAAAAATTATAAATGCATAGTATTTATTGCCATGGTTCTGGTTTTATGACACATTTTTGTAACAGGGGTCAACACCTTGATGCAACTTCCACCACTTGGTTACGATATTTTTTTTGAGTTTTCAAGTCAGTCATGCAGTTTATAGGTTTATTTGATGCTGTACTTATTTCAAACATTACCTTTGCTGGTTTACTGGGATCAGCTCTGCTTAGAAGTTCAATGTAGAAAGAGTAGAGATCTTCATCTGGGAGAATATGGTTGCCTGTGTATATTCATAATGGTATCTGATTAGTCAATGGCCATTAGTCAAGTACTTTAAAAAAAAATATATCATGAAAGAGAAAATAAGGCATGTATAAAAATACAAAAGCATCTGAAAATATGATCATGTACAGGAAAATGCTCGTAATGACTTCCCATAATCTATATTCAGTTTGTTTACAAGTGCAATTAAGACTTCCTGATGCAATGCAAAACATTTCATTAGAGAATGCAATACAAAGAGATATTGATGTTCAAGATATGAAATTCAACTGTATTTACTGCATGGTAAAATTACATTATTACATGCTAAATTCTTCTTCAATGATGTATCTGAAGTGTGCAAACTGCGGAATCTTCAATTCTAAATTGTTGGTTGACAGTTTCCTGCCTATGATGTATAAACCATGCACCATTTATATAGTAAAGTCTTGCAATTTGATTGCTCTCACCTAACAAAGCTGCCAAAATACAAAATCTATTTGGATTTAGGTCCAGATTCTTTGCAATTTCATCCATAATGTATTCTTTTGTTTCCAAGGAACCTTTGTATGTCAACTTCAGATTCTGTGATGAAAAATACCGAGGAGGATCAAAGATTGTGTAAACGGGGTCCTGTGCAATGATACCCTGCAGACCATGTTCTCTACAGTAGCCAATTACTTCTTGTGCATGATCATCCATTGAACATGCTACCCCTACACCCATCTGTCTTAGGGCCATGCGAAGGGAACCCTGCAAGAATACAGGGGGGATCCACCAGACCTTTGGGGGAGGGGTCCCTTTGTTGTTGATGTGACGCAAGACAAAAGTGACTTTTTTCTTTGCATTCAATTGATCTGCATACCATTCGTTTAATTTTTGGCTCTCTAATGCACCGTTGAAAAATACCACCATATCTAAATTGGCCGAGTGACATGCCTGCATCAGGTTGTTTAGGAACGCTATCATACGATTCCATTGTCCCCCGCAAACCCAATCCGAGAAATATCCCCCGTACAGACGGTCTAGGCAGCTCTCTGCATCGACCACAAGGCAGAAGCGCTCATTTCCGGGTTCCCTGCCACGCCTTTTTGGTATGAATCCTCTCGATATTTTCAGCAAATCCACTGACACACATGCACTTGCACAGTGCGTTTCGATAAATTCCTGTAATGACCTAATCCCCATTTTGCAGAGTTATGCCAAATAATTATTTTTGCATACTAATCAATTAATTTTTTTGTCCAATGAAGTGAAATAGAATGGAATTTTAAGAGAAGAAGTAGGTTAATTTTGACCTACAAGGCGGCCATGTGCTTTTCTTGCGGCTTACGAGTTAGGTGTCATGCGCCAGTGACGTATCCCGGATGTATACCCAGAAACCATTGCGTAACTTTTCGGAATGCCAAACATTTCGGGACTTTACATTTGTTAAACAAACTAAGATCGGGAGAATCTCAAAGGCAATATTTTTTTCCTTTTGCTGGGAAGGGGGAGGGGGAGGTTAATTACAGACGATTTACAAATGTTTTTAACTTAAATAATATATTTCTTTTTTAAAAAGGAAAATTATTCAGAACAGGATTTATAGACTTTCAGGACTTCTGGACTTGGGGGAGGGGGGTTATTTCTTTAAAAAAAAAAAAAAAAAAAACAAACAAACAATGGTAACTTTATTTTTTGGAGATGCTGCCGCAAAGGCAAAAACCTGGAGAAAATATGTTACCTCCATAAAAGACTGAGGTCAAAGATCCAAAATTTTGACCAAAGTGCATATTTAGCTCACCTGGTCTAAAAATGCAAATGAACATCCCCATTTAGTAGAGTCCCAAAATATGCAAAAGTTAACAGGATATAGTGTACAGTGATACGACGGTAACATTGAGACCGTATAGATTGGGGAAGGCGAGATGGAGAGAGATGTGGAGAATAGATGGATAGAACTTTCCTTATGGCATGCACAGATCTCGAGGGGTCACCCCCCCCCCTTCTTCTGGGAATTTTCAGAATTATTAAATTTCTATGCAAAAGCTAGAAACTAAAAGGAGACTTTGCAGTGGCGTATATTCCTTTCTGCTAACGTGTAGGCTAATGTGAACTTAAAGATTTAACCTACGTGCACGGATCTAGAGGAGGGGGAGGGGGCGGACCCCTGAAGTTTGCGGAGTTATAATAATATTATGTATATACATACTGAAGCAAATAAAAAATGACTTTGGACCCCCCTAGAAAACGTGGACCCACTATGAAATATGTTTTTTTTTTCACGTTTAGGAATGGACTTTACCTTTTTTTTTTTTGCTAATTCTGGGTTGGGAATTTTTTGACTGGGATGGAACCCCCCCTCTTCCCCCGGAAAAAATCCTGGATCCGCGCCTAACCTAAATTGTGGGTAGGTGTGGAGGGGGTTGCCCGGCCCCTTCTGTTGAAAAATGGAAACTTCCTTACTCCTAAAATGGTAAGGAGAGTGATGTATCTGAAGATAATTGACTAAGAAAAGCAGGAAACTAAGGTAAGTGTCTTCTCCTACTCCTGGACCACCCCATCCCCAAGATATATGTTTTTCGGGTATGGCTAAGTTGTTTAACTTTGTTTTGCTTGTTGCTTGCCTTAAATTTCCGAGTCTAACCTTTGCTAGAGTAGATGTGGAATCCCCCCCCCCTCCGTCCCCGGGAAAAAAATCGTGGATCTGCTCGTATCAATTAATACATCACAGTGTACGTTTCTTCAACATTATTACAATAATTGCTATTGATGTCAATCAAATGTTAGAGATATAGACTTGAATACATTCGATTTAAGGTAGTCCGATCCTCAGGTTCTGAAATTAAATTAGAAGTTTAGTATATTGCAATGCTCACAAAAATGTCACTGAATTCACCGTGGCAATGTAATGTGTATTTACCCATGGTATATCATCAAAGTTCATCATTAAAGTTAATCATATTAAAGAAAATTATCAAAACTCAAATATATTTTCAGGAAATGCGGATGAAAGCACCAGTTATGCATTTTAATTTCTAATTGTAATTTCATCAAAAAATATATTTTAGAATAAAAAAAACTGTATAGGTATCCAGGCATTTGGAGAGATTGCATTTTTAAAGTCTGCATATCGTCTCTTTGGAAGACATCACTGAAAGCTTTTAATTTCATATCATGTTAATAAAAAAATTGGCATATAAGGCTAGATTAAAGGAAGTTTAATTTCTCTTAAAATGTATTTACTATTGTACTTATATGGGGTGCAAATGTCAACTTTTTACAATTTACTTTCTGGGACTTTAAAGAACCTATTGAGATGCATAAAATGAAAATTGTTGCATGAAAAATTTCAATGTCAAGTTCTATTTTTAGACTAATTAATTAAACAAAAATTTTAAGGGTTATATCCTATCTGGGTGAGGAACGGATATCCTTAAAAAAAAGTTAAATTGCCCATGTGACTTTTCCCTTACCATTCTATGTACGAGTTATTTAAAACCTGCATCAACATGGCGACTATGGATGACGAAACGTGGCCAGAGAAATTTGAAATCCAGTAAATAATCTATCTTTAGGTAATTTTATCTTTATTGCATCACCATGAAAAGATCAACGAGAGATTATATATTAAAGCTGAAAATATTTGAATCATAATTCAGTGTTTATTTAAATTTTGGTCATGCTACATAAAGATTTGAGGCGTATTTATATATTTTGTGGAAACGTGAATTTTGATGAAACAGCTGAAAAAAAAAGTTTATGTACAAAATGGAATAAATTTGCTTGACCATAATATAGCCATTTTAAGCAGTTGAAGTTAATTGTAGTTAATCTTCGTTGAAATGCTTCATTCAGGTTCGTATGTTATCTGTTTTTGTTTATATTTCGAGTTTCCTCTGTTCATGTAAATTTTGCGCAATATGTTAACATTTACTTTTCTAAAATATTTGTTTAATGAATTTTATATCGTCCTACTATTATATTGTTTTAAATAAAATGGCATGTAATCCCTTTTATGGGTATAGATCTTTCCATTGTTTGCATACATGTGACAGAACTGAAAAATCACAACTGGAGATTTGAAAATTTTCAGCTGGAGTTTTGGTCTCAAAGCTGGAGATTTTTTATCGACATTTTTTCAAATCGCAAAAGACCATCCAACCCCCAAAATTCAGGAAAAAATACCTTCTCCCAGTTTATTACTTTACAAATTTTATTTTATAAAGTTGTTGTCTATAGTTTTAAGAAAAATATGATAAAGTTTTTATTCAAATGACGTGAAATTGAGTATTCAAAATGAAATCAACTCATTTCCTAGTAAATTAATTAAGAGTTAACAGCATCATTAAAACATTGGATAAAATTTTATTTTTGATTTAGTATTGATATATCAACTAGTAAGTGAAGTAAAACTTAGCTAGGTTTTATGTAACAAATTCTATGTCAGTAATTTGTTTTTAAATAGAATATGTACAGATGAAAAAAGTACCCTCTAAAAAAATAAACAAATTAGAGTCAGGTATATTTTAGCAACACCCTGTAGTGTGATCTATTTTTAACTAGAGTGTGATCTACATTATAACTGTATCTTTTAATGACCAAAGCAGCATTAGAAGATGGCAACTGGGTATTTTAGCAACTAATTACAATGTTTTGCATTCAGTAATAAACATCAATGGTCTTTTATCAAGTTGAAATATCACTAATTTTTACAACATAATTATACGACCTCATGTTGATTCATACGAAGCCTACCGCTGTGAAAATTTATTGCACTGGCGTTGTTATCTCAATTTCTTTTCATTCTGTGCAATTACATGAAACACGATCAAAAAAATATTGCAAATAATATTTAATTTGAAGAACTTTAAAACACGGAAGATTTAAAAATTAATCGGGAGGGGCGGAAGGGGGGTGAAATATCGGGAGATTTTGTCTCCCGCCGGAAGAATCACATGTATGTGTTTGTTTGATAAACATGATAAAAAACAGTTTCTTATAAACTCTTTTCTTTTCTTTTTTTGTTGAATTCATTTAGTCTAGATATGTGAATACCAAGGACATGTGAAAGAGATTGGCTTATCTAGTCATATTATTAATTCAAATTTCTTTTTCATTATCTTAATTATCTATATATCTAATTGTTGGAAGTTTTTCAACAGTCCTACCATGAAAGCTACAAGTATGTTTCAGATGTTGATGTAACAAAAAATGGAGAGAGAGACAGTAAAGTTGAAAAAATGTTATTGAACTACTGAAAATCGAAAAATATTTGATTCCTTGCAGGCTTTAGACATGGTGTAGATACCTCAGAAGTTTTTCTCTATCGAGAACCTGTTTTATATTTTGTGATGGATGAGGATGCTCTACGTGGATTGGACCCTCGTGCTGATCCACAGCTCCAGACTAGGGTAGGTTTTATTATTTGTACATAAATGTCAGTCACATTGGTAGTATTTTGCATTTTTGTCATTTATTTCATGAGGTTAAGTTTGTTAATTACCTATGGTAAAGAAAAGTATTTTCAATTAAGTAAAACAGTTCTCTTTTTTGGGGGGGAGGGGGGGGGGGGTACAGATTTCAAAGGAAACAACTCAGTCTAATATCATGAATATTCACATTTAAGATTTTCAACTGGAATTTAAAAAAAAAATCATGATGTACATTTATTTTGTTGATCAAAGGTAACTTATAAACAGCATGATGGGGGGGGGGGGGTTGAAAGTCAAGTAGTATTTATACCAACCTCTGGTTTAATTCTGTCATTCAATCTTGTGGAATTTTTGTAGACTGACATTCATTATAATGGCAGAGTTCAAGATCTTATCAGTCCATTAAAGATTATTTTATTTTGATCATTAGTTTTTCATCTTGACTGAAATGCCCAAGGATTTCATTAGTTGGTTAGTTATACCTCTTTGCCCCTGCAGGGGCATAGGGCCTTGTCAACAACTCTCCATCTTGGGCTGCATGTTTCACTTCCCTCCACATGCTCCAGGACATTCAGATAGATCAAAGCTCTGCATCAAGGATCCCTCTCAATGTTGTTGCTGGACGCTTTCTTTTTCTATTGACGTATTGGTTCCAGTTCAGAGCATGCCTTGTGATGCTATTTTGTGGTCTTCAAAGTATATGACTTATCCAACACTATTTTTGCAGTTTGATAGTCTCTGCTTTGGTTTCTGTTCAAAAGGAATTCTGTCTCAATCTTTAATTCTTGTTTTGATGGGTTTTTTAGCTCACCTGAGCCGAAGGCTCAAGTGAGCTTTTCTGATCACATTTTGTCCGTCGTCCGTCCGTCTGTCTGTCTGTCCGTCTGTTTTCACATTTTTGACTTCTTCTCAAGAACCACTGGGCCAATTTTGACCAAACTTGGTACAAAGCATCCTTGGGTGAAGGGGAATTTAAATTGTTAAAATGAAGGGCCAAGTCCCCTCACAAGGGGAGATAATCAAGAGAAGTCAAAAATAGGGTGGGGTCATTAAAAAATCTTCTTCTCAAGAACCACAGGGCCAGTAAAGCTGAAACTTATATGGAAGCATCCTGGGGTAGTGTAGATTCTAATTTGTTCAAATCATGACCCCCGGGGGTAGGGCGGGGCCACAATGTGGAATCAATGTTTTACATAGAAATATATAGGAAAAATCTTTAAAAATCTTCTTCTCAAGAACAACTGGGCCAGAAAAGCTGAAACTATTGTGGAAGCATCCTGGGGTAGTGTAGATTCTAAATTGTTAAAATCATGACCCCCGGGGGTAGGGCGGGGCCACAATAGGGAATCCAAGTTTTACATTGAAATATATAGAAAAAATCTTTAAAAATCTTCTCAAGAACCATTGGGCCAGAAAAGCTGAAACTAATGTGGAAGCATCTTGGGGTAGTGTAGATTCTAAATTGTTAAAATCATGACCCCAGGGGGTAGGGCGGGGCCACAAGGGGGAATCCAAGTTTTACATTGAAATATATAGAAAAAATCTTTAAAAATCTTCTTCTCAAGAACCACTGGGCCAGAAAAGCTGAAACTAATGTGGAAGCATCTTGGGGTAGTGTAGATTCTAAATTGTTAAAATCATGACCCCCGGGGATAGGGCGGGGCCACAATAGGGAATCCAAGTTTTACATTGAAATATATAGAAACAATCTTTAAAAATCTTCTTCTCAAGAACCACAGGGCCAGAAAAGCTGAAACTAATGTAGAAGTATCCTGGGGTAGTGTAGATATAAATTGTTAAAAGCATGACCCCCGGGGGTAGGGCGGGGCCACAATAGGGAATCCAAGTTTTACATTGAAATATATAGAAAAAATCTTTAAAAATCTTCTTCTCAAGAACCACAGGGCCAGAAAAGCTGAAACTAATGTAGAAGTATCCTGGGGTAGTGTAGATTCTAAATTGTTAAAATCATGACCCCAGGGGATAGGATGGGACCACAATAGGTGTATTACATGGGGGAAAGTCTGGTGAAGAACAGCTGGGCCAAAGTTACTCAGGTGAGCGTTGTGGCCCATGGGCCTCTTGTTTCAACTTGTACATGTTGTAAAATTACCGAAGTGAAATAGTATGTATATTATTGTGCAGACGATGCCAATTTTATTATTTGTAGGCTCTCCAGTACTTTGATTATTATTTGTAGACTCTCCAGTACTTTGGTTATTATTTGTAGGCTCTCCAGTACTTTGATTATTATTTGTAGGCTCTCCAGTACTTTGATTATTATTTGTAGGCTCTTCAGTACTTTGATTATTATTTGTAGGCTCTCCAGTACTTTGAGCAACTGAAAACATCAGGAGATGGATGGAAGTTATGTGCTGCAGCATTTACAAATGGAAGTTACTTTGGGTAAGTGAATAAAAATGACAGTATGTTTTTATGATGCCAATAAATAGCAGGGATTTTTATTTTTGCATGTTTTTTCTTGTCAGATTTTTTTTTTTCAAGCAATGTTTATATTCATTAAGATATTCAGTATCCTAGGCAATGAATGAATAATACATGTACATGTATCTGAGCTCCAAACTTTTGATTTACTTTCATATGAATGTAGTAAGTTGAAGAACATTCTGTTTAATAGAGTTTCCCATTTTTCAGGAATGATCACGTGAGGTTTTTCTGTCTTCAGGTCATTGAGCATTACCTGAAATTACAGTGAGTACTTATTTTTTTTAAAATTTAGGGTGAGAGTTTTGTTTTAATCTTGACCTTTTGAATATTGCAGCTTTTTTTTTGAGATGGCACATTTTGCATACTTTTGACATATATGTTTATTTTTTACAGAAACATATACATGTATCATATGTATTTTCTAACAGTTCATTGTCAGGAAAAACTTATTTGATCTGATATTGTACATGTATATTTTGGTACATGTATTTTTAAAGTCCTTCAGGACTTAATTTATTCCATTATTTTTGTCAGCAGCTAAACATCACAGGTTATTACTTTTTAACAGATACAGAGAGGCAGGCATTGAAGATCAACAGAGTATGAGAAATCTCATTTGTACCTGTCTGCAGCTGATGGTATACGTAGTCTGATAAACTTCTATCCAAATGCTTTTTATCATTAACTTTTAGGTCATGTTAAAGATTTCTCATGAAAACAAAATGTAAATAAATATTTATTTGAACAAAGAGCTCATTAAGAGGAAAACACACAAGTTGGTCAGATCAATATATAATGGGGCACAGGAAAACCTAAGTTTATGTATGTCATTTTCAATGATCTGTGAACATGTTTTTCAGGGAAATGAGTCAAACCAAGACCGAAGTTTTTTACGAAACAAAGTAGCCCAGATTGCCTCCCTCGCCTTTGTTATGGACTATCCCCACCGTTGGCCCTCATTCTTTACTGACCTGATAGGAATTCTGTCCCCAAGTGCCAAGGCCGTAGACATTTACCTCCGAGTGTTACTAAGTATAGACAGCGAGGTTGTAGACAGGGAAATTGTTCATACTTATGAGGTACGTATGAGCCATTAAGATAATGTATTGAGGTATATTGAGGTACTAAGTTAATGGAAATTTTCTTCCTCATTGGATAATACATGTACTTCCACATTATCAATTCATATGTAATTTTTTTTTTTTTTTGATTTAGGAGATCCAAAGAAACACTGTCATTAAGGATGCCATGAGGGAACAGAGTGTGGTACAACTAACGGAGACATGGTACACTATATTGGTAGGTCTTAATCCCACATCTACACTTTGTTATTAAAAGAAAAGATAGCCCTCTTCTCTATCAGAGAAGGGGAAAGGTAAAAAAGAACATACTTTATACAGGAATCTGAAATTTTTGCCCTTTTTTTTATTTTTGCCCCTTGTGCCATCGTCGCAAGTGGGCATACTGTATACAGGGTTATTTTCGCCCTTTAATTCTTGCAAACAGTATATCCCCGCTTTAATTTTGGCCAGACAAAGATTATGCTGTCTTTCTTGAATTCGCCCCTTTTTTAGCTCACCTTGACGAAGTCGAGATTAGCTTATGCTATACCCCCAGCGTTGGCGTCGGCGTCCCAGTTAAAGTTTTAGGAGCAAGTCCCATTCCCAAGTAACTATAAGCCCTACCTCGACCACATTGCATGGATGATGCATCTAGGGATGGACAATACCACACTTGCTTCGGATGCTGGATCTGACCTAGATTTTCCAGATGAATGACCAGGTTAAAGTTTTTGGAGCAGGTCAATTCCCAAGGAATTATAAGCCTTACCTTGACCAAACTTGCATGGATGATGCATCTAGGGATGGACACTACCACACTTGCTTCAGATGCTGAATCTGACCTAGATTTTCTAGATGAGTGAGCAGGTTATTGTTTTTGGAGGCAGTTCCATTCCCAAGGAAGTATTAGCCCTACCTGGACCAAACTTGCATGGATGATGCATCTGGGGATGGACACTACCACACTTGCTTCGGATGCTGGATCTGACCTAGATTTTCCAGATGAGTGACCAGGTTAAAGTTTTTGGATCAGGTCTATTCCCAAGTAACTATAAGCCCTACCTTGACCAAACTTGCATGGATGATGCATCTAGGGATGGACACTACCACACTTGCTTGGGATGCTGGATCTGACCTAGATTTTCCAGATGAGTGACCAGATTAAAGTTTTTGGAGCAGGTCCATTCCCAAGAAACTATAAGCCCTACCTCGACCAAATTTGCATTGATGATACATCTAGGGATAGACACTACCATATTTGCTTCAGTTGCTGGATCTGACCTAGATTTTCCAGATGAGTGACCAGGTTAAATTTTTTTTGGAGCAGCTCCATTCCCACGGAACTGTAAGCCCTACCTGGACCAGACTTGCAGGGATGATGCATCGAGGGATGTACACTAACTAACCTGCTTCAGATTCTGGATCTGACCTAGATTTTCCACATGAGTGAATTTTAGCCATATTTTAGCCAAATTAGCATGGATGATGATGTATCTAGAGATGGACACTTCCAGACTTGCTTTGGATTCTGAATCTAATATTGATAGATATTCATCTTGGGTAGATAACATTCGTCGAGTTGAGCTTAGTAATCTTTGATTACCTATGTTTAAATTCGCCCACTAGCAGCAAGGACGAAAAGGGCAAAAATAAAACAGAGACAAAAATTTCCTTTTATACAGTATTTAAAACGGCAAATTCAAATTAAAAAGCATGATCTCATTAATAACAATATCTTGGCAATTTCAAAAAGGGGAAAAATTGTTTGACAGTGTGAGAGGGCTAAAATAACAAGAGGCGAAAATAACCCTGTATACAGCATTTTTATACTATCTGTTAAATTTAAGTGGAGGTTCATTTATACATGCATTTTCTACTAAGTATTCTGACCGTGATACATCTTGCTTTTTATTGATTAATGATTTCATGACCTTTAACGTGTCTTTTATTATATTTTGTTTGGTCAGACCCAGTTTCAGTCCAGTAACCCTGAGGTCACTTGTATGTGTCTGGACGTCATCGGGAAGTTTGTCACTTGGATAGATATAAATCTCATTGCCAATGATAAATTTGTACAGGTAAGTCATAACCTATATGGAAAATGTACATACAAGTATGTATACATGTAGCGAAAAGTCTTAGAAAGAATGCAAAATACATTTGTTTGACTTCAAGGATCATGTTGCTTTCATGAGTAATGTACACTGTACATTTGAATCACATGTCATGAGAATATTTTTGTTAAAAATTGGAGAGATGTGTATACTTTTTTTGCTTATCAACAATGTGATAGACATAAATTATATCTCTGCCTTGTTTACAGGTGCTGTTGGAGTTTATGTCCATGCCTCTACTGAGAGAGAGTGCATGTGATTGTATCCATGATATCATAAACAAAGGCATGGAACCAGTGGCCAAGACAAAACTCATCGAGTCCTTTACATCAATTTTACAAGCTCGAGGCATCTTCAACCCTCAAGAGGTACCGCTTAATTAAATCATAAAGACCATCAAATCATAAACATGCCAAGTGCATTATTAAAGATATTGGCAATTTATTTTATGATCAGTCTGAAATATACAGATATTTTAATGTTAGTACTGATAACAAATAATATTTAAAAAAAATTTTTTTGAAAATTTCTATTTATAAGGTAATAATTTTAGAAAAAGTCATAATTATGGTATTTATAAAGGAAACAAATTTTTCACAAATTCTGGTTATTTTGTATATAATCTTTAATGATACAAACGTAAGGGAGAATAAAATTTTCTTGACCAGATGATCTTTAGAAATTAGGCAAAAATATAAAGTTCTTACAAATTAAAAGCGATTTATAGTATTTTTGGTGGTATGTTTTTACAATTTTTTTTTCTATATTTACTCAGGAGGAAGAAGGGGATTATTTATCCAAGCTGTCTAAGCTGATCAATGGAATTGGGGTCAACCTCATCATCAGCTGGCAAAAGTAAGAATATATAAAAATGGAAGGCAACTGCAAGTGAACCTTGTTTTTTGGAGTGAAATGTATTCCAAAGTGCTGATACTGTCCCAACAAAAAGTCTAGCAAATGACTTACGCAGTCTACATATTTAAGACTTTTTATATAATTGATTGATTATTATTCATATTCCATTAATTCTAACTGAAATTTTCATTAAATTGTTAAATTTTTCTCTTGGTAACTAAAAATAAACATGTACCTTATAAAATAAATGAAAGAAAATAGTTGCATGTTTATGGAGTCCAAATGAAGTACAGGTCTTTGAATATATAAGAAAAAAAAATAAGGAAACGATTTTCCTAAAGATTACAGAAGATGGATGACCAGGAAAATAGTCGGGTTACCATGGCAGCCCTGGAGGAGAAGGTACCGTTGATGTTCCGTTTCCTTGGTGATGAGGACGATGATGTATCTGGGGCGGTGGTCGCGTTCGTACAGGAATACATTGGTGTTCTGAAACAACTGAAGCAGCTGTCTCCAAAACACAGAGAACATATTGAGGTAAAACTAAAAAGAATTATTACATGTAAGTTTAGGTACATACATGTACATGTACTTTAATGCTAAATTCTGATAGGTATACCCAAAAATTTATAGATACATGTACCAGTTTTATATGGAATTTTTATACAAATACTGTAAAAGCACGTATTTCCAAGGGGTCAAATTTTCGTGGTTTGAGGAAAAACTATGAGTTTATGGATTTGGATGAAGAATTGTTGGGTAGTTTTGTATGAATTTGTGGGTCTTATACATGTACCTCGAAAACAATGAAAATTGAACATCCACAAAAATGAGTGATTTCACAGTACATGATTATTTTAAAATAGGGTAGCCAAGTATCTCTTTTTAATCCATTGTTTATTTTGTCAATTTTAAAGGTTTAGAGAAAACAAAAGATTATTTCTGAAGTCCTTTATCCTACATTTTGTACATACATAGTATACATTATTTTTTAGCTCACCTCAACGAAGTTGGGGGAGCTTATGTAATACCCTCGGCGTCGGCGTCGGTGTCGGCGTCGGCGTCCCAGGTTAAGGTTTTTGGAGCAGTTTTCTTTTCAAGTACTTCTATGGCCTATATTAGTCAGAGATGCATGGAGGAAGCTTCTAGTGTGTTTCATTGTACCAGTCAAGGTTTCAGATGCTGCAATTTCAGCTGAAGAATGACCAGGTTGATGTTTTTGGAGCAGGTTAAAGTTTTTGGAGCAGGTTAAAGTTTTTGGAGCAGGTCTCATTTCCAAGTAACTATAAGCCCTATATTGACCAAACTTGCATGGATGATACATTTAAGGATGCACACTACTGGACTTGCTTCAGATGCTGAATCTGACCTATATTTTCTGGATGAGTGACCACTGACCAGGTTAAGGTTTTTGGAGCAGATCTCATTTCCAAGTAACTATAAGCCCTATATTGACCAAACTTGCATGGATGATACATCTAAGGATGCACACTTTTGGACTTGCTTCAGATGCTGGATCTGACCTACATTTTCCGGATGAGTGACCAGGTTAAGGTTTTTGGAGCAGATCTCATTTCCAAGTAACTAAAAGCCCTATATTGACCAAACTTGCATGGATGATACATTTAAGGATGCACACTACTGAACTTGCTTCGGATGCTGGATCTGACCTACATTTTCCGGAAGAGTGACCAGGTTAAGGTTTTTGGAGCAGATCTCATTTTCAAGTAACTAAAAGCCCTATATTGACCAAACTTGCATGGATGATACATTTAAGGATGCACACTACTGAACTTGCTTCAGATGCTGGATCTGACCTACACTTTCTGCATGAGTGACTAGGTTAAGGTTTCTGGAGTAGATCTCATTTCCAAGTAACTATAAACCCTATATTGACCAAACTTGCATGGATGATACATCTAAGGATGTACACTACTGGACTTGATTCGGATGCTGGATCTGACCTACATTTTCCGGATGAGTAACCAGATTAAAGTTTTTGGAGCAGATCTCATTTCCAAGTAACTATAAGCCCTATATTGACTAAACTTGCATGGATGATACATCTAAGGATGCACACTACTGGACTTGCTTCAGATGCTGGATCTGACCTACATTTTCTGGATGAGTGACCAGGTTAAAGTTTTGGAGCAGATGTCATTTTCAAGTAACTATAAACCCTGTGTTGACCAAATTTGCATGGATGATACATCTAAGGATGCACACTACTGGACTTGCTTCGGATGCTGGATCTGACCTACATTTTCCGGATGAGTAATCAGATTAAAGTTTTTGGAGCAGATCTCATTTCCAAGTAACTATAAGGCCTATCTGAACCAAACTTGCTTGGATGATGCATCAAGGGACGAACAATCTCAAAACTTGCTTCGAATGCTGGATTTGACTTACATTTTCTGAATGAGTGACTAGTTTCAAGTTTTCAGATAAGTCTATTCCCAAGTAACTGCAAGCCCTATCAGACCAAAATTGCATAAATGTTGCATCTAGGGATGCACACTCCTAGATTATTAGTTTAGTGTGGGACTTTGCCTTACTTAAAGACAACATTCGTTGAGGTGAGCTCTGTAATCTCTGATTACCTATGTTTATTTCTTTCATTAATCATGCATTTTAGGGTCTCTTGTATATTGTGATAAAGAAGATGAAATATGATGACTCCTACAATTTCGACCATGAGGTTTGTTTTATTTTATTCTTATCCAGTCAAAAATGGCGGAAGTCAATGATATTCAATAATAAGTACATGTTAATGTAATTCCTGGTTTTTAGGGAGAGGAAGAGGCCATGTTTCAAGAGTACAAGAAACAACTTAAAACCATCTTCACAAACCTGGCAGCCCTGGTAACTAGAAATCAATATACCTGTAGATGAATTCATTGTAGAAAGGAGACCTCATTTTGCTTAATTAATCTTCTTTGTTTTAAGCATCAAGTGCTTTTTAGAGTTTCATAGATTTTACTAATTTAAAAAGAATAAGCAATTACCATTTTAAGTGTACCTTATAAGCATGGAAACTTTTATGGATGATGTATTATTGCAATATTTATGAATTTTTAAGAAACTATAAAATAAGGATATTGTAGTATGTGTAAATGTTTGTTTGTTTGTCTGTGTGTAGGATACAGAGCTGATGGTGGTGACAGTCCATAACCTGGTAAGTCAGACCCTGCCCAGGTGGGAGGCCATGAAGGTGTGTGACATTGAGGTAGCCATTACAATGCTGTACATGCTGGGGGAGGCCCTGCCAGTAAGAAAATATCTACATTAAATTAATTAATTAAAAAAAAAAGAATAAATTCTCAGTTGGTTACATGGTTAAGTTTTCTCTTCTACCAAATTGATTAAGTTGTAGTAATAGTGTGTAACTTTAAGTTCAGTAGACAGTTTTCCATCCTTTACAGAAAATAATAAATGAATTCAAAATACAGCTGTAAAACATAGGGAATTTCATCATCTTTAAACTCAGTGTGGTTAAGATTGTGGCATCTTTTACATGTACTTTTGTATTAAGTGTAAATAAATCTATGTATTGATGTTGAATGTCTTATTTTAACTAAAAGATCACTTCCAAAATAAATTCCTATTGGAAAAATAATGCCAAGATCAAAAACTGTGCTGGTCTAGATTCTATGGCCTCAGAGCCTGAAATTCCTATCAAGTTTGGTCTATGTTTCAGGGTTCCCAAAGTCAACAGTTCAACCCCGATATTTCCAAGGCCAGTCCCCTACAAAATATGATGAGGATGGTATGTTAAATTCAATTTGTTAAATGCATTAAGAATCCAAAATACTTGATCAATGACAACATGTGTTCTTTTTCATTTGACAAAATTGTTCACAACAGCAGAGATTCAATAATTGAAAGTCTTGATGTATATACAGTATAGAGATTTTTTCCCCAATGAGTTTTCAATTTTATTTAAATTTGCAACACATGTATGTTATACTATATACATGTAGCATATGAAGGTCATATATTAATACAAGAAAATGAGAGTAAATTTGTCTACGATTTATTTTCAGCTCATCACTAGTCGAGTCAGCTGTCAAGGTCACATGATCGTGGAGCTGCAGTTTTTTGAAACCGTCACACGATATGAAAAATTCTTCCTTGCTGAGCCTCAGCATATTCCAGATGTACTGGTGAATGACCGATTTTTTTTGTTTGTTCTTTTTTTCATATTGAATATAAAGAAAAGTACATGTATCAGAGAGATCTCAAAGTGAATTACGTAAAATGGTGATGTAGTGTGTTAGGCTTCGAATGAAATTTTCTTGTTTCAGATGGCCTTCACAGATGAACGTGGTTTTCGTCATGAGTCGGCTCAAGTCAGAAGTCGGACTTCTTATTTATTTTCAAGGTTCATCAAAGGACTGAAGTGAGTAGGACACTTCAAATCTTAAATTGCTTTTAGATGAAAAAAAATTACATATGTGTAGTTTACTAATTTGATGGAATTCTGTTTTATTTTATGTTAACAGGGGTCAGTTGAATCCATACGTAGAGGAAGTGTTGAGCCGGGTTCAGGATTTACTGGTCCTCAACACACCAGACAATGGGTACCAGCATCTCCTGTCCAATGAGGACCAGTTATTTATTTATGAGACCGTCAGCAGTCTTATTGTCTCCAGTAGTCTCTCACCAGAGGTCAGCACTGGTTCATCTAAAGTCTTTAAAACCTTTATTATTAAGCAGTGTGTTACAACCCCTTAATCTAGGTCCTTGTGGCCAAAGTACATGTATCTTGTGTTAACCAGATTGTAAATACTTCCAAGATTTGCTTTAGTTTGCTACTCACCGTGCTCATATCCTTCACCTCACTCCCAATTTTCTTTGTTTTTCACTTGTTTGTGTGTAAAAAAAAATCTTTACCCAATCAAATCATGGGGTTCTTGAAGAATGCAGGCAATAATCAAGATTTTTATTTTTTCCAGAGAAAACACCATCTCATGAAAGAGTTACTTTCCCCTATTGCCAGTAAATTCGAGAGTTTGTTGAACAAGCTTCAGGTGGAGACTGATGAAAAACGGCAGTATGCCTATGCTCAGAGCATTAACATGGCTACATCATTAGCCAGGTAATAATGAGAGAGAGATTTCATTTAAAGGACATTTGCAGACTTGTCGAAATTTTTAAATCATTGTCAGACATTTGGTCTGACAAAGTCAAATGTTCTGTCGGACCAGTCAAAGTTTTCTCAGACCAGATACCTGTACCTTATTTGGACGCTGTGAAAGTCATGAATAACAGCTCCAAAATGCCCTAGATTATTTTCAACAGCCTTCAATCTTACAAGTTTCCTTCCTTATGATAGAAAGTCTTTAATAAAAGACATAAATGACATGTTTTATGACTTTGCTATAACAAATTTAATTGGCTATCGTCTACACCCCGCGTACGCAGCCATTTTTTTCAGTGTTTGTGACCTTCAGCTGCGCATCCCGATCCCGACCTTTATTAAATTTGCATCACGCTCGATTTTTTCAAACGGTCATCTGGACCGACGTTTTCTTAAAAGTTGTCGGTCCAGACAAATTTTTACCGGCCTTGCCGACAGGACCGACGGATTTCGACAAGTCTGCATTTGTAATTAGAGCTAAATATATCTTTGACCCCATATAATTGACTCTCAGTTTTCAGAAAATTGTGTAAATACACGTACATTTTTAATTGTATATAAAATCTGGATATCCAAGCTTACATTTTTGCATTACATGTAATTAAAGCAAACTGTTCTGATATTACGAAGTATTGGATGGAGTATTGTCATGTCATCAATGATTATTAATTGTTCATTTTATGTTGATCATATAAATCTCATTGAATCATATGAAAGCTATATGTAAAGTACATGTACCTGCATGTGTATTCTATTTCCAGCCGAGTGAGTAAAGGTTTTTCTAGTCAGCAAACTATGCAGGCTTGTGGTTGTGTGGAGACATTTACAGACCTCCTAAAGATCTTCCTTCAGGCGGTAAATGTCCCCACCCACCGACAGCTGATACAGATGGGGGTCAGGCAGTACCTCCACAGAATGGTGGTCTGTTTAGAGAAGGAAATCCTGCCATTTGTCCCCATTGTTTTGGAGAACCTGCTGAAACAACCCGAGGCTAAGGAACTCCATGACTTCTTACCTCTGATGAACCAGTTAATCATGAAATTCAAAGTAAGTCAACTCTGTACATGTAATTTAGTTTTGTTTTTATTCTTGGTTTTTCATTTTATGAAGATTTTATTTCATATGCATTTATTGTACTTCGGCATATGTGCATGCATGTGATCATTTTGTAAGTCCAGTCATTTTAATGGCTTTTCTGTTTGTTGAATTTTTAATTTCTGTAAATACTAAGAGTCCAACAATTGAAAATTCATACAAAAATTGGGGGAAGTCATAATTTTTTTTTTTGATAAAAAAGAAGTTATGTTTCCAATGCTGCATGTTATAAGATTAAGCACAGCTTATATCACATGTATCAACCGTGAAAAACAGTATTTTGAAGCCTTATGTAGATTGATTTTAATTGTTTTTCCTGACAGTCTGCCATAGTTCCCTTTCTACAACAAGTGTTCATGCCTTTAGTCAGCACCATCTTCCAAGTTCTGTCGACCCCTACAGATGACCTTGACCAGGTCACGGCCGTAGAGAAGAAGATGCTACAAAGAAGTTACTATTTATTTTTGTCCACAATTATATCTAACGACTGTCTGGATGTTCTCAAAAACCAAGGTAAAAATAAGTTACTGCATTGTTATGAATTAACAGAGCATAAGGGATGAATAAACTTCTGTTCAAGAAATGGAATTTTTTTTTTCAAATATGATTTTCAAACTGAAGATGGGGATAAAAAAGAAATTCATGCTAAATATATTTTTACAAGTTTAAATCCCTAGACACCTTCATAGGGGGGTGGGGGGTTAGATCTAGGGAGGGGATGGGGGCCCTACAGGTTAAGAGTTTCTGTCGTCATTTAATTAAATACATGTAGTTTTAAAAATATAAAAATTGTTTAAAGGTGCTCATTTGTTTCTTATTAAGTTGTTTTCTTTCTACCCAGAAATGAATAACCTTCATAACTTACTTGTGACCATTGTCCAAGGAGCAGCGGACATTCCAGACCCACAGGTTGGTGTCAAAAGTTTAATAATCTTACAATGAAATTTTAATTTATGCTGATCTCATAATACATATACACATATACAAAGGAAGATTTTCTAAATCAATGCTGCTTAAAATGTTATCTACATTGTACATGTACAGTGTACTTGAGAAATTTTTTTGCAACATAAGAATCCAGTTAAGTACTGCTTTGATCTTGCACATTTAGGATATCTTATACTAGTTATTTAGAAAAAAGCTCAATACTTCACACAAGATGTATGCTCTACACATACTGACTAGCAATTTTTTTTATTCTTAGAGTCAAAAAATGTGTTACAACATCATGCGAAAGCTGATAGAGACTTGGGGTATGTTAAAAACACTTGTTGCTTCATTGTATTTTTTTTAACTTGTCTGTTTTAAAAAAATACTATTAAATGTGCATTTTAAAAAATAACATCAGATAATTTACATGTAATTTTGTAAATAAGCACATGTATACTACGTGCATCTTGGATAACTGATACTTTTCATTTTTAAAATTTGAGAATGTGAACACAGTAAACAAAATGGTTCAGAATCATACTTATGCTTATTGATGAATTGCTGATTTAGAATGATAAGTCATTCTCCTTTTCAGGTGGAAACAATGGATTGGTGGGTTTCGTGGATTTTATGTACAAGAGTTTCCTACCAGCTTGCTTCCTTGGTCCCATGAAACCCACATTTGATTTGAATGATGGACAAACTTCATTGGTGAGATTCTTTTTAAGAATTTAGTTGTCTCCCCCTAACAATGAAATCAGAATCAGCTGTGCATGCATGTTCCTTCAGAATTGTTATTTTTGAAGACCACTGCTGATGTTTCACATCTTGTGAACTTGGATATCAAGAAATATACATATTTTAATGAGTTTTTGTGAAATGGTGAAATGCAATTTTAGAATGCTAAATAAGGAGATCATCTTTTGCCCTGGGTAAAAATTATTGAATTTTTGCACACTGAGAAACATAATGATTGTTTTTGTAGGCACTTGGAGAATGTGCACATTGTCTAAAGAGTATGGTTGATAAAAGAGTAAGTATCTGTGCAGTTGTTTTTATTTAAATATTTTCTTGTACAAAGAAAACTACTTGTAATTTTATTATCAAATACAACTGTAAAATTACATGTAGTAAACATAAATCTTTTAAATTTCCGCAGGGCCAGGAGTTTTTGTCTTACCTGTCCATGGATTACCTGCCCAAACTTAATGTACCTGCTGAAAACATCCAGGTAATTATACAGTGCTTACACTACAGTCAAAACAAGAATATTATTGTTTAAGTTAATAGCCTCTTAATTTATCATGTACCACACATACTCGCCTATAAGTCGTTTTTGGGGGAGTTAAACTTTGGTTCACAAACCCTTGTCAGACTTATAGGCGAGTGAAAAAAAATATTGATGTTATTGCGGGTCAATCCCTTTATTGTAAGCTTAAAAAATACAACCGACTTATAGGCGAGTATATATGGTACATTTATATGTGCAAGAGCCTTCAATATAAAACTACAGGAACGTTTGTCTTATCAGGACAAGAAGAACTGATATAGAATACAGAATATAAACATCTTACATCCTGAACTATTTTCTTTTTTTTTTCATTTATACAGGAATTCTGTGAAGCTTTAAAGACAGATTATAAAACTTTTAGAACTTATTTAAAGGTAAGTTTTTGGAAAACATTAAAAAAGACTACATGTACATGATACCATTTTCTTCTCAATAGTAGATAGATCTATTCCTCAAGAGTATATTCCACCATTCCATACATTTGTTTTTGGATGCACATTTAAAATCTGTATATAATGTATTACGAATGATATCCATTGGATTTGTAGAATTTTTTCATGAAGGCAAAGTCATGACACAGGATTGAACTCAGAAAGGGAGATAACTTTTACCAACGTAGATATAGTGACCATTCACATTGTCAATGCATGCTGCTTAGTTCCACCAAAGAGGACTCTAATCACAGCTTTTGTGTGAGGCAATTTAAAAATAAAGGCTTAAAGAGAAAAAGAAGTTTCCTGGCTGCATGGAATCATTGTGTTAAATTCTTGGTTGTAATGAGGAAGTTGCTTTTCATTATTTTTCATTGTCTTGATGTTAATTTATATCATAGAAAACACCCATTTCATAACATTGATATATGAATGTATGTGTATGAGAATGATTTTCTAGATCATGGTTCTGAATATACTGTAAATAAAAATGTTTTGTTAGAGCTGATTGTTTAAGAAGGCGACATGTACATGTATTTAAAAATTGGTGCACTGCAATGTTTTAAATGTAAGTTGAAAAGTGTTTTGTTTAATAAGCTATTGTTATTTTTGCATTCATTGGGTTATGTTTTAGAGAAAGAAAGAGAGAGAGAGAGAGAGTCTTGCTAGATGGTACAACTAACTGACCTTAAATTTCAAATCCTGTAAAAATAGTTGAGTATATTTTAGCAGTTCTAAAACTTAAGCTCATGAATATTCCATAAGGCACATGCTTTAAACAAGTGCAGTGATACACATGAATTTAAAAAGTAATATTCACAAATTGTATGGCAAAAAATATACACGTTAAATTATAATGTCAGTGTTATTTTTGATAAATGTAATTCATGGTTTTAATGTTTTTTTACTTTATTTTTTAAATTTTATTTACAAAATGCAATGAGCAATGCATTTAGAATCAAGGAAAGATTTCACTCCAGTTATTTTCTATTGGCAATATAGATATTTTCGATAGTATACACTGTCTTTTAGTTTGAATCATATGTTTATATGTACAAGAATTGCTTCTTTTTTTTTTGTTAAAAATAGGGTTGTTACTGCAACATATATTGTTGTTAAATTATTCTTTCTCAAAATGAATAAAGTAAGCTTAAACAGTGTAAAAACAGTGTATTTCAGTTTTTAATTAGAGGCCTGAGGTAAATTAATTGTCCTAGAAGATGATTAATGATACCTGTATTTAATATCTTCTTGTTTTTTAATATCATACCGGTAATTAAGATTTCAGTGTTGATCTTTGGATTGGATGCTGAAGTACATGTGTTACTCAGATTTTGCTTACTGAGCTGGCCTTATGTATTTTCTACCTATGAACTTTAAGTTGATATTTTGGTTAAGGAGTGTTAAAAAAATCTGGAGAAAATTCGCATTAATATCAAAACAACTATTTAGCTGACTGTTACAGTCTCTGTTGATTGCCACATTCATGATCTCTAGGAAAATACAAGTACTACTGTTTTACAAATGCATACCAGACGCATTACAAAGAGCAGGTTCATAGAAACCCAACAGAAATTCTCGGAGAAACAAAAAAGGTTGGGTCATCAGACATTTCCACTAAGGGACACAACCGTAAATCAACTGTATACTGTATACTGAAAAATTTATTGGGGCATGCCCCATCCCTAGTTTCTACACCCTAAACAACATACTGTAAATGTTTAGTAACGAGGAATAAACACATAAATTTCCTTTTTGGATAAAAACTTTTATTTTGTAAGGAAACTGTTGTATATATTACCATAAACTCCGCATTCATCTGGAAGCAAGTTTGTCAAAAATATATATTAAAAGAAAACACTTCCAGACATTTTGCTTAATATTTTGGCAAATTGTACCGTTTACCATTATACATGTACACCATTTCAAATAAAGTTCGAACTCTGATTTCCACAACATGTTTTACATGTCCAAATCAATGGTACGTATAATTACCAGTACCTGACTTTCACACATCTTTGACCTTGAGGAGCGTCATTTGGATACAAGGTCATAGACTGATTGACTACTAACTTCACATTTAAAGTTGATTGAAACTGTTTCTAAACAAGAAAGTTAAGTACCTGCATGCCAGTGTTTACTTATCACCTTCAACTGCTTTGTAATGTATTTTCTTGGGAAAAAAAATGCACAAGACATCCAATGAACTATCAGTCCATGTTGATCGAGAGTCTACAAAACAAAGTACAGCAATCTATAACTAAACTAATGATAAAAAACTATTCCCTAACCAGGAACTGTAAGATATAGGCTATCAATAAAAAATACTCATATGAAAGGCATTACTAATTTAAATCAGAAACTGTATGAGACATTAATTTTGGTACATGTACAGTCCCTGAAACGTTCTACTTTCCCATTTTTCCGTTCGCTCACCGTTCGTTCAGCGTGCGTTCACCGTTCGTTCAGCGTGCGTTCACCGTTCGCTCTCCGTTCACAGTTTTGCGTTCACCGTTCACCGTGCGCTCGCGTTCACCGTTCACAAAGCGTTCAGCGTTCGCTCTTCGTTCCGTTCACTTTGCGTTCACCTTGCGTTCAGCGTTCACCTATCGTTCAGTTTTCATTGCCATTCGGAACTCCGAAGTGAAAGGACTTATCTTTTTGTAGTTAAGGAGTTACAGGTTTTTTTTTTAATTTATTAACTAACATATCGTGTTTGAAGAATCATTATTTCATGAGGAAAAATATCTACGATATATATTTTTATTATTTTAACTTAGCTGTTAGGTTATTTATTAAATTACTCTGGAAAATAAATGTTGTTACAAGCACATTCTGTACCTATGTAGAACGATGCTGAAATATTAAATTTAACTAAGGGCAATGTGCAAATACTTCAAGCACTGCAAGATTTTGTTGTTTTGTTAAAGACGACAAATCATTAATGGAGATATAATTATTCAAGTCAAATAATTACGCAGCAAAATTACGAAAATATTTATTTCTAATAGGTTTTTTTTTCAATTACTACGGAAAATATAATAGAACTAGTACTAGTTCTGAGAGTTATACATAGTACTGCGGATATCCTGTTAATTTATTATCTTTAGAACGAATTAAATTGATAGTGTGGTTAAAGGAAATATTTTTAAAATGTAATGCACTACAGAATTTCTCTACTGTAATATGTAAAGTATATAGTTATAGAGAAAAAAAAAAACTTTCTTCACCGTAACTTAATATGTTTGCTAATCGATATGATTAATACCCCCCCCTTTCCCCCTAAATCGGTGACTTAGTCAGTACCATATTTCCAGAATGTTTTAATTAACATTTAAAAAAAGCTACGGTCTTTTTTAGAAAAAAAAATTTCAGTCTCAAAACAAACATGCATCTAAAAAAGTCACAAAACAATAGTAGATCAAAATGTACACGTGTCGGCGGTGGTATTTGAAATTGGCAGAGAGTATGTTTCACATTCAAGTGTTAATGCCTAATGTATTTTACTAACTTATTATTCAAATGTTGGAATCAAATCTAGAAATGATAAAAATAAATGTTATAACTTGTTGGAAATACTCGCACTTCGTCTTCGATGTGACGAAACTTTCACACCTGCACAGTGTCGAATGATTTTGATTGACAGGACAAGCACGTGGACTTCGTGTGAACTTGAAGCAGGAAAAATGAAAAACAAGTATGACTGTCAAACAAATGGATATGATTTGTTGATAAAAAAAAAAAGTTACTTTCACTGTCTGATATATTTAGAAAAAAATTTCCGAGTTTTTGTTTGATATAGGTACAAACATTTGGTGAAGCCTGAAAGGAGGGGGGGGGGCTAAAACTGAATATTACTCTCTCTCTCTCTCTCTCATTTGTCTGTTTAATAAAAACTATAACACCATATTACTTAAATATCAAGTTCTGAAAATTGAATTTATAACAAATAATATGAATATGTATTTTTGTATCATCATGATCTTGTTCGAGTATAATCACGGCCATCTAAAGATGCATGTAGACGTCTGCTCAATAAATCATAATGAAAAATAGAAATGACACATAATATATTATTGTTTTAAATATTTAAAATACGAGCGTATAAATGTAATTAATTTTTTTTTCATTACTTTACACGAAATCGCCTTGACACGGAGATATATATATATATGAATATAAGTTACAACCGCTTTAATTCATTCTTTAAATCATAAGATTTCTCTGATTTGTTATCAACTAAGAATAAACATTTTTATTTTCCAACTAAAAACAATATCTTTTATACTTCAGCGTTCGGCAACAATTGCAATGTTTTAATGCGATAAAAATCGTGTGATTAAAAACTTAATGTACATGCATCGTCTTTCTGAGGACAATTTTGGAGAATTTATTTTATTGACTTAATTATTCATTCATTTATTTGTTTACTTATTTATTATTATTATTATTTTTTTTTTGGCACCTGACATTATAATACAACAAAATAGTTTCAATGCAAGGAAAAGATCAGAGGCATTCCGAATACTAGTATATCGTTCATCTTGCGTTCACCGTTCGTTCACCGTTCACTTTGCGTTCGCGTTTGCGCTCCGTTCGCGTTCTGTGTTCGCTCACCGTTCACCGTTCACACATCGTTCACCAAGTTGCGTTCAGCGTTCACACATCGTTCACTCACCGTTCGCTCTGCGTTCGTTCAGCGTTCGTTCACCGTTCGTTCAGCGTTCGCTCACCGTTCAAGTGGGAAAGTAGAACGTTTCAGGGACTGAACATGCAGATATTTTTCCCATGTCATTATAGCCTCATGCACGGATCTAGGAATTTTTTTCCACGGGGGGGGGGGGAGGGTTCATACCCACTAAAAAATCCATTGCAGGATTTTAATGACAAGGAAAAAAAAGCTACAATTGTCCAAACCCCAAATACCTATTTTGTGTGTGTGTGTGTATAGGGAGGGGGCTTAATTCCTTCGTCTATACTAATGACTCTCCTTACCATTTTATCAGGGGTCCATGTTTTTGAGGGGGGGGGGGACAAGGTATTCTTTTCTTTACTATAGAAATTTGAAAACAAAATCCCCGTGGGGGGGGGGGCTGATCCCCCTCTCTAGATCCACACATGGGCATTGTCATAACCTTGAGATGTATTTAACAGTGCATGCTAAATCATTTCAGTAAAATCTAAAGAGAGAATTTACAAAACTAATGCCAGGATGATGTTATCTTTCATCGAGTCTCTCGGCAAAATAAAAAAAGGGGGGCGGGGGGGGGGGCAGGCCCGTAGGAAGCAATTTCACTTTGAGGGGGCACAACCATACATTTTCAGTTGGGGGGAACTATCCGCTACCAAAATTCCTTGACAAGCAAAAAAAAAAAAAAAAGGTCATCAGACGTTATTATTGAGGGGGCACAAGCATATATTAGCTATGTTTTCTATAGTATTCTATATATCGGCAAAATTATTGGGGGGGGGGAAGGGGCACGCCCCCCCGTGCCCCCCCCCCGTTCCTACGGCCATGGGAGGGTTAATTCTTACGCAAATTTTATCAAGTTATAAGATGTACATACCAGGACATGAGGGAGTTGTATATGATCGTTAAGGGATTTTAATTTATTAAGTTACCGGTTTGCTAAACAAGTGTTAAATGTAAAAGAGAAATCTTTTTCTCTTATAATATTGGAGAGAGAGAGAGAGAGAGAGAGAGAGAGAGAGAGAGAGAATGAGAGAGCACCAAACCACCTTTCCCGGTTCAGACGCATTTGTAAATGGTAGTAAAATCTTTTACATGTACCCATGGATATTCAATCAGGCGTGGTTAACCCTTTTGCTGCCGTGCAGATTTCCAGTTCAAATTACGTACAGTGCCGTGACAGTTTTCTATTACGTTAAATCTATGATGTAACGTAACTGTGACGTCACAAACAATGTACGTAGGTAAAGGTATACATGTATACTTTTTCGTATTTGCAGAATATTGTTACAATAGAGACAATAATAGATTCTACAACGACAGGCCCCTTCGAAAAAAAAAATACATTTATAGAACGCACAAAATTAATAGTAATATTCTTAGTAGATCTAGTCACAGGCACTTGACGTTACATATTTTTCTTATTTAAAAAATATAACCTCATATCCAATTCACGTGAATTATTGGGTAGGGTACCTGTGGATCAAGTGTATACACGTACAACATATATTGAACGCAGTACGAGTTAAGTTAAAAATATATACAAGTACAGTGTAATTGAAACACAGTGATACGTAAATAATTCTTTTCGGAATCTATCAGTGAAAGTGTTCTAAAACATAAAAATTCGATTGGACTTGAAAAAGGTTAATTTCTGTTCGTAAACCTTATACATATTTTTGAACATAGGCCTTACATATAACCACATGTACACACACTTCTTTCCCTGAAACCACTTGTATTGTTTTAAATTATATAATTGTTATGGTTGTATTTGTTCAAACGTTAGTATGTTGATCTTTTACTGTCACATTTTTGTAATCGTATTCTTACAAATTATAACTTGGAATACACCGACTAAGACGTACGTTACTTCCAAATGTTCGTTTTCTTCGGAGTCTTTACCACCCTTAATCGGCAACTCTGATGCAATACATGGATTATTTAATTCAATCAAATGAAGAAGCTTAGATTTATAAAACTTATATTTTGTCCTTTTTGTATTTTGACTACAACTTTTTTTTTTCTACAATATTTATGACTTGTATCAGGCACTGTTTCTGTAATACTTTTTAACCCATAGTAAAACAATGTTATTATTATGCTGTGGGTTAAAAAAAAAATATCACAAAAACAAGTGCCTGTGCTTTGTATTTTGTGCTAGATAAATAAACACCTTCAAGGACATTAAAAATTAACAAACATTTCATTTGTTAAAGCTAAATATTCCGTCAACTTGTAACTTACAATGTGCATCTACATGTAAGTAGTAATCGGCCTTAAAAAGTATAAAAGTTTTCATTGCAAATATGTTTTTCAAACTGAAAGCGTCAAAGTACAATATTAGGAGTACACAATGCAAACGTTTTGGCGATCGGCAACTCTTAATGTGCGATCCTACAACTAAAATAACATGGTAGATAAATGACAGACAAGGTTACTACTGTACATGTATATAAGTATATTATGATTTTTCACAATTACATTGGAGAGGTGTGGAACCTATTGAGCAAAAAGAACCGTTAATTTATGTATTTATCTACTTCATTTGGAATGCTTCGCCTAGCTGTTAGAAAATAAAATAGACTATTACTACTAGGTACATTGTAAGTTACGTTGGGAGGAAATCAAGATCTTATGGGTATTTGCGAGGGTGGGGGTCTTGCCCCGATTTCAACCGAAAAGATATTTAGCCTGCCATCTGATTGTTAATACCTCCCATAATTCTTCCTTTAATTTAATAGCAAAACATTAATCTGACACGATAAGCATGCCAAAATATCTGATCCCGGCTAATAATACCCCCCCCCCCCCTCTCCGCAGTTAAAATCTATGATTCGTGCCAAAAAGAAACCTGTATTGGTCGTATGCACAAACAGAATGGATGGGATTGGATGGGAACTTATAAACATGCAGAGGTTCCATGTCACAGCCGTTTTCTGCAGAAATAAGAGCCTAATTGCCCAATGGACATAAGCAGTCTTTTCCTGCAATTGGCGATTTTCTAATTCGAGCGAAACATTCTCGAAGGGACAACAAAAAGGCTAAGGAAATTTGAAAAAAAAAATGTTTCTTTTCCCTAATTATATCCTTGTTTTCAACATTTAAACAACAAAACACCAACAATTATGCCCCTCCCCCTTTTTCGCCGATATACACCCCCGGGCTTGTTGGGGGTTTCCCCCCACAAATTATTTTTCTTAAGACTTTTTATGCCCCCGGATCGAAAGATCCCGGGGGTATATTGTTTTTGTCCTGTCTGTCTGTTTGTCTAGCTGTTGTCAACTTTAACCTAGCCCATAACTATTGCGCTGTCAAGGGTAATGCTTTAATATTTGACATGAGTGTTCATTATGACAAGACCTACCCATTGGTACACAAATTTTTTATCATGTGACCTCAACTGTGACCTTTGACCTACATTTGAAAAACTTTAACATTGACCATAACTATTGCACTGTAGTCTACGTCCCACACCAGAATTGTGTTATCATTGGGGGCATAGTGTTTCACAAACACATCTTGTTAATCATGTATACCATAAATATACACAGTCGCGATTTTTTTTTTTTTTTTTTTTTTTGGCTTTCCCTCCAGATTTTTACAATGGTAAATATAATTCATAAAATACTATCAAAACTGGGTGTTGTGTATTTGGGGAAGAGGGTAGGACCATCCACGAGCACATGTACATGTGCCACAAAAGAAGGCATCTTGATTTTTCTTAATGAAAATGTCGTGCACTGACTACTTGTATTCTATAATTGAATGTTTATCTGTAGAGTTCTTTGTCTATTTGCCGAATTTCTTTTATTATGCGACATGTAATCTGTTGTAAACTGCATTTCTCTGCATAAATTTGTGATGCTCCTGAGGATAAAACTTGGTTTTATAGTCGGTTAAAAATCTCTACAAGGCTTAAATGTTAAATTGTTAAACTTTATTACCTGCATATATAATGCCGATTTTAGATTTAAAAATTATTTACAGAAATTACAATGATATTGCATTACTACTGCAGAGTTGGCGAAATGTGCCGGATTACCGACGATCGCCGGTAGCTTTCATACATGTCCGGCAAAAGTTGAAACCATGCCGGACATCGCGTGTCCGATAAATATTAAAACACCAGTACCCAGAGAAATTAAAGTTATTCCCGTGTTTTAGGAAAAATATTACTGAAAAAAAAACCCACGGGAACTTTTACGGCATTGTATTGCTTTTATCGTGCAGACAAGGATTGAAAATATTGATGAATTTGCATAATTTCAAATCAGAATGCATCGATTACATTTTCTGGAGATCAAGACAAATGAAAAATCTGATTAAAATTCTTTCTTATAATTTTCAGTATTAAATTGGTTTTAAAAATGATTGATTGTTTTCTGCAACAAGAGGCCAAAATGGCGCGAAACTTAGAATGATGACGGAACGTCATAGTCATGCAGTTTTACTTGTGACGTAATGAGTTAACGGTAGGCCCAAAATAGGCCCATGGCACTTAACGTAGTTTTTGAAAATAGGCCCAAAATAGGCCCGCGGCACAAAGAATGTTAAAGGCATTCAGAATATATATTAAAAACATTCCACTTGTTGTGTATGTCAACTAGAGATTATGAATAGCAGCAGTTACGAGCCTGGAGACACATTAATTTTACTGTCAATAAAACAAGGCGGAAGAACAGGTGGACATATGAAAATGGATTAAAATATCTTAAAATGGAAGTTATAGAAGACACCAGGTAAGGTTGAAAACTTCTTACCACTCTTCTTGTTTTTCAAAGTCTAATCTCGTTTTGAAACTTTGATTTGGATTTTAGGATATATTGTCAAAAAGACAAAACCCCATAAATGACTGGATACTAGGTGCATCTTTTAACTTCCGCCAGTATGTTACAAATACTTTTAAATGCGTGTCTACGAGAAAACCATGCAAAATCCAAATTTTATTATGAAAGGCATTGTGATCATTTTGACTAATTTTATTGTTTCTGATTAGCATCATGTGTCCTCTAATAAATCCCAGTATCAAAACTGTCAGGTACCTTTGGGGATCCCTATTATAGCCCTATATTCTATTTTTAGCACATTTTATGAAAATATTTTGAAAAACACCCATAGATTAAGAGAAAAAAATTGCAGGAAAAAATGCACTTTTATTCAAATGTTACATATTAAATAAATTTAAAGGAAGTGCTCTAACTAGAAATATTTTATTTAATTTCATTTATCAACACTGATTCTGTAAAAGTGGGGTCTAAAATTAGATTAAATCAATGTGTTTAAAATACCACTATCTTTAGAATGCTGTAAAAACCCAAGAAACGCTTAAAACATTATAAATATCAGTTTAATTGCAAAAATCCTTCAAAATCAATATATAGTTAAAAGGAATTTGGTTGCAAATGGCATTATGCTAATTTAAAAATAGATTGAAGTTGGCTGAAACTATTAGAAAAATTATCTCCCTTAGTGGAACTCTCCTTATTTAAAGGAATTAAAAGTGTGATGTCTTAATGGCAGACGAAAAGATGAAGTGTTGATTTGAGGACAATATTATGATAAAAGATCTCTAGCTTTGTTGAAAGATTGTAAAATAGATTCAGCTGAATATACAAGGTATTTTAAATGCAGCACATAAGACATTTCTGTCCGTGAAACGCTTCTTATCGTTAACCATCTTGAACCATACAGCTGTTATGGGACTTGGACAGTCTAATTTCTGTAAACATACCTACATGTACATGTATGTGTCAAACACAGAAATATACTTGGTCTACACTGGAAAAGGAAAAAAGAACATGTTGTCACCCATACCTGATAGGGGAGACGCTATTATGCAAACCCGTTAACCGAGAGGGTCAAGCTGAATGAGGTTTTGCCTGTTGGAACTGGTAAGAACATTATACAGTTTAAAAACTTAAGGAATTTTGCTAAACCATTGAAATTAACTTAATTTCTGACCTTAAAGTTTTCAGAGAGACACTGTACATGATATTTGGGTTGTCAATAAGAAATGAAACAGATTTATATATAAAAAAAAAAAAAAGCATGTTGGGGGTTCCTCCCCTTAGTGAGGGTTGAGAGGGCAATACCAGAGTAATTGGGGAATTATGTCATTATAGGTGAAGAAATTCCCCAGTCCCACAGGTCTTAAGGACAACCCTATACATGTAAATATAATATCACAAAGTGATATCATAATTGGAAATATTTACTGACTTTGTGTTTATAGTTTGTGAAAACCTATTGATATCAAGTTTATACAACTTACATGTCCAATCTATAATGATTTATATCTATCAACTAATTTGATTCCTAATTGTTACAGGTATATGCAAAAGATGTATAGAAACACACTTTAAAAAATCAGTATGGAAGTAAAGCTGAAGGAAGAGCTTAAAGGTACATATACATATACTGTGTGTTTATAATTATATGTAAATTTTAAAGTTTTATCAAATTATTTCTAAAATTTACTCAGTAGCTTATACATCAAGTTTCACTTATGAAGCAAAATTACCTGCTTTTATTATGTTATAGCTGAAATACATGTAAAAAGTGAAAACTCTTGAGCAGAAGTCCACTTGCTAATTCTTGTTCTCATTTGAGTATATTTAGTACTCACATAAATTAAGGATTCTACTGTAAATGTTGATGAATGGCTTTTACACTCAATAGTTTCATAATATTGATCATTTCACATGTAAATGATCCAATCCTGTTTGGAAATAAAATTTCAATTGCATATTGTTTTGAATTAGTTCTAAAAATAAAATCTCAAGTGTGATTTCTGTTTCATTTTATGTGTACATAACTGGTTATAAGTATTCATGTAACTATGAGGATTATTAAGTATTGTATAGTTAATATTAAAATTAATGTTTATTCTTTAGCAGAAATGTGTTCCTATTGACAAGGCAACAATTGAATCAAACCAAACAGGTGATCACTTACTGTAATATAATATAATATTTTTAAGGTTCTACATAATGATAAAGATAATGTCAATGTTTAATATCTCAAAAAATAAAATTAACAAATATGTTTCATTTCCACACTGAAAAATATAACCAAGTGGACATTGTTCTCATGCAGTTCAATGACATGAACCAGAGTTTGTACATGTGGTTAACATTTTATAATGTATACATACAAGTTACTATAATCATGATAATATACATGTAACTGCTCATTCACATTACTGATAAGTAAAATAACAAAGAACAATTTATGTGAAGTAAGGTCTAAATGGTGAAGATGCCTGAATATGTGACTGATAAACTGAAAAGTCCAGTCCATATAGTTCAAGTTTTGAGCTTTAAAATTATTTAATTATGATTCATTCAAATTGTTTCAGCATTAGCATTTTTAGCATTAACTGTAATGTATAAGGGTATATATACTTCATGGCTTTTTCAATTATTTTACAGAGCAAAGAGTGGAGGAAAATGGAAGAAGTCATGGACTTAACAGAAAACATATGACCTAATACCTGCAGGTAACAGCCTCCACCCCCCCCCCCCCCAATAAATGTTTATTGGTCTGTCCATTGGTCATTCTGTCTGCACATGTATGTACTATAACACTTTAATTTGGGAACAATATCTCTTAAAGCCTTTGAGCTTTTGCAATATCATTTCATATCACAACTCCTTACAGCCTAGAGAAGATCCCTATTGATTTGAGGTCAAAAGGTCAAGGTTGGAAATTCCTACAATACAAAAAAAACTCAAATAATAACTTTAGTTTCCCTTGAGCTTTTTCTGTTAAATTTTATATCATAATTCCCAATGACTTAAAGAAATCCCCTTTGATTTCAAAGTTAAAAGGTTTAGTTGAAAAATTCATATCTTGCAATAAATAATGTCCTGGTGATAACTTTGGTTCTCTTTGAGGTCTTGAATTTATTTCTTTAATAAAAAAAGACACCAATTGACTTTAAGGCCAAAAGCTGAAAGGTTAAGGTTGACCTTTTTCTTTTTCCATCTGCATTTTTTTTTTGGTCCAGTTCTTCCATCCTCATTTTTTTCCATAAGTGGGGGCCACAATTCTCTGAATTAGCTTGTTTTATATTTGGATCATTTGCAGGTTTGCATTAAACTCAATTAGCCATTTAAGGCATTTGGATCTCTTACAAAATAGGAAATAAAGGTGATTCAGGCTAGCATTGCCAAGGTCCCTTTGTTGTAAAATTGAAATTATTCCCTAATTCCCAATGTCATTTAGAACATCAAAATACATGCTCTTTTGCTTTTGGGTATAAATGAAAATTTACTGTACTAAAATGTCTTCTTTGATTATCATAATTATTGCAATATCAATTATGAACTTTAATTCAAACATCAATTTGTCATTGCTTTTACAGATTTTGAATTCATATCATCAGTGCATATAAATTGGTCAAAAGATGAAAGATCTCAGCATAAATTGTTCAATCATGCAAAGCATATCCTGTCAAATGGAGATTACCCTCCCTTAAAGTGCCAAGTATCTCAGAAATTGGACTATTTGCAATACTGTTCAGGAATATTTTACAGTCAGTACATTTAGCAATAGGGCCTGTTGCACCATGCCAAGGTACAGAGTTGATGCTTCAAGCTGTCGACGGCATTCCAAAGGAAAAGGATGAAACTTTTTTTTAGCTCACCTGAGCCGAAGGCTCAAGTGAGCTTTTCTGATCGAAATATGTCCATTGTCTGTCGTCGTCGTTGTCGTGGTTGTAAACTTTTCACATTTTCATCTTCTTCTCAAGAACCACTGTGCCAATTTCAACCAAACTTTCCACAAAGTATCCTTGGGTAAAGGGAATTCAAGTTTGTTCAAATGAAGGGCCACACCTTCTTCCAAGGGGAGATAATCATGAATTTGTGAAAAATTGATGGCATCACCTAAAAACTTGTCAAGAACCACTGTGCTTGAAAATATGAAACTTATATGAAAGCATCCTCAGGTAGTGTAGATCCAAGTTTGTTCAAATCATGACTTCCAGGGGTAGGGTGGGGCCACAATGGGTGATCAAAGTTTTACTTAGGAATACATAGGAAAAAGCCTTTAAAAATCTTCTTCTCAGAAACAGCAAAGCCATGATTGATCATATTTAAAAGGAAGCATCCTCAAGTAGTGTAGGTTCAAATTTGTTCCAATCATGACCCCCGTGAGTAGGGGGGGCCAGAATGGTCGATCAAAGTTTTGCATATAATACATGTACATAGGAAAAATTTGTAAAAATCTTCTTCTCAAGAACAGCAAAGCCATGATTGGTCATTTTTATATGGGTGCATCCTCAGGTAGTGAAGATTCAAGTTTGTTCCAGTCATGACCCCCCCTCCCCCCAGGGGTAGGGTGGGGCCACAATGGGTGATCAAAGTTTTACATAGGAATACATAGGAAAAAGCCTTTTAAAATCTTCTTCTCAAGAACAGCAAAGCCATAATTAGTCATATTTAAATGGAAGCATCCTCAGGTAATGTAGACTCAAATTTTGTTCAAATCATGACCCCCCCCCCCCCCCCAAGAGAATAGGGGGGCCATAACAGGGGATCAAAGTTATACAAAGGAATACAAATGTTATATCAATAAAAATTGTCTTGTTAAGAACAGCATAGCCATTATTTGTCATATTAATTCAAATATTATTATTTTGCTTTATTTCAGTGTAGTAGCTTCAAATGAGTTTTTAATTTTTTTTTTTTTTTTTTTTGACAATTTAAAATTAGAGATCATCTTAGTAATAAAATTTTTTATAATGTTGCTGTCTTTAAATTTTCTCTGTAAAAGTAACATGTACATGTACATGATACATTTGGTATTTTTCAAATGCAGTTGAAGGAATTTAATTGAGCATTGTCAAATATTTCATTTAAATACTAGTTGTGTTTTTATGACTTTATGGTATTAAAAAAGACATAAACTTTGTTCTGTTCATTCATTTGTATATTTTGTATAATTTTAGGGCAAACAAAATCAGCATTTGTATAAAATGTTTTGCATGTTTAAAAACAACTTTTGCAATGAAGAACTGTATGAAATTTGGGCAACACTGTGAAAAAGTGGATTTTATTTACTGATGTGTTCACACTTTTGAACACTCTCTCTGTTAAACTTGCAATTTTATGTATTTGCAGTTTTTGCAATGTGCATTTTCATGCTAAGGGATCCTGTAAAATGAGCCCCATAGCTACATGTATAACCAGTTCATTGCTATAATACGTTAAGCCTTGTCAAAAACTCATGATTTTTAGCTCTACTGGTTAGAGACCAGAAGAGCTTATGCGATAGTAAGGGGTTGGTCGTCTGTCTGTCCGTCAACAAAAGCTACTCCTACAGTTTTGGTCTGATTCCAATATTACTTGGCACAAGTAAAGTACACTGAGATACATAATTTTTTTTATCGGATTTTGATTTTGATGAACGGTGTTGCTATGAATACTAAAATAGAAATTTCTGTAAAATTCTTTTAAAATCTACTCCCCCTTTAGTTTTAGTCAGATTTCCATGAAAAGAGACCAAATCAAGGATCATTATTCTATTTATTTCTGTTGCAAAGTCAAGTCCAACTGCTACTTATCTCTTCCTTTGTTAGAAGTACAAACCAGTAGAGCTACAGTCTCGAAAAAGACTTCTGGTTAAACAAATATTCAAATCATGCATCTTTGTGACATTCTGGATAAATATAAGCTAATTTCAGTCATGAAGATTGAAGGTCATGTGCCTGAAATGATTTAACGTTCAAAATGTAATCACTCTAGTCCAGTATGCCTTTCTACCCAGATACTGTGTAATTTTGCTAGGGTGAAAAAATCAACTAATTCAAATGTGCCACCAAATTGCCTGTTATTTTTACTTAAATATCTTAAAACAAATACTTCTTGATAAAAAATATAATCACTGAAGTGTCTCTTAAAATTCTATGCCTGTTTTTTCTACAGAATATCCCTTAGAATTATTGTGACCTTTTTGCACTTGCAGTTCTGCACTTACAAGAGTGAAAACTCCATTAATTTAAATTTGCAACCAAAATCCCATTAATACTAAATAATATATTTAAAAACAATCACTTTTTAAAAATATGAAATCAATGGAAGCGTTTCTTGGAATTTTATAGCTGTTTTTCTGCAGACTATTCAAATATCTTTATTTCTTACAATTATCGTGACCTTTTTGCACTCGTAGCTCTTCACATTCAAAAAGGTATGTGGAAAAAATTCTGTAAATATTTTTTTCAAAGGTTTTAATTCCTTAAATCCATTAGTTATGAAGATATTATGGAAATTTTTTTATACACAAACAGAATATGTACAAAAGGTGTTATTTTTCCATACTGGGTATAGAAATAGGCTGACGATAAACTAATTCTCCCTGTATCCATGGTAACAAATCAAATGACGTCACCAAACTTACGCAGTAAGTAAGTGACCTTGATCTCACTTTGTATGCAAAGTTTCAAGAAATTTTGAAAAACTTGCTTTCATAGCATTCTGCATGGTTTTCTCGTAGACACGCATTTTAAAATATACCTTCAGGCTCGTAGAATGCGGAGGTTATGAGTATATAGTCTTTTGCTATAAAAAAATTTTCTTTAAGAAGCTTTTTTTGCCCCTTTTTTTGCTATTGTTAGATCAAGCACTGGCAAATTCTAGAATTTGAAAAAAATGTACCAAAAAGTAAGAGAAAGGTCCAAGCCCCCCCCCCCCCCCCCAGTATTTTCGAGTTTGGACAGTTTACATTTTTGTTTTGCTTGTCATATTGTTTGGGACCCCCTTTTTTAAATCGTTGCTAGGATCTGACCTTAGTAACTTTTTTGAAAAGGCAAACAAACTTGTACCAAATTAAGAATGAAAATCCCCTAACCTAAAAATAACTGTAAATTCCACCTTATGCAACCCTTCCAATGTAATGTTATTTAAATTCGACCACCACGATCGATTTTTTAATATTTACTGCCTTAATTTTCTAGAAATAGAAAACTGGTCATTCGGGAAGGGCCCGCAAGATAATATCCTTTAGTTTAGAGTGGGATCAAAGTGATGGTATTACATACATATGTACATGCGTATATATAATAACTAAATTGATAAAGAAAACAAGAGGCCCAAGGGCCTCAACGGTCACCTGAGTACAATACAACAATTTAGAGGATCATAAACTGATAGATGAAGCTTTGTTACCCATAAGCAAGAAAAATAGTATGATTAGCATCAACAAAATAATTGGTCTAGTATCTATCTGTCCCCCATTTATCACTATTACCATGCAGACTATTAACAAAATGTCTATTTTTTAACCCCATATTACATGTATTACTTCTCACACTGCCCTCTCTTGGCCTTTGAGGAATATTTATAGAGATAAGTTATTTTTGTCTTGTTTTATTCATCTATTATTTCCAAGTCTACCTGATCATTAAAACTATAAAAGTACTTTTTGTATTATACAATTAATATTCTTGCATAATTCTCTTATTCTATTAACCTTTCAAATACATTATTTAAGGTGATTAATTAACAAAGGTGAATGGCAAAGAGGAATAACTTTGCTCAACAGAATACAAGTTAATAGAGCCCTGGCCAGGACCAGAACACTTGACTAAACGGTCCAGGTTAGGGATGTACGATTTTATCGGTATACCGGTATATCGTGATTTTTATTTGCGTGATACTGTCGTGATATGGAGACAAAAATACCGGTATTTAGGTATATAGTTATAAATTCCAGAAATTATTCATTTATTTATTCAATCTTTCGAATAACAATTACAGGAAGTGTAAAAAAAAAATGTTGAAAACGGTAAAAGAACGGCATTCTAGCATCCAAAATTACTTGATATTATCTAAATAAAAAAATGAAAAAAGTGAAATTATGTTTTTCCAGCATATTTTTCAGAAAAATTATGAATATTCATTTAAAATCATTGTAAAAATTGCTTGTAAAAATGTCATGTTATTATCGTAAAATTTAGGGGGAAAATCGTGATATATCGCGATACGAAATTTTTGGCAATTACCATGTCTAGTCCAGGTGTTCAAAATTCTGGTAAAATTAACTTTGCATATTGAAACTTTTACTCTGTTTGCCTCGAATATGCCCAGAAGCATAGAAGATTTTCAAAGAAATGCATTTTCACTATATTATTACATAAATAAAGCCCCACCCTAACAACAGATCATTTGACCCAGGGGCCATAAACTCACAATTCTGGAAGAAGCACCCTTGCTCATCATAACTATAGACTTGTTTCTTTGCATGCTTTATAACTAGTTGTAGAAAAAATATTTTTAAAGAAATTATGCATTTTCACTATATAATCAATAGAGTACCGCCCCCCCCCCCCCCCTCTTCACCAGAACCCCTGACCCAGTGGCCATGGATTTCACAATTTTTGAAGAGGCATTCTTTCTTATCATAACGATGCACTTTTGTTTAAATAATACCAAGGAGCAGAGAAGAAGATTTTGAAAGAATTTATGCATTTTCCCTTTATAATCAATAGACCCCCCCCCCCCCCACACACACACACATACCAGAACCCCTGACCCTGGGGCCATGAAATTCACAATTTTGGAAGAGGCAACCATGCTCATCATAACTATGAACTTAGTTTATTTAATACCCAGGATCCGGTTGTATCAATATTTAATGAATAATTAAAGCTTCATTAAACTGATCATTTTTAATGTGTCATTAAATTCCGTTGTATCAATGTTTTAATGAACGAATCGATGCATTAAAGCTTCATTAACTTCTCTAATTTTAATGAAGCCAAGAGGGCTTCTTTAAACGCTCATTAACAATGGCGGCCAACGTAATGTTTGGTCACTTGGGTAGAAGAAGAGCGGATAGGGTTTTTAGAGAACGTTTTTCTGTACAAAACATGAGTGAAGAGGAAAGTCGGAGGCGGTATCGATTTGGA